CACCGGCACCCACCATCTGTTTTGAAACCTACTAGACAAAGCAGACTACATGTCTTCGATTTTAGGTAAAATACTCCAAAAAAAGATGACACGACTTTTAAATCATGACTGTTATTTGAATAATTGTGGAAGATTTAGATGATTTTTGGTGTGTATATTATTTATAGTAAACTAATTTCTACGCAAGAGTCACGTGTGTAAAGTTTGGATACACTTCAGAACTAGCGCCAATTTCAGTTCTTCAATATTATGATTAAAACGACAGGCATTCTTATTTCTAAAATCATAATTACTTCAAACAGACATCTATATCCACCTCAAACTATGCATTATCACTCACTCTGATACCTAATTAAACTCTATATCTTTTTCTATAAGCATAACTTACTCATAAAGACTGCAAACAGTTCTGGAAAGACCGTCACCAAAGGTTAACGGCATACTCTCTCAAGCACAGCAACAACATACTAATCGCTCCTGAGGCCACGTCACCGCACAGTGTATGCCCCTAGCCCTGCACGTGCACATGGCCTTGAACGTCACAAATGTAGTATCAGGGATATGTGAGTTATCCCTGGTAGTATAGTACAATTAACATTTAACGTGGGCGGCGTTTTTATTATCCATCCGCGAAACCATGCCTGTGCATCATGACTCAATGAAGAAATCTCAGAGGTGAAAAGGGGCAATGACTTGATTATTACAAAGTTAAAGAGGGCACCGCGATTTATAATAATGATACATGTAACTTTGATATATACACAGCGCTAAATCCACATGATTTTTTTTAAGGAATCAGAGGTTACTTTCAGTAATGATAGACACGCGCGTGAGCAAATTAAGGATCCCCCAAAGTTTTTGCAACTAAATAGGGAACCGAGAGTAAATCTCGCGGGCAAATCAGGGATATGTGATATCCCTGGTAAAATATTATATTCCGGGAGCACATGAAGGCGGTAAAAACTCCGTTAAAAACTCCAGTTAAATCATTAATTCAGACGACTATATCAGTACGTTTGAAGTGCAACCAACCAAATTCCTAACAAGCAACAAACAAAACAAAAATCCAAAAGTGAGCAACAATGATCTTGAAAACAATGCTAACAGGGAGCCAGGCGCACACATAGGTGCATTGCTATCCTGGCTGTGTAGTAAAAGCTTTGCTATTGATTTTCAACATCTCTAACACCACTGTACAAAACTCAAGTAATTTCACTAAAAATCGGTACTTTAGTGACAATTGATGACACCTAAATAGCAGTAAAATACAATTCTTTCAACTTACTGATGTTAAAAAGAATAATTTATAAATTCAAATTGTAAGTATAGTGTCAAATTTCAGTGCCGATCAACTCAATCGGTGATATTGTGTGCAGTTTATGCAATAGTGTGTGGTGTGTGTATCTGTGTATAATATCTGCCTCTTAGTAAGTATGCAGTGTTAAAGGTCAATACGCATTATAGCATCGACTCTCTCAACGCTTTGCTGGAGTGGCCAGGTGCTGATCTAGGGGGTTTCGGCGGTTTAACCCCCCCCCCCGCCCCCTCGGGTGGCCAACTGAACAAAACAAAAACAAAGTAAATCCTGGATCCGCCACTGAATCAACCCCGGCCCCCCCCCCCCCCCCCCCCCCCCCTCCACCTTGGCAAAAAGCTAGATCCGCGGATGAAGTAAAAACGACTGCAAAACGAGTAAAGGGACGGCTTTTAATTGGTGGACAGTGACAATGCGAGCCGCAGCATTTGAAGCTTCTAATTGGCCGACACAGATTCTGGGATGAATTGAACAGAATTAAAAGGGGCATTGCCAAATTAGTCAAGACGGGAGGAAATAAAAGCGTGCATTTTTCAATGGCAGACTAGGACAAATATATTTGATATTTGATATTTGATTAGACGCATATTGCGAGTCAAACATTATGACACCGAGAAGTTGCGACAAGTGTGACGAATCAATATTTTGTGCCCGCCCCCCCCCCCACTCAATGTTATTAAGGGTACGCATATGCTCGTTCCCTCTTTGTGAAAGCACCCCCTATCTGAGGACTGCCAATATTTCTGAAACCCCCTTTCGCGGGCTTTTCCTGCCTTGGAGACCCCCCTAAATCAGGAAAAAGGTAAAATGAACGTGTTTTTACACGTTTTTTCCCAAGTGGCAATTATTAAAACAAGAAGAGGGGCATTTATCCGAAGGAAAATGGGCACTAATTATGATTAGAAAGCAAAAAGGGGCACTCTTCACAGATGAAAAGAGGCACTTATTTCAAAACAAAATGGCACTTGTTAAAGTTAAATGGGCACCTCTCAGATTTGAAAAGGGGTCGGTGAATGGGGCACTTATAGGAGGTGGGAAGAGGCACTTATAATAATGTGGAACGGGCACCTATTAGAAATAAAAAGGGACCGCTTATCCTATGTAAAAAGGGGCACCTATCCTATGTAAAAGGGGGCACTTTAGGGGTGATTGAAACCTCTGCATTGGAGATTAGGTCAAAGCAGACCAATTAATGCACATTGTATCATTTTTTTTATAAATATGTCAATGTCTCATTGCCATTTCGAACAGCTAGGTAGATTATACACTGTTGGTCATAATGGTATGAATAACAATTTTACCCCAATTTATGGAATGATTTTGACAATGATTTATTCGTAAGATCTAGATAATAATTATTATACATTCTCAGATTTTATTGAATACTAATTCGTGAGTGATTAAAGATAAAGTTCAGTTCTGGTCAAGGTCCGCCCCGCCCCCCCCCCCCGGCCCGCCCCACTCAGTGTTAAAATACGTGTATGCTTGTTCACTCCCTCTGAAAGCACCCCCCCCCCCCCCCGGGCTTATCTCCGGTGTGAAATTTGTCGCGCGAAAAAGTACTCTGGGATCATATACAATTTTGCCCAATCTTGGAAAAATTAAAAAGCACTGTAAAAAAAAAAAAACGTTTATAATTTATATGGGACTATACACAAACATGTGGCATAAAAATACGGTGTTACATGCCCAATTTTAATATGAAGGCATTGGAATTAGAGCCATGCTTTTCAGTGAACATTTTTTTTCCTGATGTTCTTCCACACTTGCATAATAACAATGATAATGCTCACAAATTATTTTTCGCCTCTCCCGGATCTCAACTTGCTTTTCAATGAATCTTCCTAACGATATCAAACTTGATTGTCTGTGTACGAATGTTTTGATAAAGGACTTGAGATTTCATTGCTTAATGCTATGCGCTTTTGCTATACCCTTCCCATCTCACCAAACGATCATTCTCTTTATCTACTGATCTATTTCTTGGTACCTGCTTTAAATTACACGCTTCATTTTGATAAGGACTAAAATATCCTCCTTTTTTATTTGTAGAATATGCATACGGAAACGCATGGAATTCTTGTATTTCTCTTTTGCACCATGATTTTTTGTTTTGCCTTATTTTATCGTGATCATTTGCGCGCGTGTCTCGTTTTTAAGTTCCAAGTGGATCTCAAGACATTTACAATCGCCCGTGTTGTATTGCTTTTTATCAAGCGCTGAAGCTTTGATAAACGTTAGAAAATCTTTTAAAATACGGGTGTTTTTTTAATTGCTTTTCATGAGATGACGTGGATAATCATAAGAAAAACACTCGTAAAAAGGAATTCATTATGCCTATACAAATATAAATGAGAAAAATTACAATAAAATAAAATAATTGAAGCTGTAATTGGTATGCTTTAATACGGCTTGGAATATGACAAAAAAATTATGAGAGGAACTCTGAGAAAGTGAAGAAAAAGGGATCGTTTCAATACGTACAAAGGTAGATTTTTAAGCGTAAATAACAAGGAGAGAATAGCGCATATGATTTTAGCAAATTATTTCATATTTGTCCATTTCATTTATTTAGTCTAATTTCTAACGAAATACAAAATCATTAAAAAAAGATAGTATTCACATTTGTTACAAAACATTATATTTTTGCAATAGATAACAAGAAAAATTAATGCTTTTGTTGAAATTAAAAGCCCGATGAAAAGCTAGAGAGAGAGAGAGAGGGGGGGGGGGGGAAAGGGGGGGGGGGGGGGCTGTCATCTATCGAAACGTCGAAACTTTTCATGCGGCGCCGAGAAAGGTTAAATGGCATGGTCACAGTGACTTACTGTCAGAGTTCAAAAGCCATATACAGATGTACATTGATACTAGGTTTGCATGATATGTTTATCTGCAAGCAACGTATCTTAGTGAAGAAGTTGTTTTAAAATATATATAATTAGGGAATCATGATGTATTCCTGTAGGATACCATAATTTCAGAAGGTTACAAAAAAGATACCGATAATGTAAAATGAAACAACGGATATCTTGAAATGAGGTTTGAATATAGGCCTAATATGTTCACATGTATTTTGAATAGTTGCATATTTTAGCTTTTGTCGGTACGATGAGACGATTCGGAAAGAAGTGTAAAGAGAAGAGAATGTTTAAAATAAAGCCACATTTTTATCGAAATGAAAACAGGTATATATGATAATTATTTGGAAAGCATAACATTGCTATTTCGAAATCAATTTGTCACATCTCTATACATAATATTTAACTATTTCATATAATTTTGTAGAGGTTATTGTGATTATTCAACATGAAAGATACTCAATTGTTCGCTCATAAAAATGAATTCTATATCTTTCATCATTATACAAATGAGAGAGACGGAGAGAGAGAGAGAGAGAGAGAGAGAGAGAGAGAGAGAGAGAGAGAGAGAGAGAGAGGGAGAGAGAGAGAGAGAGAGAGAGAGAGAGAGAGAGAGAGAGAGAGAGAGAAGAGAGAGAGAGAGAGAGAGAGAGAGAGAGAGAGAGAGAGAGAGAGAGCTAGAGAGAGAGATGTACAGTGCATGTCCTTTTCCGTGGTTACAGCGCATGCGCTTATAGCCCATTGTTCAGCGGCTCTTAGCAACGTACAGTGTATGTGTGTACTGGATATCGTTTGTGACGTGTTTCTTCGCGATCTCAACATACACGTACAGTACAGCTGCGACTCATGTAGCTAGCTTGACCGCTGGTATTTGGAGTCATCAGGAAAACAAACAAGATTGGCAAAAAGACCGGCAAAATTTCATTACAAAACATCGATATAATTGACATCATTTATAAATATTACCATCTACATTCATGGCACAAGAGCAAGTACGACATGGCCGAAGGAGAGGGCAAAAAAAGAGTAAGTTTAGTTACAAACACCGACCAAAAAATAGTGAACAATTCTGAGTGAGCTGTGCATTTGTCAGTGAGTGTTTTCTGATTTCTGGGAGATCAAGACAGAATTAGAAATATTATAGAACGACTTGAAATGTATTGTATATGACTAGATCTAGACCACTATTTCTAAAGAATAAGTAGATCTAGACTAGACCTAGGCCCTATGATAAGACCTAGCTATAGGCCCTATGATAAACTGTGTTGAAATATTATTGAAGAACATGCACAATGACTGTGGTGAATTAAATTTTTTCCTAGAATAAAAAGCTGGAGGAGTAGTGACGGAGTTAGGACTAGATCTAGCACTAGATCTAGACTCTAGGGGCCTAAAATTGCATATAATTTGAAACTTTGGCAAAATATTGTACAATCACTTGGCATCACCAAATTTTGATGACATCAATCGATGCACTCAAAATGAAGATTTCCAGACCCTTGTCAAATTGTACTTCTAGAATCTACTTCTACGACGATACTAATTAGCAGGATCCAAAACTCTAACACTAACTCTAACGGACGCAAAAGACTGCAAATTTGATCCGGACCCCTTTCCCAAAAGTTATTTCGGACTCTATGGAGCCCTGCAAATACAAATCTAATCCAACTCTGTTTATCTTTATTTATTGCTTCATCAGATTCACCGATTGGAAATCGTTCTGGGGGAGCTCCTCCAGCTGGTCCAGGCATGATGCTTCCCGACGGGTCCGATCTCCGGCAGGTGACTGTCCTGTCAAAGGCAGACTGGTCTCGTATCAGGGCGCAGTTAGAGCGGAAGCAGCGGGAAGAAGAAGCCTTTAGAGCCAAACGAGAAGCCAAAGAAGCTCTCCACCAACAGTCTAAGGACATGGTCAAAAACTGGAGTAATACCATTGCTGTAAGTATATAATTACTCAGATGTTGTTTCCAGACAGGTTGTGCGTCTGGACGGTTGATTTAGAACATCAACTTAAAGGAGTTTACAAGCTATATTTCATAAATCTTCCACAACTTATGTTGGTCGATATATAAAGGACAAATATTCAATATGGTTTTAACTAGTGCTATTTGTTTCGATGAGTATTATCTGTTAAATACAAAGGCAATTAGGGTCTAGCAACTCTTTATGTTTGTTACGTGTCCGGACACCCAATCATATGTTATTTTTTCTTCTATTACCAATTTCTGTATTAAGGTTGCTCTTTTTACTATTTTAGTATTTGATTTGATCCTGTTTAACAAGAATTGATGATTATAATGGGACATTTAATATTGACTGCAAAAAAGACATCTTGATGTAATTTCCTTAAACTGTTTGTCTCCATCAGTTGTCTACCTTATAACTCTATATGGAACAGACTTTGCATGTTACTAATGTTGCCTATTTGTCTATTTGATATCGATATGTAAAGTATTAATCATTCTCATCGCTCATGTTCTTTTCACCTTCAGGGTCAAAGGTTACAGAAGCTTGAGGCTCGCAAGATCCGCGAAGAGAAGGAAGAAGCCGAGCGAGTCCAGATCGACATCGAGGAAGCCAAGTACCAAGCGGAGAAGAGAAAAGAAGCCATCGACAAAGCAAAGACTCTACAGTACTACCAAACAGACAGGGTCAAAGGGTTTCATGTAAGTTTGATTGATTGATTGATTGATTTGTTTGTTTATATTTGTTCTTACAGAGCCATGTGCACGCAACACAATCATAAATGACATATGATTTCCTGATTTTTAATATGATGTTAAGAGTCCGTTGAGTTTGTTGATTTAGTAGTGAAAAAAAGAGGAAATAAGAATGTTGAGTTGAATTTGCACTCCATCTGGCACCTGTTTCACAATGCCTTTTTTCAATGACAAATTATTGACAAAAATCAGTGACAAATCTGCTGATAACCAATCAGAAGCCAGGATTTCAGTAGCTTTATTAAAAAAACGATCATTTGTCACTGATGACAAGTTTTATGAAACACCCCCCAGACTTAACTTCAGATAAACCTAAAAGCATGCATACAATCATAACCTCTCGATCTGGATTGATGTCAAATGAATTCCATACCATCGTCACCCCTACATGTATATATTCTTGGTACTATACCCCTAAATTTTTAGCTGATTTTAAGGCATTTTAATTATGGAATTTATATATCATCTAAGAGAATCTCCATGAACATGTACAACCTTTTAGATACATTGATTTTTTAAAAAGACTGTTTGAAATTTAACTTAACCGTGATCAATTATGTTTTTGTTTGACAGGGAGCCCTACTGCTGACCGAGGTATTGAAAGAACGTGATGCTCAGCTGGATCTGAAGAGGGCTCGAGAGGCTGCTATGGAGGGCAATGACATGGAGCTCTATCTCCGTGCACAGAGGGAGCTAGAAGAAGGGATCCTAGCGGACCAGGAGAAAGCTCTCAAAAGGATGCAGGATCGCAAGGCCAACTCAGAATTTCAAACGCAACAGTGAGTGCTTTTCTTGAATTCTTCATTCTTCCAATTTTGTTATATTTTTTTGGAGAAGTGTTACATTAAATCAGATTTTACCTGAGCAATCAAAGAAAAACACAAATGAAACGAAAGAAAAACAAACAAACATAAAACGGGTTTTATGAATTTGTTATAGAGACTGTTTAATTTGTCAATCGATACACCTTTTCAGTGGGTTTAACCTTAAGTAGTCTCGGGATTCATCATAAACTCCTCAAATTCTATTTTTTTCGTTTAACTTTGTTATTCTTTTCAAGTTGAATAGCCTTGACAATTATATTGCACTTTAATTGAACTTTATTTACCAGTAATTGGTAATTTTTTTTCTCCGTTCGATCTCATTTGATTTGATTTTCTTCTGCATTCATGTGCATGTACATGTAAGTACACAGTTTTTTTATAACATTAATAATATAAAGTACAATAAGTATTTTTCTGAAAATATATATAAATAACAATTGTTATTTTCAAAAACAAAATGATAAACTGTCATAAATACTTAATTTCCTCAAACATTATGAAATTATTTGTGGAAGACGGACTGTCATTGTAAGCAGATTGCTTGATAATAATTTTATTATTTTGTCATTTTTTTCATCAATTTAGGATCCAGGAGCATTTACAGCAAGCTGAAATTGACAATATCCAAGATGTCAGAGAGGGAAGGGAACTCAAGGAGCAGGTGGACTACTACAACGCAGAGCGCGCTAAGATTGAGCGTATCCGGCTCGGTGAGAAGCAGGACCTCATGCACTCCCATCTCAAGACTGTGGCTGACCGTGACCTGATCAGGGCCGCCCAGGAGCAGAAGGAGGAGGAGGAGGAAGAGGAGATTCGCATCTTTGCGGCGGCCAAGAAGAAGATGACCAAACTGCGTCGGAAGAGGGAGAAAGAGCTCTGGCAGTAAGTGACAGGCCCGATTTAAATTGTTTTCTCGATTTTTTTTAAATTATATTTTTTTCTTCCCGATTTTAACCCTATTTTCCCCTTATTTTCCCTATTTTATCCTAACTTTCTTACTCAAAAGGGGGGAATGTTGTTCGATGCCATTTCCCCCCCCCCCCCCTGTATCCTTTTTTTTTTTTTTTAGTGCTCAATATCACCCCTGAAGTGAACACCTTGCTTGCATGGGTAGCATTTCTAAATTGAAAATGAGCAGGGGCTGGTTTCATAAAACTTGTTATCTATAGCAAATGCAAAATTTCTATGACAAATTTCCTCTCAGCCAATCAGATGTCATGATTTCAGTAGCTTATAACAGTAGCTTGGAACTTGTTATTGATAACAAGTTTCATGAAACAGGGCCCAGATGTGTTAGACGAGTAGGATTAAGAGCTGGGGTGGTATTCTGAACATTGTTGTAAGTTTTGTGTTATCTTTTGTTGTATCTTCCATAGATAACACAGCGCTAATATTGTTGTAAGTTGGTATTCTGAACATTGTTTTATCCCTGTGTTATCTCTAGAAGGACCGCCTCTATCTTATCTTTTACCACTGTTGACACGCCCATTTCTATGGACCCTACCAATCAAATCTGTTTTATATAAGCATGATAAGTAGGTCAACCAATAGAAATACTTTATGCCATATCTGAAGATGCGCCTAGCGCATACTAATCTTGGGCGTAATTAGTTATTTGAGCATTTAGTACGCGCGTCTTTGATATGCGCTGTGGCATGTGGATCATGAAGACAAATCACGCTTTCACTATATTGGTTGAGATGAGAGCACTAAAATCGTCATGTTCTAGCATGTAATTTCTTAAAAAGTTCTCATCTGTGATGTTTCCGGTCGACACACAATGTTTTTCTAACTTGCTATTGGCAAGAAGTTGGTTCTGGGCAAAAAATATTGCCGCCATTATATCACCACGAAAGATACAACAACCCCCTACCTGATGTAAATATTGTTGTAAATACCATGAAAGATAAGATAAGATAAAAGATACAACAACTTTCAGAATACCAATTATCTCGACATATTATCTCCCGTGCGCATATGCAAATGAGGATTAAATGCCACTTTATTAATAATACGCACAATTACAAGCGTACCAAAATATGAGCGCAGGCGCGGCCAATAAGATGAGAAAAAATATACAACAAAAGATAACACAAAAGTTACAACAATGTTCAGAATACCAACTTTATCTTATCTTCAAAGATACAACAATATTAGAGATAACACAGGGTTCAGAATACCGCCCCAGGCCGCCCCATATACAGTCAAACCTGCTCTAGTGACCACCTGCACTAGTGACCACCTTTATAGAAAGACTACCTGTCTACAAAGACCACATTTTTTGTTTCCCTTGCAAGTGGTTTCTCACTGATACATGTACCAAAGAAACCCGTACATAAAGACCACCTGCCTATGAAGACCACTTTTCTCGTCTCCCTTGGATTGTGTTTATAGACAGGTTTCACTGTGCAATACCAGAAAATTAGCCAACGATGGCAATCTCATTGTTTCATTCATTCCTACATGTAGTTTGCATATTACCTATAATATTTAAATTATCAAATTAGTATTGTGAATTCTAAAGCATTCCTCAAAAAACTTTATTTTTGTACAGAGAAGAGCAAGACAATGTCAATCGTATGGTACCCATAATATTCAAATTATCAAATTAGTATTGTGAATTCTAAGAAATTCCTCCAATCTTTTATTTTTGTACAGAGAAAAGCAAGACAATGTCACTCGAATGGTCAACGATCTTGATAGCCAGATGAAGGCCAAGGCAGATGATGAAGATGACCGCATCGCCAAGGCCGTAGCTGACCGTGAAGCTGCTCGGGAGAAAGAGATGCAAGAAAAAGAATCCAGGCTGGAGGATGATCTTAAACAAATGGCTCTTCACAGGTTAGTAACAACATGCAGCAACAACAGCATTTAGTTTCCCTTCTCTGGTATATACCAGTTTTGGAAACGCCCCCCTCTCAAAAATAAAATGGAAGCTCTTATTACCAATCATGTGAAAGAATATGTTTTGACTAATATGTGATGATACAAATTTTGCAGGGAAACCGCCTACTAATTGATATATTCCGTAAATTGTCATATCGCGAATGCACTTCCAATAGAACATTTGGGCATATATTTCTGCTTTTTTGCGAATTTAGGTTGAAGTATTGCTATCTTAACCTTTGAAGGCAATATTAAAATTAGAGTATTGAATGGACATTTTGTACCCAAAACCCTTGAACCGCAATTCTACCACTACCGGTCTATATCTTTAAGGAGCTTTAAGATGAATTTCTTGGATTTAAGAGCAACTATGTATATGAATGTAAAATTGAAGAAATTGTGTTTTAAAAATTGATTTATGATGATGTATTTTATGATTAATCTTTGTATGCCTGTATTGAAGTTGGATGCATATTTTCTTCACACTTGTTTTTCCGTTACCATCCTTATGGAAATATATACATTTTGTACTGATGGACGGAATTATGGATGATGATGATTTAGAGTGTTAAGCTTTTGAGCATTAATAGACAATATCAATGTCAGATCTTAGAGTGCTAGAAACTATTTGGAGTCACATTGTGTAACCTTGTACTTCTGACTTATCTACTTTGCAGGACTCAACAAATGAAGCAGAAGGAGAAGGAGGAACGCCAAGAGAGGCGTCGCGAGCTGGAAGCCCTCCACCTGAAGATTGAGGCGGACCGTCTCTTTGCCACCAAGCAGGAGGAGAAGATGAAGCAGATCAGGCAAGAGAACGAAAACCTCAAGGGTTTCCATAGCAACCAGATCCAGGAGCGCCACGAGCTGAAACTCCTGGGCCGCGCCGAGCAACTCGAGATGGACAAAAAGAACATTGATCTGCTGGCGCTGGAGGAACAGCAGTTCCAGGAGTACGCGGGCAAGGTCATCAAACATTGCAAGGAAGGCGAGCGCAACGTCTATCCTCTGGAGAAGGCAGCCAGGGAGGGGCACGGTGGTGGCCATGGACCCGTCTTTGACGGCAAGGGTGGAATCCGACCCAGCTATCTGACCAACGACAGGGTCGGAGTCGAGCTGCCTTACTACCAGAAAGGCAGCACAGATGAGGTTAAATACGCACACATCGGGAAGCCCTCCAATACAAGGAAGCGTCTCGGTTTTGTATGGTAGAAAGCTCAAGCTTCCAAACCACAAACTGGACTTTATGGACAATGCTACTATCTTTGTGTAGAGTTGCCACTTCATTGTTCATTTTCTGAAGAACTTGTTAAGAATATTATTAACAGGTACAATCAAGTTGTGGTATATGAACTGATCATATCTTTTCAAGAAGAATGAAGATAATTGCTATTGAAATAACCTGTTGATTACTTCATTAGTTATGAATCTGCATAGAGAAACTTGTAAATAGCAGAAAATCATATATGATGATGATAAATATATAGCTCAAGTATTGGTTTTCAAGAGGATTCGATATGATGATAGATCACTTTTAGTAATGTTAAAGGCTTTCTTCCATATTCAGTAAGCCTTTTCTGTCAGGAACCGTCCTTTATATCAAAATACTATGCATGCTAACAAAGAAAAGAGATCTCAATGTTAAAATTACAGGTCTGTATGATGATATGTAGAAGTGTGCCTTCAAAAAATAGAAAGAAAAAGAAAAAAGGGCATTTCTAATTTATTTTTCATTGCAATGAAGTTCAATTGAACCCTGTATCTTGATCACGCTGTTACTTCAATCGTTTCAATTGCCTTCTGAACCTTCGTATTCCGTCCACTTTGTATTTCATATAATCATTTATCAAATCCAACATGGTTGTTTTGTCGGCATGGCTAGCCATTCATATTGGAAGGAAACATTTGAAAAAGATTTGTCAGGCAATACAAAAACTACTTCCTTCAATGATTTATTATCTTTGTGTGATTTTGTTCTCATTCCTTTTGGCCTCATTAAAAAAACTGCCTCAAAAATGCTGCAGCAAAATGGCATAATGCTGTTCACATATTTCCATATAGTAACATGAAGATAAGTCAGGGGATTTTTGTTGTGCAGAGTAACTTTTTATTCGTTTTAATAACGTAAGATTTTTCTTATTTTGCTGTAGCAGATTTTAAAATGGATATATTAATTGTAATTCTTTGTTCTTTTTTTTTTCATCTTCAGTTCTTAGTTCACAAAATTTACAAGAAAACTTGTGTAGTGACACTATTTGGTTAACCGTAAACAATTACATGTACCTGCGGATAAATTACTTAGTGAAATTGATGACAAATGACAATATTTTTTCTTCAGTATGGACAATTTTATTATTTCCCTGGATATTTATTACAGGGAAGCACATAGGTATATGTATATAAATACATGTACCATACTAGAACCAATCAAAAATTGCATATACATTACATGTTCTATAAATTAACATACACAATTAACACATTATGTACAATTATTACATATGTTATGAATTAATTATCATAATACATTTTTAAAAAAGCCTTCATCCATTATGTACAAATTTGTTCAGTTTTAAATTTGTAAATATTTATATTGAATTCATGTTGAATGTCACAAATAAATGTCTTGTGAAGGACAATATTGCAAAACAAAATGGTTGATTGTCATGTCTGTCTTAACAGGATATATAGTAAGCAAATAATTACCGTTGGTGAAGGTGATATGGGACAAACTATCACTTCTGAGGAAAGATAGCGTATACATTCTGATCGACGAGGAAGTGATAGTTTGCCATCGCCTGAAAACAAAAGGTGATTATTTGCTTTATTTTCCACATCTAAAACAATTTAATAACAAACAGGTAAAGGAAGTGTATGCATCTACATAAAAGACACCTAGGCCCAAATTCACACCAAAAAAGTTAAACAGTTTATAACCCAACCCCTTGAGGGTACGGTGCGCGCATGTGTTTGTTTTAATTGCGCTCATTGGTAATGCGCGCTTAATTACGCCTGTTTTAGTGCGCTTTTGGATAATCTTCAGTGAAAGTGCGTTGCCCTTTGTAGATAGTACCTCTATCTTCAGTAAAAGTGCGTTGCCCTTTGTAGATAGTAGTACTATCTACAAAGGGCAACAAACTTTTTGCTTCTCCCATCAATGATGGGCGAACTATCTTTGATCACGTGATTTACTCATGACCAATCGTAGAGCAAGATTCTTAGTATGTGGAATATAATTTGATATAATACTTGGCTAAAAGTACCGGTACTATCTTATATAGTGAACAATGATTTTCAAACACTCTTGGAGAGTAATACCTTTACAACAGTAAGACCATCCATGGCATTCTGACATCAATATTCATCTTCATTTGTTTTGAAAATCCTTGCAGAAGTGTGTATTATGTGACAACCCCTTTCACATTATATAATTTAATTAAATTTCTGCCAAAAAGTGTTGGTGTTCTCACAACACCAACACCAGCTTTCAACACCGAACTTGAAATCCCTCAATGTATTCATACATGTAAAATATAAGAAATCAGATTATTTTGTAGACCAAATCGGTGACCACTGTTACCAGTTCCATGACTAAGTAATGAACTTGCTTCCAAGAAAGCTCAATCTTCTTGGAATTCCAGACCCAAAAGTCCAACTGCCATTTTTGTTTTCTTCTTCTCTGATTTTCTGTTATTTACATGTAGCTGTGGGGTGTTAGAGTTATCTCCATTTCGCCCGTTTTGTTGGTCATACAATCCAGCACAACTGGAAAGGCTCTTGAAAATGAAAATATAAAAACATGCCCTCATACCTACACTTCATGAATATTTTTCCTCCTTAATATGGCTGACCTCCCCAAGGGGAACCCCCCCCCCCCATGGGTGTCGATACTTTCGTAATACCTATTCATCAGGGGGGATGAATGAATAGATCATCCCCCCCCCCTGATGAATAGGTATCAGTTACGGATCGACACCCATGCCCCCCCCCCGGCAAACAAACATACAAGGAAAATAAAAGCCCAAATGCTGAACAATTTAAAGTCTTTTAACATTCTATAAGAGCGATTTGGTTTAAAGAGCAGACATTTCTATTAGAAGTTCTACTCTTTTAAAGCCCAAGATAATATTACATCAAGTACTGGTGCTAAAAAGATTTTTTCAGGATTTCTCTAATGAAATTCTATTAATCAATATATTTCAATGCTGACACAGTACTAAAGGAGTTGTTGAATATCTATAATATAAATATCTAACATGAATATAACCTATGGCCTATACAATGAAACAGATATAATTTTACACTACTTGTTATAAATATATGTATACTATCAAACCAAATCAATTTTCAATCACAATTTACTATCACACGTCCTTACCGACTAATTAATTTTGAGTTGCTATGTTCGATCTGAGCCTATATAAAAAGGATATCTGTACACTAATCTTTAAAAAAGTTCATTACTTTGCATAGAATATTGTTGATTAGTGGTAATAAATAATTATAAACAAACATTTTATTCACTTATTCCCTTGGCACAGTTTAAAACAAGAATGCTTCATCAAATTTACAGGCAGGTCCGACACATGTCACATTATGTAGTGGGCCAAGCGAGGATTACCAATACCATAGGCCTTTCCTCATCAGCTCGAGTTTGCCAACTATCCCGATCGCAAATTAACCATTTAATTTGCATCTTCATCAGCCCGATGATGCAATTAGCGGGATAATTGGTCGAGAAAATATCCTGAGAAATCTTGGTCTTGTTTCCAAAATATCCTGCTATTTGGGAAATGGCGGGCTAATTTGCGCCTATCCGAGCTAGTTTGTGATGAGCATATCGGTCTGATGAAAACAGGCCTCTTGAGATCATTGCAGGTTTGCAGATCATTTTCAAGGTTGGAAGGCAATATCACACCCCTTCCCCTTCTGACAGATGCATTGGTCAATGACGCTTGCTCTTGTGACAATTTCTCTGCTTCGATTACCTACACTACTCAAAATCCCAACTTCACCCCTAGAACCAACCCTAACCCAACTTCACCCCTAGAACAAACCCTAACCCTGACACTATACCAACTTCGCCCCTAGAACCAACCCTAACCCAACTACACCCCTAGAACAACCCTAACCCTGACCCTATACCTCATAACCTAAAACCAAATTGCAACCCTAACCATAACCCTACACCTCAAATCAAATAAAGCTCTTATATATGTCACAGGAGCAAATGCCGGGACACCAATGCATCCTCTCAATCACATTTAAACATAATAATTTATTGGATTGAATTGTTTTTTGGTATTTGTACAAAGAATTCCACCACAGAATATTGCTGATATCTGTCTTTGAGTTGAGATCTTGTAGAAGATTGTTCCAACAACAACAAAAAAGAAGAGAATTGCTCCGATTTCTAATTGATCCTGAATATTCTTTTTCATTGCACTTGAAATCTTACATACTGGTATATCAGCAGGCTTGCATGCTGACAGTGATGTGTTACATACACATTTGTAGCAACCAAAACACAATTTCCCTTCCCCTTCGTTTTTTTTTGCAGGTTGAATCAAAATGCCTGCCCGAGGATTACATTAAAAAAAAAAAAAATTAAAAAGATACAGCGCATGGGGAATGGGCAGTCAAAATTTTCCTAATACTATTGAAAACAAAAATCAAATGATTGTACCAGCTTCAGCCTTCAACATCTTTAAACATTTATAAATAATACTATTACAGTGCTTAGAAACATTAGTATTATTATTTTATCACCTGACGAAGTGTTGCAGCGGCGCACGAAACGTCGTGATCTTTTGATCCCTTGTCGACCATGCATTGCAAGACAAACGAATATCGTTAGCGATATTATTTTTGATACTATATCCGCAATGAGTAATATATTTAACATTGGTATTAAGCACCATATAAATATTACTGATTATCATTATTAAAAACACACAGCATCATGGCACTATTAAGAGAAAAATTTGGTAATCAACAATATTTAAGTCATAAAAAACATACAAAAACACTGACATTATTGCACCTTCTATGATATGATTTAAAAAAACATGAACATGAACATTTCACATATATATGGCACATGCTGCAGCAGAATATTGCTGATATCTGTTTTTGAGTTGATCTTGTAGAAGATGTTTTCAATTACTCCAGCAAAGCATAGAGTCGAGGCTAATGTGTATCATTGACCTCTAGCACTGCATACTTGCTGAGAGGCAGGTATAACACACAAATACACACACACACACTATTGCATACTAATGCACACAATAAAACTGATGTGGCTGATGGTCAAATTTAACACTAGACTTACAATTTGAATTTTTGAATTTTTCTTTTTAACATCAGCTAGTTGAAAAAAATGTATTTTACTGCTATTTAGGTGTCATCAATTGTCACTAAAAGTACCGATTTTGAGTGAAATCAGTTGACTTTTGTACAGTGGTGTTTGAAATGTATGGTTTCAACCACAACAAAAATGAAGAGAGAATGAAGCAAGGGATCTTCATGCGCCTTTCACTAACTTGCCTTTGGCATTGTGTACGTAGAGACAATCGTCTACAAAGTAGCTGCATAATGAAAGGAAGAAACAAGGGAGGTCATACTAAAAAACATTGAACTGATATACATGAGGATATAGAAACGTTTCTAAAAAGATTTGTTCAATTTATACAATATCTATAAAGGGTTATTTTTTAAAGTTCCAGGCCTGGTTTATAACTTTACGAACCAGAGCAAAATAACACTGAGCTCTTATAGGAAATCTTTTTATTCAGATGGCCATATCTCAGCCAATACTTAACATATTCAATTGGCTTTCGACACTTGGACATTATTTTTGATGCTCTTTTGAAAAATGAGAACAAAAAAATTGAGAAATTCTAAAAATAGATTTTTGATGAAGTCACACTTCACCACTCTATATTCCTGTAGTAGGAGCGATATATAAATGGACCTATTACTATTATTACTAAGATAATACAGAGAAAGAGAGACAGAGACAAAACAAAACTATGCTTCTCAAAACCTACCTTGCATACAGTATAACCAGTGGAATCGTGCTCGCATGCCAGAGAGAGTGTGCATCGAACGTCCACCAGAAGGGAGGAAAGTCCAACACCTCCAGTGAGATACACACGTTGATGCTAACAATGGAAGCAATGGCCTTCCAGAGATAGGGCTGTTCTTTTATATGCCAGGCGCTCCACAGCACCATTACAGCAAAATTGAACATGGCTGTAGCAAAGAGAGAGAGAGAGAGAGAGAACTTTTTTATATTTAGTCAGATTTAATTGAAACTTTCATCAGTTTGCTTCTCTGATTTTTCTGTTTTCTTTTAGAGTAGTTGTTTATTTGGATCATATTTCCCTTTAACACAGGGAACTCCCGGTTCCGAAAGACAATGGGTCAATTTATGTGCAGAATTACAGAACACTTGGTAATAAATGGGAAATTGAAAGAGCAAAACCTTGAACTCGTCTAGTTGCATTGTATGTCCTACCCGGGATGCCAGTTAGAATCGATCAGAGGGCCTGAAAATCACCTGGAATGAGTTTTTTTGTACACAAAAAAAGCCTAAACTATGGTCTGAAAATAACTTGCCAGGGCCTGAATTCAGGCTATTGCCTGAAAACTGGCATCCCTGTTCTACACAAAGATGATCAAACATATAAATTTACCTGTTGCAATATTGACTTTCATATTGTAACCGTAGTTGAAGTCAACAAAAGCCAGATGGCAGATGTGTTTGAGGTAGAAAAGAGAGGAAACAGCCGTGATTCCTAGGGCCACTTTCATGTTCAGACTGTTGTCCCTGACAGCAAAGACTCTGCAAACACACACACAGAAAGAAAGATTAAGATTTGACATCAATCTTTGACAAAGGTGCATCTGATCTACCGATTAAATTTGACAAGAAAATTTCATTTAAAATGCTATGTGTTGTCAAACTAATTCCAAATTGATTTCAACATTTAAAGTAATGCAAAGTTAAGGAAAAATTTGAAAATTGAATGTATAGTAAATTAAGCCCCTAAAACACTTCTGCTTTTGAGAAATTCGGTGCTCCCAGTAAATTTCAAATAGCAATTAAGGTCATTTCATGGTAGCTGCGAGCATGAAAAATTTCAGAATATGCAGTTCTGATATATAATAGAATAGCAAATCGGTTGATTGGAGTCAAGTAAAATTGTTTTAAAGTTAAAGTACTATCGGTCTTGAGAACATAAAGAGTTTATTATTTACAATTTCATCACTTTAGACTTGATTTCAACTGTGACAACGATCATTGAACATTGTTAAATCGCATGCTTCCAGTATGTTCATTTGAACCAAATTCATGACCAAATACCAAAACTTTGTATTACTTTACACTGTGTGATTCGTGTCCATTGGTGAAGGCTAACACAGTTCAACTTTGCAATTTGTTGAGTGATAATAATAATTCACATGGATTCTAATTACTGGTATTTAAAGATCTTAAGTCTCTATTAAAGCACTAGTTCATTACTCTAATTGTTATATTTCTGCTGAAATTAAAAGAATGAGTGATGACATTAACTTCATATATCCTTACCTAACTAATGATGTTATTAAGCTGCACATGACAATAGAATATGCACAAAAGTAGTCCATTTTCTGAAAACAAAACAGACAACAGATAAAACTTCTTGATTCAGCACACCATAGAACGCTAGCATGGTTGCAAAAGTAATTCATTGATTCTAAAATTTGGCTTGAAAAAAAGGGGGGAAATTTAGTTTAGTTAGGGGAGTAAAATCTGTTTAATTTGATGTCAACAATAATCATTCTATTCATGCCATGGACATACATAACCTTAGAATCGTCTATGTTTTACTGCCATTATCTCTTATTTTCATCATACAATTCAAATGTTAAATAGTACAGTTCAGTGGAAATTAAAACAGACAAGTATGACTCATTATCTAACTACAAATATGTAAGCCTCCAGCACTATTTTACAATTTAAAGGTGTCTTTTCAGGAACGATACTTATATTTCCCTAGTTGAACAGGAAAGAAGAAAACATACCTCGGTCCAGGGTAAATCTCTGGAGTGAAAGACAGTTGACCAAATCCAGGCATTTATTGCAATCTGTTGGAAAGAGAATAACAAGCAAAATGAAAAGTCATTAAAGGGAAATCCAACCTTGATAGCAAACTACTAAAGTGCAAAGCAGAAAAATTTGAAGTAGAGTGGTAAAAGTGTGAATGAAAATGGACAACAAAAAGTTGTGCATTTTTTTAAAGTTGTAATCACTACAAATATGGGCTCTTCAAATTGGCTTAATCTGTAATGTATCTGTGATGTAGTTGCAGACAACTTTCCCTTTTTGTTCCAACACAAAATGACACAAACAACGAAATGTATGACTCCAGAGAGTCTTCCTTAGAGGACCTATTATAATATGCTAATATAATAATAATAATAATAAATTATATTTCTATAGCGCATTATACAAGGTATGTCTGTATGCGCTTTACATTGTATTACAAGCTTAATTAATATATCTTGAGTAGTGCCCGAAATGAGAAGGCATTTAGGAGATAAACAGAAATTAATGATATTTTTGTTACCGGTATCTGCGACTGCGCCACAATCCACTCACCAAAATGCCAATTTGAAATTCGCATAGGCTTAATGATCTTGTATTTCAAACATTCATAACCACTCTACTACTGTACTTACCCCACCCTGTGCTAGACCAACATAATACATCGGTGCAGTATGTGGCACCCTCTTTCTCAGCTGGTAAATATAGAAGACTTGAGCTAAACCATTGCCAATGGAGAAGATGACTGATGCTGGTTCCTGAATTCCAAATACTCTGATAAAGGGCCACTGAAAAATGAAAAAATAAAATACATTGCTTTACCTTAAAATACATTAGAGTTTGTTGATTTTGATTTTGTAAAACAAAATAAATAACCATTCAAATAGTTTTAAGAAAATATAAAAATGTATCTTCTGTGTTCTACAAATCAATTCAATTTAGAATCTCTACACCTGCAGGTATTTAGGGATTCCTTGAATAATGTGAGGTTGTGACTCAAATAGAAGCCCTTAGACAGAAAACCAAGCAAAAAGGGTTTCGTTAGTATTTGATTGCCTCGAGCATCACTGCATGATAGATTAAAGCCATAATCATTCCCATCATCAAAGGACAAGGAATTATTATCATCAGACATTCTTCTTCTCCTCCTTTCTTCTTCTCCTTCTCCTTCTCCTTCTCCCTTTCCTCCTCCTCCTTCTTCTTCTTCTTCTTCTTCTTCTTCTTCTTCTTCTTCTTCTTCTTCTTCTTCTTCTTCTTCCTCTTCCTCTTCCTCTTCCTCTTCCTCTTCCTCTTCCTCTTCCTCTTCCTCTTCCTCTTCCTCTTCTACCTCTTCTACCTCTTCTACCTCTTCTACCTCTTCTACCTCTTCCTCTTCCTCCTCCTCCTCTTCCTCATTCTTCTTTCTCCTTCTCTATTCTCAGCCCCAGTCTGAATGAGTTTATCTATCTATCTATCTACAACACACATGTAATGAGTTAATCTCTTTATTTACCTTCCCATAAAACTGAGGAATGTCAGCAACTGGGGTACCCTTCTGGAGCAAATGATCGACCGTCATCCACATGGACAGGTAGCGACACTCGTGTGTGCAGTCCCACCCAAGCATCCACAGCTCCAGGGGTTGGTTCTCGTAGAAGCTCTCCAGCTGTTGAGGGGTGCTACAGTCCTGATTGAGGCACGAGCGAAGAAGGTGCATGTGCACCTTATGCCGGTCACCGGCTGAAGCAAGGACGTGGTCCAGATGACAGAGGATGACTAGAATGAGGATGGTAGAGTAGGAATAGGTCCTCCAAGTAGAGTCCATGGCTGTTCTTCAGGTCCTCATCTCTTTCAACAGATCATACATGTATGTAACTGAGAATCTGAGAAAGAAGAAATAAAATAAATTAAACAATCATTCACATTTATTCCTAAGAATAGCCTAGCCCATTTATGGTTAGACTTCATGCATTGCAGGAGTGATTTTAGGGGACTGAGTGAACATTCCAAAAAAATATATTGTTAGAAGATACAAAATGGGTAACAAATAATCAACAACAACCATGACAACGGGGGAAAAAATCACATAAAATAAAAATCCAAACATAAACACACATAAAATAAATAAACATGAAAGGCATGAACACACAATTTTCATCTCTAGGGTCTATAATATATTATAAAAAATAAAAATATAAATATACATATAATATTTGAAGTCGGGCTAACTCGGCCCACGGGACTACTCGGCCCAGCTGGAAAAACTGGGCCGAGATGTCCCGACCTGATTAATCGATCGAGAGATACCAATGTGTATATATTTGTGCTCTTTGTGACTTAATAATACCCTTTCCAACCAAAATCTTTAATGGAATTGTGTTAAATGATACCAATGAAGACAATTTATAACTTATCTTTAGGTAAAATGACAAAAAAAATGACATTTCGGACAATTTACTCACAGCTCGCAATCCGCATTGCCGCACGTACATTAAATGTGCGTTGTATCTACTCGGACCACTGAAATTCGAGCAGTGTTTTTGTCGGTAAATCACTGCAAAAATATCATTTTTATCTCGTATGAAGGTCTATTTTTTATTCCTGACACAGATTTCATTATTGAGAAGTCGAATATAGTACATTTTAGACGAGATGGTTGATGTTTGTTCACATTCTTTCGTCCTGGCCGTAAATTAGCAGACTACTGCCTAGTGCTACCGCAGCAGCTCAGCTCAGTGTGCAGCTAGCCGTACAGCGCCGCCGGCCTGGTCGGCGGGGGAATTCACTGACTCGGCGCCCGTACCGGGCCGCTGCACTGCATTGCATGATTGTACTGCCCAATTTGATCGAGTGATGTGAGTATAACTAATCAAACTAGATCTATATCTACTGTATTATCATTATTCATTCCGAGTAGAATATCCAATTTGATTTAGTGAGTAAACTAGACCTAGATCTATATCTACTGTAGCTACATCATTATCATATACTAGATTTAGTAGATTAGTCATTCAGAGTAGAATATTTGATTAATGAAGGAATGGAATTTTTCTTTTTCATAATCAGATAATCATATTTTACTCCTAAAAGTTAAAGACTTGATAAATAGCTAGATCTAACGTAAGGGTCTAGCGTAGTACTGTAAGTGAAGTGAGCTGAAGAATCGCCTTCTTCTTTTATTTTGGAGGGGCAGGCGCGTAGCCAGGGGGAGGGGGGGCAGTGGCCGGGGCGGTCGCCCCCCCCCCCCCCCCAAAAAAAAAAAAGAGAAAAAAAAAAAAACAGGAAGAGGACGTAGGAAGAATAAGGATTAAGAGTCGAGAACGGTACGATGGGAGGGATGGAGATGGTGACAAGATGGTGAGAGGGATGGAGACGGGAGGGATGGAGACGTCTCCATCCCTTCAATCATCAATATCTTCTTCATCCCTTACATCATCAAAATTGTCTCCATCCATCTCATCATCTCCAATTCTCCATCCCTCACATTGTCTCCATCCCTCTCATCATCTCCATCCCTCACATTGTCTCCATCCCTTTCATTATCAATATCGTCTCCATTCCTCTCATCATCTCCATCCCTTACATCATCAACATTGTCTCCATTATGTATTATGCCACGTTGTGGAAATGCAATTTTATTTTTTTAATTCATTATTTATTTATAGTATGTACATATTTACAGGTACACAAGATCAGTATAAATCTGTTAACCCCCAGCCCACCCCCCCCCCCCCAAAAAAAAAAATTAAAAAAATTGTAACATGCAGATGACACGCCACATCATTCCTTGTGTTGTGGTATTGGTACGTATTATTTCATATGCAATTTACAAGGCAAAAAAAAATCTGAATAAATAAAGTTAAAACAATTTAATAAAAATGAGGACATTTCTGAAAAACACACATAATAGCAATAAACATTATTTTTTTACGACTCCAAGATAAAAATTCCAACAATATGACGTCAAGCTGACTCAAAATAACAAATGATAAGCAGGTGTAATCGTGTATTAATTTTATGCCACGTTGTGGTAATACAATTTTTTTTTTTTAAATTTATTATTCATTTATAGTATACATATTTATACAGGTACTGTAGAGATATCTACATATGATCCTTGAGACAATGTGGTAATTTCATGGTTCTTTGTTTATTAACACTCAACTGAACTGCAATCATTTCCATACACCGGAATGTACAAAGTAGCAATAGTAGTAGTAGTTTAGTAGGTAAAACAAAGTTTTCCTTCCTTGAATCCGTGCCCACATCATATCATATCTGTAGTTTCCATGTGACAAGCCTAGCTACGTTTGTACAACAATTCCAGTCAATCTACGGTATCCTCAAAACAAAAACTAAATTTGGCTTCTTATATCTTGATCCTTACAGGTACACAAGATCAGATATAAATCTGTTAACCCCAAGCCCCCCCCCCCCAAAAAAAAAAAAAAAAATTAAAAAATTGTAACATGCAGAGACCAGTACAGATGACACGCCACACCATTCCTTGTGTTGTGGTATTGGTACGTATTATTTCATATATGCAAGTTACAAGGCAAAAAAAGCCTAAATAAATAAACAAAGATAAAACAATTAAATAAAATTGAGGATATGTTTGAAAAACACACATAATAACAATAAACATTATTTGTTTACGATTCCAAGGTACAAATTCCAACAAGATGACGTCAAGCAGACTCATAATAACAAATGTTAAGCAGGTGTAATCGTGTATTAATTTTATGTCACGTTGTGGTAATGCAAATTTGTTTTTTTCATTTATTATTTATTTATAGTATACATATTTATACAGGTACACAATATATCAGATATAAATCTGTTAACCCCCAGCCCCCCCCCCCAAAAAAAATATAAAAATTGATTTTGCTCATAGATCTTTGCCTCTGTTGCTGATTACTTACCTGGCCGAGATGGATGGGAGGTGGGGGGGGGGGCAGCTGCCTTTTAGAAATTTGAGGAACGGTTAAATTAATGACCAGTTGACCAAAGGTCCAGGAGAAGGCTTACCAGAATTAAGATCCCCCTTCCCAGGGGCGGCCGAGCAACTTCCAAAGTGGGGGGCACCAACAAAAAAGGGCACTTTCTGGAGAAAAAAAAGGGCACCTACAGTGGGAAATCTCAAAGTGAAAATATACAATTTTTTAGGCATTGGTATATACCCCTACATTGTGATTACATTATCAGGGATGATTTCAATATTTGTTTCTCTTCATACATCGTACAAGATATCGCTTAAGCATCAAACTTTACAGTTGGGTGTGATGTCTGAAAATGCATTTACGAGCGAGCGAAGCGAGCATGAAAAATTTCAAAGATCTATGAGGTCGCAGTGCGAAAAATTACATCTTATAAAGAGGAAAAAAGCCAATCGTGATGGGGTTATAAGCACATTCTCATAACGGAAGACTGAAAAGACCTTTGATAAGTAACATAATTATATCATCTTTAAATGCGAGCGAGCGCAGCGAGCAAACTTTGGGCGAAATTACTCTTAGTCGCCTTAAATAAGGGGCACGTTTAATGATTACATGAAAAGGGGACAATTATCGAAAGGGATAAGACACTTATAAGAAAAGAAAAGGAGCACGTGTCAAAGTACAATGGAATATTATGAGAGGTGAAAATGAGGCATTTTTTCACTTGAAAAGAGGCACTCACCAGTGATGACAAAGAGGCGTTTACGAAAATGGGAAATAGGCATTTGTTGACGGAAAAGGGGCACCCATCAGATTTTGATAGGGGCATTTATAAGAGGTGAAAAGGGGATAGTTACCTTATTAGAAAAGAAAAGGGGCACGTATCATTATTAAAAGGGGAATTATCAGAGTTGAAAAGGGGCATTGACCAGATATGAAAAGGGGCACTTATAATAAAGGAAAATGTGCATTTGTTGAATGAAAAGGGGGCACCGTACAGATTTTTAAAAGGGGCAGTTATGAGAAGGGGAAGGAACTCTTTCTTTTTAATGGGGGCACTTATCATAAGGAAAAGGGGCACTTATTAGAAAATAAGAGGGGCACATGTTAAAATGAAAGGTGTGCTCATCCGAGTTTAAAAAAGGGGATAGTTATTAAAAGGAGAAGGGGCACTTCTTACAAAGGAAAAAAGGGGAAGTTGTCAAAGTAAAAGGAGCACCTCTCAGTTTTGAATAGGGCAATTATCAGAGGTAAAGGGGGCACTTATTAAAAGTGAAAAGGGGCACTTCTCGTACTTGAAAAGAGGCACTTACTAGAGCTTAAAAAGGGCACTTATTCAAGATTATTTCAAGATTTATGAGAATGGAAAATGGACACTTATTGCAAAGGAAAATGGGAACATGTCGAAGGAAAAGGGGCACGTGTCAAAAATAAAAAAGGGCACTCGTCAGAGGTGAAAAGGAGGAAGGGGCACTTTTACTAAGTAATAGGGGCACTTGTCAAATGAAAAGGGGCACCTTTCCTATGTAAAAGGGGCACTTCTTACAAAATAAAAGGGGCACTTTTCCTATGTAAAAAGGGGCACTTTTGGGGTATCTGAAAAAGTGGGGGGCACTTTGCCCCCCCCCCCCCCCGGGAGGTCCGCCTCTGCCCCTGCCCCTCCATGCACCGGCATGCATTGCAATATCATGTCTTAATTGCTTTGCTTTTTATATATCTCTTTGATTCCCAGAAAAAGGGAACAAAAAGGAGATTTTTTTTGTTTGTTTGGGGGGGGGGGGTGGTGGGGGCTGCATTATTTATACAAAAAAACTTGAAGCCAATACCTTAATTCTTTTCGTAGAATTTTTTTGAAGCAGCCCCCTCCAAAATAATAAGAAGGCGATTCTTCAGCTCACTTCTCTGCTTAGAGTACTAGGCTAGGCCCTTACGTTAGATCTAGCTATTTTATCAAGTCTTTAACTTTTAGGAGTAAAATATGATTATCTGATTATGAAAAAAGAAAAATTCCATTCCTTCGATCATTAATTGGATATTCTACTCTGAATGAGTATATGATAATGATGTAGCTATGTACAGTAGATATAGATCTAGGTCTAGTTTACTCACTAAATCAAATTGGATATTCTACTCGGAATGAATAATGATAATACAGTAAATATAGATCTAGTTTGATTAGTTATACTCGCACCACTCGATCAAATTGGGCAGTACAATCATGCAATGCAGTGCAGCGGCCCGGTACGGGCGCCGAGTAGGTGAATTCCCCCGCCGACCCGGCCGGCGGCGCTGTACGGCTAGCTGCACACTGAGCTGAGCTGCTGCGGTAGCACTAGGCAGTAGTCTGCTAATTTACGGCCAGGACGAAAGAATGTGAACAAACATCAACCATCTCGTCTAAAATGTACTATATTCGACTTCTCAATAATGAAATCTGTGTCAGGAATAAAAAATAGACCTTCATACGAGATAAAAATGATATTTTTGCAGTGATTTACCGACAAAAACACTGCTCGAATTTCAGTGGTCCGAGTAGATACAACGCACATTTAATGTACGTGCGGCAATGCGGATTGCGAGCTGTGAGTAAATTGTCCGAAATGTCATTTTTTTTGTCATTTTACCTAAAGATAAGTTATAAATTGTCTTCATTGGTATCATTTAACACAATTCCATTAAAGATTTTGGTTGGAAAGGGCATTATTAAGTCACAAAGAGCACAAACATATACACATTGGTATCTCTCGGTCGATTAATCAGGTCGGGACATCTCGGCCCAGTTTTTCCAGCTGGGCCGAGTAGTCCCGTGGGCCGAGTTAGCCCGGATTCTAATATTTGTGGAAAAAACAATTTAAAACAGTTGAGGAAAAATTTAATTTTAACTGTTATTATTATCATTATTATTATTAGATCTAGAAGTCATCTTATTCAAATAAAAGTTATTCAATAGGGCACAAACAAAAAAACACATACAAATCCCAAACTATTGAAAGTTGAAACTGTATGTTTTAATGAATAAGTGCGCAGACATCATTGGACATGGACACTTTGTTTTTGCAGTGTCCAAAGGAACTGAACTCATTTTCAAATAATAAATATTTTCTTGTGCCTTTAAGTTTAAGTTTAACAGTTTAACTTGAGCACAATACTGACTTAGAAGTTAGACTTAGGTCTAGTTAAGAAGTTAAGAATAAGATGCAAATGACATTTGTATGAATTATATAATAAAACAGTCTTCTTGAATCTTCACAAATTGTTAGCACTCCCAGATCTAGACTAGTCCTACTCTTAAGTTTAGAGTATTTAATCTACCCTGTGGTCTCCTGTACTAAGTGTGGGTAATGCTATCGAATTAATCATACACAATTCACAAGGTGTAGATCTACTGCCAGTCGTACAGATCTAGATCTACAGAACTTCCGAATTCAGAATTTGCTCACGTTGAACTGGGCAGGTGGGACTACATGTTACATCTTAAGACTTAAACTAATATTAATAGCATACAAAAGATCTTTACAGCAGGAATAGAAAGACTGGTTGAATATCCATATAATCCAAAGCCCTGGACGATGAAAAATTACAATAAAAGAGGCAACGTATTTACCTGGAGGCTGGAGCCTCGGGCTCGAATCCTGTTCGGCTTGCAGTAGGAAATAAAGGAAGATAGGATCCTACAATCTCCCTAGATCTATTCTCGATCTATATCTCAGCATGATCAATTTTAGTATCAATCTATTTATTTGGACTTAAAATACATGGTAACAAAATATTTCAATTAAAAACATTTAAAATACTAAAAAATTAAATATTGTAATTAATATTGAAAAATTATATGATATAATAATTGTTTGATGGTTACTTTATTGGAATTTATATGCTGCGATTAAATTGGTAACGCGAAAAAATGCTCGCAACATTATTAACAATTAGCGAACTTGAGGTCAGCAACGTCGGCTACGCTAGCGCTGCGCCGCATCGCTCGCTCGCTGTCGAGTGTTCGTTGGCGATCCGCGAGCGAGCCATCGCATCGATTCGCGAGCGCGCGACATTCTACACAAATTATGTAAACAAGTTGGGGAAAGCTTGATCTGGAATGTGTAGAGTTACTCGCTGGATTTCTGTGAAAAATTAACCATCTTGGATAAGAGGAAGTGACAGAGAGCGAAATGGCAGAGAGTAGCTGCAAAGATACAGACGTAAAGGAACCCGTACAATCTGATGATGATTGCGGGTCTATTTTACATGTTGTTGTGGTTGGTTTTCATCACAAGCGAGGATGCCAGGTAAGTGAAATCATGCTAAACCATCTAATGCAATGCCAATGTGCACCAGGCCAGGCCAGGCCAGTCGATCATCACCAGTCACCAATGGGCGCCTTGCATCATCTAATAAACATGATAAAAGTAATTACCCTTCAGTCCCTTCTCAGTGTTTTTGAAGTGATGATATTTTGAGCTAACATTGACAATACAGTTGGCGATGTTGCCTTTGTAGTTTGTTGGTTCTGCATTCTGCCGCAAACTCGAGGCGCATGAAGCCGAATTGTACCCAAAAATGTTTGATCTCGCATTGGCCATTGCCAATTTGATGCTGACTTAACGATGATAGCAATTGGTTTAGTGTAGTCCTGAGTAGTAAGATGCATGCATAGAATTCATTGAATTTGGCAAACTCCCTGGGTGCTCCTTTTTCACCTTGATCACTAAAAGTGAGGTTGCTCAAGCATGTCAAGAGTCGAGACAAACCTTTACTTTAGAAAAAAAAATAGGAACGACAACTAGTAATTGATAGCATTTTGCACTGTCATGTTACAGATAATTACTGGTAATTGGATTAAGGAAGTGACTTCCTGAATCTGTTGGCCTTTGTGCTTTGGGGATGCTGGATGCATTTCGCAAAAACATATTCATTGAACCTGAAGTCCTGCTCCTTAGACCTTTAACACTTTCTCAGAAGATAAGATTGCCTGAAAGCTCAAACATACATGTACATGTAGCTCTAGATTAAGAAATTGAATATTATTATACAACATACATTTTGTTTTTCTTGTTCTTGTAATTCTGTGAACAAGTGAAATTTATATTGTTTATATTTTATTGTATGACTTACATGTACATTTGACTCTTTGGCCTTATTATAAGGGGGTTTCCAAAATGTTATTCAATTGGTCCATCTTCCTCCTTACAACACATGTATTTTTGTTATCTTGTTCTATTATTGTATCAGTGTTTCTTGTTTTGTCATGATATTTGCAGTTACATGTAGTATACTTCTGATTATATTGATATTTGATAAGTGCTACAGTGTACATGAACTTGAAGCAATGATTGTAGTAAAAATCATGCTTTTCTTAAAATTGGAATTTAAAAATCATGTTGTTGTTGTTCGTTTGGTATTATAATGGCTATTAGTCAAATTTGACTATTGTTGCCAATTTCATCGCATCTCTTTCTTTTAATGTCTTGGTAAAATTATTAATTCTTTCTTTCTTTTTCCAATCTCATTTTAATATAATATTAGTCATAGTCTACAAAAAATAAAAACAAACAATTATTTCAAATTAAACCACGATCCGCACACAGTTCCAACTCACGCTGGCCCTGTCCTTTCTATGATGCCTTCTTACCAGCCCAGCGAGTTATGTTACGCCGTACGCTTCTCGGTTGATAAACTCAACCTAGGTCACTCTGGCATAGACAAGGGGGCGTCGTGTACCTGTATGTTTAGAGGGTTTATTTATTTATTAGGAGAAAGACAACTGCATAAGCAAAACACTTGTGGGCTTTATTAGTATGAGTTAGTTCATGAGATTATTTATATAGCGCATGACTTTTAACTACTATAATCATTGGGGGGTTAATTATGGTGGCTTTAATTATGGTGGCTTTCAGATGGGATGGACCATTGTATTTATCAATGCAAACAATAAAAATGAGAACCGTACTTTAAAAATGTGTTGAATGGTATACTATATTAACTGTTGAGTTGAAACTTTAGTAAAGGTTAAATCCACTCCAGGTCTTGAAATTCTTCTATTTTATTTTACAAAGTCGAATCAATGCATAGAAAATTTCAGAATTTGCAAAATATTCAAGTCATAAAATGGCTGACAGTATTAAAACTCATGAAAGTGTCGGATCATAAAAGTTTCTGATTTAACAGTACGCTCTGTGGATGCAGACTTTTATCCTGGCATGTTTATACACATGTATTAAACATGTCAGGGTACAACCAACCTGGGTGCATCGGTTGGTGCCAAGTTGTCATACAGGTGTATATTTAGTTAGGTTCACATGAAACTGTTACTGAAAGCCTGTTAACTTTAAGTTTATGTTGTTGCTTTAAACCTCAAAATCACAATGTATTGTAGTTCGGGAGACAGTGTGGATGCACTCGTAGTTATAAAATTTTAAGTTTACCAGAAGTTATCAATCACAAACAATCTTAAAGTTAGGGGGGTAACCACAAGCAGTAGAGGGAAGGGGGGGGGGGGGTCCTCACTCTAAGTAATATTTGCCTTGCAAATGCGATTTACTTAAGGTTTCGCCAGTTAATAGGTTAAGTGCATGCTTGCCCTGCTTTAGTTTAAAACTTTGAATATTTGTTGTTTCTGTGTGAACCCTTGTCATTGTTTAATAGTAGATTGTTGTTTAAAATGTTGAGGTTTTGCAAACCGAATGTTTAAAACTATGATGGTCCCGTGTGAACAGACAAGTAGTGCTGTAACATCACGGATATCTCCAATTCCGTTTAACCGCCTGTCAAAACCGAAAGAAAAAGCAGAAAGGTGATTTAACTGAAGGCGCCGATTTGTGCTTGTGAACTAGTCACAAATAATAGTAACAATGTCGTTTTAGAATAATGTGTAAGATCATTAAAGTAAATTAAAAACAGTAGAGGACCTAGGATAGAACCTTGTGGTACACCATGTGTTAAACTTGGATGAATATATATTGAGATCTATTACAAAGATTACTTTCAAACCAAGATGACAGACAAATTGGAGTGTTGTTCTAGTTTCCAAGTGGTAAGTCATCACACCGATTACTGAGCTGGGAGACATTGCCAGGCATAGTGCCAGGTGGAGGGGCATAAATCGAAACTTGAAAAAAAAAAAAAAAAAAAAAACACGGGAAAACGAAACCGTCCAATTGAAAACGGAATCCGCCATGGGCGGTCGGATACCGGACGGTTAAACGTTTGACTACAGCACTACAGACAAGTACATATAGCTAGTGTCAACTCCAAAATGACAGATCTGTCAGTATGAATCAGCTTTGAGGGACGTCATCCTCCTATGTGAGTCATGAACTTGTTCAAGTTTAGGATCCACCCCCAACGACGACTGATACTGATATTGATAGCTCTGTTCTCACTAGCCAGCAGTGTCTTCAGGAAGATTTGATCTCATACAGGAGATGAAGCACAATTTTGTTTACCATCTCCCTCCTTCCCCTTAATAAAAGAGCCCTTGTTCAGTGGTAAAGTGGAAACACTTGGTAGCGAACGCAATTGTCTTTTTCACAAAATGTACATGTACCTCTCGAATATCATTTCACTATCTCAGTGCAAAATTCATCTCTTTGTGCTTGCTCGCTCAACTATACAGTATACTTCTTTTAAAAAACATTGTTAAATGTGTAATATGGTGGTGGCGTTCAATTTGAGAAGGGCATCTTTTCAAGAATGAAACCCCACAGCTTTTAAACAAAATCTGTACAACTGGATCAAGCAATAAGAAAAAAATGCTAGAAGATTTTGTGACAGGGCAAGCTCTGTTCATCATTATTGTTTGAGTTCACCATGAGCTAGGTATTTTGGGCCGAGTGGGCAGACATGCCTTAAAGGGCTTTAAATCAAAGCCCCACTGTACTACTTGAAACTACTTGCTCCCTCTAGGCCTCTACATAGAAAATAATGCCTAAGCAGTGCCCATTGGTCCCCCATGATCCTCATTTTCTTATGTTAATTGAGAGCTGAGTTGATGAGATAGCCACCTGTTAGTGACCTAGCGGGGTGGTCTAATCCTTCCTGATCAAACAATTACAGACAGGCTTTAATACACATGGGGGCTTTGGGCAAATAGTGATGCCAAAATTGGCTCAAGGGCATCATCTTCCAGTGTAAGTGCTGCTTCAAGGTGAGGCAGATAAACAAACTTATACTCAATATCTCATAATTCTCATTAATTATCTTTTTTTTTTCTTCTCCAGGTGGATTTCTCGTATCCACCTCTAATTGAAGGCCAGCCTGAGGATAGTCATGATGTACCCAGTGAATGGAAGCATCTTCCTTTCCTTGCCCTGCCAGATGGGGCACACAATTTTGAAGATGGTGAGTAAGAGGCCCTCTCAAACTTTGTCCATTTTGTCTTTTCCCCCTTTTTTTAATTTCTAGAAAAGTATATTATACTGTGTCGTGTATGATTCATCTGTACAGGTTAAAAATATAGTACATTTAAACGGTTTTACAAAACACTAAAAAAACTTGTGTATAGCTAGAATAGTTATATTTAAACATATTTACCTGCCATTTCACACTTTCAGGAAAATCAATCCACAAATTAAAATTAAAAAAAAAAAAAAAAAAAAAAATTAAAAAAAAAAAAAAAATTAAAATTAAAAAAAATTAAAATAAAAATAATAATAATAATAAAAATAATAATAATAATAATAATTATATAACGGTACATATTTACATACATATACTAGATTAATGAGTAAACAAGAGCAACTAAATCTGCATATAATGCATCCATTTTTCTTGCATGATCATGCTGGGGTTTGATGCCAGGTATCTTTTTAAAGGAAAATAAGCTTTAAATTTTAAAATGCTCAAATTGGCAACACATTGAGAGGTTCTGAATGTTTATTTTTTTATCAAAATCTTCAATTTTCTTACATTTTGGCAAAGTCCGTACACATACACATACGTATTGTTCTTAACCTCTTAGAGACATTATATTTTTTATTAGTGGCGATAAAAGAAAAAAAAAACACTGCTGCTCAATAATCTGAAGAACAACATGTGATCAAATTAGCCCTGTTTTGAAAGGGTTATTGTTTAAAGTTAAATTTAAGTCAGACTCAGAATCTGTCATTATATACATGTACAAGCATGTATGGGTATTCAGTGTATGAACTACAAATGTACTGTACGCTGTACAATGTACAATACCAGATGCTCTTATCTACCGTATGTTAAAACTTGTCATAATGTTTATTAAAAATTGAATACATACATACATGTATTTATAGCTTAGAACTACTTTGTGCACTGTAGCAATATGGAACCCATAACATGCAGGGCAACAGTTGTCAATGGGTATCCTTGAAACATTGTTAAATTCACGAGCACCAGTATCGAGTCTAGATTACATTAACACCCTATAGAAAACACATGATAAGAGGTCTAGATGGAATGTGAAACCAATTCCACTATCATTATTCAAATTACATATCCTTTAATTGAGTTGCATGTAAATTCAATAGCAACAGTATCAAGTCTTCATTAGATAGACATTACAAGATTAGAGGTCTATGGAAGCTGAAACGAATTCTATTATTATTATTCAAATTACATACATGTACCCTTTAAGTGAGTTAAATTAAATAGCAACAGTATATCAAGTCTAGATTAAAGATAAAGACCAGTTATGGTCATGCGATTGTATTGTGAAAGAAATGTTGTGGAATCGATCAGAAAAGGTTGATCATCTAGCATAGATGTACTGCAAGGTTCTGGAATCATCAAAATGATAAGAAATTTGGCCCAGCCTCTTCATAAAGTTACAAGCACTGTACACAGAAACATGTATATGGGACTACGCACACATGCGTTTTTATCTCTCACACACCAATAGATAAACTAATTTACCAAATATATCAATTAGTAGGCGGTTTCCCAGCAAAATTTTTATCATCATGTATTATTCAAAACATATTCTTTCACATGATTGGTAATAAATAAGAGCTTCCATTTCATTTTTTGAAATTGGGGTGTTTCCAATACTGGTCTTTAACTTTAACATTAACGTCCTATATAAATCACATGATAAGAGGTCTATGGAAGATGAAGCAAGAACCCTTTAAGTGAGTTAAATTAAATAGCAATTAGCAACAGTAACAAGTCTACATTAACATCCTCTATAAATCACATGATTAGAAGTTTGTGTAAGCTGAAATGAATTCAATTATCTTTATTCAAAGTACATACAAAAATGGATGTATTATTGTATTGTGGACTGTAAAGGACACTCCATTCATTTGTGATCAAAACTTCAAGTATTCAATCTCATAAAGACTTTGGACCTTAAAACATGAATGTATAATTTGTGTACTTTAAATGTAGACCCACAGTTATGAAAATTTACAATGTACAGTAATGAGCTTTGTTGTTTATCAGTTACTTCTCTACTGGATAATTCTAAAAGGGCGATCCACAGCCTGGCATTCAGTTAGTTTGACAATAATTTTTTTTTTTAAAGGGAAGTTAAACAAGATAAAGGGGATTTCACTGAATGAAAACTTCAACTGATGATGACCTTCATACATGTATCTCCAGTCAAGTATCAGAACAACTTTATTACGATACCTCTTTTTGTACATTTTATTCTTTATCCCTAACATTCATCCTAGAAATGCACTTGACACCATCTTTTGTGAACAAAGCAGCTCCTGCAGCTGTCATTAGCACACATTGTGATCTTCTACATTACATGTACATGTACTGTATGTACCCCTATTATTATTATATCATATTGTCTGTCTTTTCTCTATTTACTCAATCTGCGAAGGATACAACTCCGCAGTTCTCCAAACCTGGAGGAAAGCAAGAAGAAGAAGAAGCTGTACAGACATACATGTATACATGCTTAGACAGTCACCATGTTTCTTATTCATTTTTTGTTTTCCAGATACCATATATTTTCATCTTCCAGGAAGAGGGGAGTGCAAGTCTACAATCTACGGTGTGTCTTGCTACAGACAGATCAAAGCCCAGGTTGGTTGTCAAGCTCTGTCTGAATCTGCACGTTGTTATGATAGTAACTTTTCTGGGGTAGTATTTTGAAAAAGTCTGTGAGTGGTATTCTCGAAAGCAGACTAACTTTAGTCCATGGTTTAATTCACTGACTAAGTATGGAATGACAAGTGTCCATATGAATATATTTTTGAATAATTGGTGTCCCTAAATTACCATGATAACATTATTATATCATAGTTATACTAGCAGGACCCGCGGAAATCTGCGGGATCCTAGAGGGGGGCGGGGGGTGTAAATAGATATATAGAGACTGTCTAAATTAAAACCACCAAGAACTTTATTTGCCATTCAGGCCATTAAGAAATATACATGTTAAGCGTCCCCGCCCGCTTCCTTTTTGGGGGCCGCCTCCTATTTTTTTTTTTTGAAATTTTTTGAAAAGTTTTTTTTTTTTTTTTTTTTTTTTTTTTTTTGAAAGAAAAAAAACATGAAAAGCACTGCTAAAATGTATTTCTGATTTTAAAAAAGAAAAAAAAAAAATTATCGGCCGCCATCTTGAAAAATAGCCTGAATGTCAGGAAAAATGTACGGAGCGGCCATTTTGAAAGAAAATAAAAAGAAAAAAAAAAGGGCCTCCTCCTTCCCATTTTTCGAAAAAACAGGAAGCTAAACATGTTTTTTTTTTAATTTGGCCTTATATAAAAATTAAAAAAACGATCCAACTGTACCGGTAGTTATTCTTTAAGCCACTGGAACTGTGTAGAGTTCCGTAGTGTGGCGTACCGACTACGCAGAAATTAGGCTGCGTATTAATGGGGAAATAGTCCCTGCGTAGGTTATGCGTAGGCTGGCGAAAAAAATTAAACAGGTTGAATTGTTTTCGTTCATCTTGCGTACCCCTTTCCATCCCTCAGCATATAGTAACGTAGGCCAGCGTAGTTGTTACGCAACACTACGCAACTCTACGTATTGACCCCACGCCAATTAGTGACCCGCAAGTGTCACAAATAAAGTATTAAAAATATGCTCATCTGACCCTATACGCCTAAAACCCCCGAGCTTTCGGGGGTTTATGGCCCCTTGAACGCCCGTGGACCCCACGCCTATATTATATATATACACTCAACTCGCTGCGATCTGATCTCTCCCCCCCCCCCCCCCCCAACTTTGAAAAACGTAACCCCCGAGCTTTTGGGGGTTTATGGCCCCTTGAAACCCGTGGACCCCACGCCTATATTATATATACACTCAACTCAGGACCCGCGGAAATCCGCAGGATTCTAGAGGGGGTGCGCAGGCAAAAAATTAAGTTTTTCATTTCGGGGGCTCCATTTCAAATTTTAGGGAAATTTTCGGGGGCTCTTTTTTCTGGGGCTACTTTTTCATTAATTCATATAAGGATAGGCCTACACTTTGTTGAGATTTGTTTAGTAGGCTATTAGGTTTCAGGCTTCCTACTTCATAATTGCCTATTTAAAATTCTAGTTCAATAACTAAGTTTTCATGCATTGATTTGATGCAAGAACTGTAACATAATAGACCCTAGATTGTGATTATTTCTGACCATGAATTTCGATAATCATTTTTCAAAGTAAAATTTTCACAGGAAAATCAAACAGTCTTTTAAAAACGTAGACATTAGAGTCTAGTAATACTTTTACTAATTCTAAGCTCAGGTTTCGTAAATATATTCACGAAACTATATTGAAATCGCGGCAATAATGATGCAAACCAACAGATAACAATTTCAAAGTGTCAAATCTCTTCGACTCGAATTCAACTCACACACTTTCAACTGCAACTCAGCTCATCTCACACACACTACACAGTGGCAATGCACTGTATTGTATGCGTGTCAGTTACGGTGATTTTGTCTGATTTTCTTTACTTTGAAGAAATGATTATCAAAATTACGTAAACATGGTGACAACATCACAAAATAGGCTTTAATTTCATACCTCTATTTATGGAAACTTTATAATATTGCAGCAATCGTGAATTCGTGATGGAAATTGATTGCAGTTTCGCGATGTTTAGTGGTTCATGGTCTAGATTCAGCTTCTACCGAAACAAAATCGACCGCCAAAAACTCGAGCCCTACGCTCCGTCTCGATCTCGCAACTGCGAAAATGTACGTGTTTTGGCGTACTTGCGTGCGACATGGTAAGCCAGGTAAGGTATGGAATATGGTTCGAGTTTTTTTTACGACCGATTTTTGTGTATACAATTTTATACGGATAGTCATCGGTCGTGTGTCTACGGATGTCATGTTGCATATCCATGAGGTATCTCTGTCGTCACGCATATCCTGCATTATGCATGTTGCGTCTGTTTTCGCCCTGGACGTCGACACGGAGGAGGACCTCGGGCGGAGTATAGCCAATTCCACAGAGTAGACTCTCCCGCGGACGATGGCACCGGGCATGGGTACCCCGAGGGGAGGGTTCAGGAGGAGATAGCCGCACCAACTTCGGTCGGCGATCTCATTAAAAAACAATAGAATACAAAGGCTCGCGGAGACGTCGCACCCCCCGCGGAGCCTTAGCGTATTACTTATATAGATTGTTGTTTATTAATCATGTTACCGATATTACATTTTATTTTAATTTAGTGACAGATTAAGCTATTCAAAATCATATTCATATGGACACTTGGCATTCCACACTTACATGTAGTTGGTGGATAAAACCATGGACTAAAGTAAGTCCACTTTCGAGAATTCCACCCTGTAAGTTTTTAGTATTTCCTGAGATAACAGAGCTTGGTGTTCTGAAAATTGTCTTAGCGGGACTCTTTTCTCTGCAAGCTATGCCTCTATATTAATCTTTAACATGCCCAATTTTTGTGACCTTACCAATCAAAATAAATTGCATATAAATAAGTCAACCAATATGAGCACCCCTGAAGTAAACAGGCAAGGCTGTACTATGTCCATATTAGTTAATGGTAACTTAGGCAACTACTGTAAGGCATTAGTTAAGGAAATCATTTCTTCAATAAGTACACCAGTACAAGTATCTACATTTGTAAGAATTAACCTTATCCTTTAAAGCTCAAGATTGGTATCATATGATGCCTTCTATTGTGGACCTTCACATGAAATCTCACTGAGTATATATTTAGTTACACACATACTGTACATTCAACTTCATATATCTGCTTAGGAAAATAAAGACATCTTTGAGGAAATGAAAGATTAATGGACATGTGATACATGCACATGTAGCAATCAATTTGAAATGGATACCACAATTTATTTCCGTGACATATTGTATAACTCCACTAAACAAATAATAATTGCACCAGAAAGGCGATATACATGTAGGCGTTTAAAGGGAAAGTCCACCCCCAAAATAAGTTTGTTTCGATAGAGGCAGAATAATAAGAAAATCAGGTGAGTGAAAGTTTGAGCAAATTCTGAATGAAAATAAGAAAGTTATGAATTATTGAAGTTGTGATCAATCAAATACAAATTGGCAACTCTGTGACTTATTATACGAGCTCTCTTTCATTTGCTTTGTGCATAATATTCCATAAAATCATGTTTTCTTCGTTATTGATGACGGAATATATATTTGTTCCTTGCAGGGGGAGTATAGAAACATATTTGCAATTATTATATTTAGGGTGCATGTATGGTTGAAATTTTTCTTGAGGGAAAATAAAAATTTTAGATTTTTTTAGTACTGAGCAAATGGAAGTTGAGCTCGCATGATACGTCATAGAGTTGCCAATTTGTGTTTGATTGATCACAACTTCAAAAATCCTAACTTCCTTATTTTTAATCGGAATTTGCTCAAACTTTCACTGACTTGTTTCTCTCATTTTTCTACTCCTATTAAAACTAACTTAATTTCAGGGTGGACTTCCCCTTTAAATAGTGTAATACATACTTATATGAATGCTCAGTGTACATGTATGTTCTATTTGAGGAAATCCAAGTTTGAGAGTTGTGACAATGTGACAAAGATTGGCAATGATGTGCATTACTGTACAAGCAGCTCTTTATTTGTTTGTGTTTCCAATTTATGTTTGACTAATTACAACTTTAGTATGTTCTTATCCTCAAATAAATTTGTCCTTACTTTTGTTTCTCTCATTTCTGCTTTTAGTACCGGTATTTAAAAAAAATCAACCTGATATCAGGTTGTATGGTTGAATTAGGGCCTTAAGTTGAATACTTTTAGACGTACCGTATTAAGCTAACCTGTCTACAGCGACCGCTCAAGGGAAACACAAAAGTGGTCTTTGTAGACAGGTTCCTTTAGTACATTTTTCAATGAGAAATCATTTTCAAGGGAAACTAAAAATGTGCTTGTTGTAGACAGGTGGTCACTAAAGCAGGTTTGACTGTATCACATTCTCAAGAAAAGTAGATCAGGGCAAATTAATTTTTCACATACTCACAAGAATTACGAAACTTGGTAAGGGTATGGATAATTTAGTTGTTAACTTTACATGCATGCAGGTACTTGTGATTTTTTATTCATTGCTTTATCAAACTTAAGCCATGTTTTGAGCAAATCTCCAAAAGGGTAAACACAAGCTACTACAAATGAACTACCCTCTGGGATTTCGGCTTCTAGCTCTTTTGTGCATTCACCGTCCCTACGAACAAGGGGCAGTGAAAGAGAATTCTTGTAAACATGCCTTGTTCCCTAGTCACCCCTTGAATAGTACATGCCCTGCTGCCATGCGAACAAGAACAAGAACAATATTGGGATCTCGAACCGGATTAACTTGGGACTAACAGGGGATTAGCTCCCATTCGTGAGGGATTTGAATTTGTAAGGGGCACTTGACACTACATGTACTGGTAGGCTAATAACTGGAAAGAGGTTAAATAGTCTGGGTAAATCTTCTTTTTTTTTTAAATAGCAGAAAATTCAAGAGAAGCAATTGTACAGAAAATAAGAAATTTATGAATTTTTGAAAGATGTAATTACTATGTATCAGAACTTCAAACTGAATTAACTTGGGATTAACAGTGGATTAGCTCCCATTCATGAGGGATTTGAATTTGTAAGGGACACTACTTGACCATTAATTAGCTAATATTACTGGAAGAGGTCAGCATGGTAATTTTTTTTTTTAAACTCAGAAACATAACAGAAGCAATTGAACAGAAAATGAGAAAGTTATGAATTTTCGAAACCTGTAATCAATATAATACCAATTGGAAATTCAAATTGGTTGAATCAGTAATGTCAGTGTGAGGTAGTGGCGGAAAACTTTCCCATTTGTTCCAACACACAAAATGACTAAAATTTCAATTTATCAAAATGTATGACCCAGGAGGGTCTTTTCTTTCTAGAGAACTTTGATAATATGCTACCCACAAATCCCACAATATATTATGATTGATATCCCAAGGGAGAAGGTGTTTAGGGAAAAGAAAATTATGATATTTTTGTACATGACAAACTGTAGAGTCGTTTTAGACTACAACACAATCTAGTCACTAAATTGTGAAGTTGCTGTTTGCATAGATTCAGTAACTTCATATTTCATACAATCATAACTTTTTTGATAGTGGTCTGATTTATTTCAAGCTTTCCCGACTCTGTTTCTCTTATTTTCCGCTTTCACAAAAAGAAGTTATTATACAAGGGATGGATTGCCCTTTAAGATCATAATTATTTCCCTGTCTCCCACACACAAGCTTGTATTACACTAGAGTTTATGTAGTAATGCTTGTATGAATGTATGTTGTATTTGAATGTTTGTGGTTTATAGCCACAATATTACAAAGCTCTTATTTATTTCTGCCATGTAACAATGGTATTATGTACATGTACCATGCCCATTTATCTAATTAGAAAATGAAATGATATTAGGAGGCAATGTTTAAAAAGGGAAAACAAGAATATATGTAAAAACCTCATCTTTGTATCTTTCATTTGGAGAATAAAAATCATCTTCATTTTCATATATTCTGCAAATCTTTGTGCCTCCCATTTGGAGAATAAATATGCTTTCTACATTTTCAGTTATTTAATTTAGGATAAAAATCCCCTTCTTTTCAGATGTGTCTTCCATTTGGAGAACAAAAATCCTCTTCATTTTCAAATATTTTGTTAATCTTTGTGTCTCCCATTTGGAGAATAAAAATGTTCTCTTCATTTTCAATTATTTCATTTAGGATCTTCTTTCAAAGACTGCAGATGTGACGAGAGGGACTGTTCAGAAGTGCGTCTGTGTCCTCAGTAAGCTGGTAAATATTGATGTTGGAGTTATTTGTCTCTTTAAAGGCATCGTTTGACAATGTTAAATCTGAGATGCATGGCCCTACTGTGATATGGTGAAATATTGCAGCCCTTAAAAAATTGCGCTTCAAAATAATCATTAAGTGCCTCAAAAAAGTACAAACCTTTGAGTGACCGGTTTTACCATACTCGTTTTCCCTAATAGACTGTAATGTTATGAAAACCGTTTGGCAAACTCAAAATTTGATTTCAATTTTCAATCATAAAAATCTTGATAATCAGACAGGCGATTGGCTTGTAAAAGTCATGGGGTTCCTGACTGACCTAAAGGTTTATAATTATCATTGCAGCATGAGCTAAATCAAATATTTTTGTAAGGATCTAAGACAAAGTTACCGGATCCCTTTAAAATGCACTCGATTGTTTGCAATCGCTGAATGCTAGTTGAGTCTTATTCACATTACATGTATTCTCAATCTCAACCTCAGAAAATCCCTTTTTGGCTATATTTCTGTGGTTCAAATTATAAATGTGGCATCTATATTATTAATACGCAAAATCGCCGCGGGGGGTCCAACACGGGGCAAAACGGTTCCTCAAAAACGTCTTTCCCCGACCCCGCCCGCCTCCGCCGTGGCGCGGGGACGGCGGCACAATTCCATGAGGCCTGTCTCCCGTAACCCGCGTCCCACGTCGACCCCGCGATCGACGTCCATGCCGTTAAACGCGGTTTCGGGGCGGCCGGGGAGGACGGGCGGACGAGAGCACGGCGGGCGTCGCGGATTGCGAGGAGGCGACGAACCCGCGAGAGCGAGTCGGCAAGGCGTGCACCCGCCCTCTGTCTAATTATCAAAGAGAGACGAAGAGACACACGATGGACGAGAATCCACTCGCGTCAACGGGTGTAGCAAGTCTTATTGAAAAAGCTGCGACGTATCCCGAGTAAGGCCTCTTGCTATAGGATTCGCTTTGTAGCGTGTAAGAGAAATACACATCAACAGACGACTCACCCGGGTGATGGGATGTAGCCAATATGTACGCTCAACGGGTTGAGCTTACCCGTGCTATGCGTCTTTCTATAGGATATGCTTTGTAGGCCAGGCGGACCTGCTGTGTGTACGAACGTACGTGTATAATGTTTGCGATGATTCTACGCTCACCGTCACACGCACAGCTCAGTCGGTTCGACTCTGATTCTATGATGATTGCCGTGATTTGTATATAGTTTACGTGAATAGAGGTATGCAAGCAGGGCTACTTTGGTATTAATCTGTCCATGTTTACTGAATTTTGAAAATCATTCTTCAAAGTAGTTTTTTCACAAGAAATTCATCGTATCGTAACTGACAGTTCAGTTGCAAGCTAGCTGCCGTGAGGCACGGGCAGTGCAGTGCGCCACTGCTGTCGAGCACTGTCGGAACTGTGACTGTGTGTGAGGTGAGGTGAGCTGAGCTGAGCTGAGCTATAGAGTAGACTCGACAACATTTTGAAATTGCTCTTATTGCCCCTATTTCAATATAGTTTCGTGACTATAGAGGTATGAAACCTGAGCTTAGATTGTGATTATTCTGTCCATGTATAGTTGTATGCTGAATTTTGATAATCATTTTTCAAAGTAAAGTTTCCACAGTGTATTGCCACCGCAGCTGAGCGCTGCTGTCGGAGCTGAGTGTGTGAGCATGGAGTAGCGGTGACCTGAGTAGCCAGGCCTGTCCGTGGTGTGAGGAGAGTCTAAACAACACTTTGAAATTGCTATTATTGCCCCGATTTCAATATAGTTTCGTGAATAGATGTATGAAACCTGGGCTTAGATTGTGATTATTCTGGCCATGTATAGTTGTATACTGAATTTCGATAATCATTTTTCAAAGTAAAGTTTTCACAAGAAAATCAGACGGTCGTCATGGTCGTTTAAATACATGATAATACTTTTAGTATGATACATTTCTTGCATCAAATCAATTTTTAAAGTATGGGGGGGGGGGTCAGGTAACTCAAAGCGATTTGAGTGCAGGCGTGGTGTCCACGGGTACAAAGGGCTGAACCCCTGAAAGCTCGGGGGTTTTGGGCATTTAATTACGGTCAGATGAGCATATTTTTAATACCTTATTTGTGACACTGGCAGGTCGATCACTAATTGGCGTAGGGTCCATAGTAGAGTTGCGTACCAACTACGCTGAGCTGAGAGTACGCTGGCCTACGTTACCATACCCTGAGGAACGCAAGATGGACGCAAACAATTTAATATGTTTAACAAAATTCGCGTACTTTCGGCGTAGAAACTTGACGCAGAAAGTACGCCTTTTTTTACGTAACACTACGCTACTAAACTAAACAAACTGCATCTTTAAATGAATTAATGAAAAATTAGCCCAAGAAAAATGAGCCCCCGAAAGATAAAAAAGTAGCCCCCCCCCCAAATTTTCCCAAAATTTGATATAGATCGAGTCCCCGAAAAAAAAATCTTTCACTGGATTCTACGCTCACAGTCCCACACACAGTCGAGTCAATTTGTGCACAAACCGTCCGATTTTTTGCGTAAAATCTTTACTTTGAAAATAATTGTACACATTTTGTGAACAATGCCAACATAATCATAATCCAAGCCTCTGCATATGTAGTCTTTTCATGAAACTACATTGAAATCACAACATTAATAATGCAAATAAATCGTAATTATCGAGATCCTATCTGACATAGTTTGTTTTACGATGCGCCATTTATGGTCAAACAGCATATATTATAAAAATTCTCTATATAAAGATAATCTATTTTTTTTTGGATAGCACATAGGCCTCTATCTATCTATCTATTTGGCCCCCTCCCCTAGAATCCCGTGGATTTTACACGGGTCCTGCTAGTAGTACATTAAAGTATAACATGTACTCTAAAGTAGGTTTCAAAAAGATAGAAAAGGAGAGAGAGTGAGCCAAGAGTAACAGGAAGTATAAAATGAAGTTTAGCCAATAGCCACATACTGTGACATACTGTAACGAGGATAAATTGATCTTTCTCTGCACATCATTCATTTCTTAAAATCATATGTAAAGTATGTGTATGCTATTCATGTACATATGTACATGAATGAGTTGAAAGCTGACAATACCTAAATTGTTTATCATGCAGTAGACAGAGCTTTTTTTTACACGTCAAACAACTGCCCTAAAATGGTGATTTGATCACAAATTCAACAGAAAACAAAATTTAAAACATACTTGAAAAGAATGAAATGCCGATAATACCAAAATAACCACCAACAAAATTCCTGCTTGTATGGAAAAAACAGCATGATGAATTAACATTTCTGGATTGGAAGTGTGTCGTGCGTGGTTGTAAGTTTCGTTTTTATGAATTCCTTTTTTTTTGCTTGAAATTCCTTTTTTTTTGCCATCATGATTCCTTTTTTTGGTCGCACAAGGTTGGCAGCTCTGAGTAGATGGCTTGTTTAAATATTCAGCAATTTTTAAACTGTAAACTGAAAACCTCACTCACTAAAAAGGAATGCAACAAAAGATGGGGGGGGGGGGGGGGCTAGTGCGTGTTCGAACTATAGCTAAAGGTAAATTTAATTGTATTTCTTTCTCCACTACCTCCATGACAATAAGGCAATTGAACTTTGCACTGATTCATATTTCATATTGAACAAATTTAAAACATGTATAGTGGCATTTATAAATTAGTCACAGATATTTACTTTGATTGCAAAATTTATCTTTGAAAACTCTTTGGTTAGATAAATTCAAAGTCCTGGTTGTATACAATTGTAGCAATAAGGAAGTGTTTTTTATAGTGAAAAAGCAGATAATACATGTATAAATAAAACAACTGAACTCTTTCAACTTGATTCATATTTTGAATGGAAATATTCTGAAGCATTTATACCTATAATGGCATTTATGTTTTTATGAATTAGCTTCACTTTATTGATAGTAAAATTGTACTTTTCAGTGAAAAAACACTTAGGTTGGATAAATTCCAAGTCACATGTAAGGTTTAGCAATAAGGAAGTGGTTTTTTATGGTGTACAATAAAAGCGGATATATATTAAATGAAGAGGAAGGAGAAGAAGAAGAAAAAGGACTAGAATTCTTTGTGTACTTCATGTACATGAAGGACATGTATATTCTTTCTCCTTAGAAGTAATTTAAAGTAAATCATACCATCTATACATGCAGATAGTAATAAAAGTAAGATCAATTTACATAGTGCAGCTACTATAGCGCGATAGCTCGTTCAGTTGGTAGAGCAGTGGTCTCGTAATTTGGCAACCCGGGTTCAAAACCAAACAATGCACTAGTGCCCTTTCGGAGAGGACCTAATGTCGTCGGTCCTCTGCTTGCTTTAATTACTAACATGCATTTGATTTTTGCTTTCTTAATAGCAGTCAGGTAAAATAACCACCACTACTGCTAATATACATGTACATGTACTCTACAGTGCTGTGATGAAAAAAGAACCCCTAACAGTAACAGTACTTCTGTACAGACACAATAAAAAAAACTATAATAAGCACCTGAAAAAACAAGTGTGTCTTTGAAGACAGCATCAGACAAAGTTTTTCTTAAAGGTAAAGACCAGTTATGGTCATGCGATTGCATTGTGAAAGAAACGTTGTGGAATCGATCAGAAAAGGTCGATCATCTAACATCTAGCATCTGCAAGGTTCTGGAATCATCAAAATGATAAGAAATTTGGCCCATTCTTCGTAAAGTTACAAGCAATATACACAGAAAGATGTATATGGGACTACCCTATATCTCTCACAGACCATGAGAGAAACAAATTTACCAAATATATGAATTAGTAGGCGGTTTCCCGGCAAATTTTTTGTCATCATGTATTAGTCAAAACATATTCTTTCACATGATTGGTAATGAGAGCTTCCATTTCATTTTTTGAAATTGGGGCGTTTCCAATACTGGTCTTTACCTTTAATCTAGTGGTAGGTCATTTTAAAGCTTTGGAGTGGTGCAACTGACACCACTACTGACAGTGCAACGGAAAGCGCAACTGAAAGCAACTGAAAGCAACTGAAAGATGATGAAGTATTCTCATTGTAGTTCAAGTGCATGTGAAGATGATACAACAATCGCATTGCGGTTGAGAACCATCCTAATTTATTACACTTAAAGAGAAGGTTGAGTTCTGGGAAAGGTGAAAAATAATTTGTGAGCGTTATTATGCAAGTGTGGAAGAACATCAGATAAGACATGTTCCCTGAAAAGCATGGCTCTTCAAATGCCTTCATATTCTAAATATGTCATGTAACATCGTAAAACTCGGGGGTAGGATTTTTACGCCATGAGTTCGTGTAGTCCCTTATACATCTTTCTGTGTACAGTGTTTGTAACTTTACCAAGACTTGGCCAAATTTCTTATCATTTTGATGATTCCAGAACCTTACACACAAATTCTTATATGCTAGATAATCAACCTTTTCTGGTCGATTCCACACCATTTCTTTCACAATGCAATCGCATGACCAGAACTCACCTTCATCTTTAAAGTTAAAGTTGAGTTCTGCATGGTCATGCGATTGCATAATTGTGAAAGAAATAGTGTGGAATGGATCAGAGAAAGTGGATCCATGTAGCATATAAGTATTGGTGTGTACTGCAAGGTTCTTGAATCATGTGTGAGCACAGTATGCAGCACTTTGTAACTGCAAGAAAAAGCCCATACAGTAGATATCAAAGAACTTTTGGATTGGAGTTGATATCTGAATTGATCTTGATATCTTGTTGAATATCGGCAAAATTGACATTTTACCTCTATCTTCTTCTTTTTTAAGGGGGGGGGGGGGGGGGGGGGAGTAAGAGTTCCATGTACACATGTACATGAAGACCTGTGCACTGTAAATTGCATGCAGAGAGATCAATTAGATGCCGGTACTGCTGGACGTAACATGGAAGAGTCATTAATAGTACTGTATCACAGCAGGCTTTTGAATTTCATTATTTTATTGGTATTTTTTGCCAGTCCAAACAACCAACAAACAGTACTGCATTAATTAGAAACAATTCTGATTGACTTGCAGCCAGTTTTTCTGCAACTACACTTCCAATTATAGAAGAATTACCTTTAAGTAAATGATATTTTCAAGGCTCAAGGCATTGATCTAGAAAGGAGATCTTCATTTGGATTGGCAAAAGCCCAAAGGACTGATTAATCTGGGAAAAACACACCCAAATTGATGTACATGTACTATTAGTGGGCCAAGAAAGTACATATAGATATGGCAGTAATATTTAATTTCATAAGGACAAATTAGAGTGACGACTGGGTGCCTAAAATAAGATCCCCTTCCTCCCCACCTTGACCTTAAGATTGTTTACTATACTGTCAGTATAATGTATGTCATCATGTGCATGAATACATGCCAAATTAAAGGTAATACAAAGTTTGGTAAGGGGTCATGAATTTGGTTCAAATGAACATATTGGAAGCATATGAGATCATACAATAGTCATTGATCGTTGTCGCGGTTGAAATAGAGTCTTAAGTTATGACATTTTAAATAACAAACTACTTATGTTGTATAGCTCCCTCTCAAGGTCAAGCTATTAATTCTGCTATTAAACAATGTTTCTTGACTAAAATTGACCGATTAGCTATTCCCGTTTGGAAATTATAAAATCACAACTACATATTCTGAGATTTTCATGGTCGCAGCAACCATTGTACGGCCGTAGGCGCTATTTGAAATTCATCCAAATTTATCGGGAGCACCGGTAAATTTTTATATACAATTTTTCTCAAAAGCAGAAGAGTTTTATGTTGTTGATGTTGTATCTATTAAAGATTAATTCTTAATTCATATCGAGACAATATCATGTTGCTGTTGTTATATGTTTATAAAAGATTAATTCTTAATTCATACAGTCAGTAATTTGTTGTTGTTGTTGTTGTTGTATTAATTCCATAATAATTCTTTATTTATTTTTTAAGAAAAGAGAAAGATAGAAAAAACGCTCACCTTTTGGATAAAGCCTAAATATTGTGGCATGTACTGTTATGGATGGAAATATATACTGTATCATTTGTAAGTTTAAAGCTACCCAGTCTTACAGTATGTTGAAAACTAATATTGCTGAATTTAGTGGATTTCTTTTTCTTTTCATGTTTAATAGTTAATACCAACTGAATTAAATGTTGCTGTACATGAATTTTGCCTTAGATGCATCACCTATGTTTTCATAACCTAATTGATTTCCTTCTTTTTCATTTTTTCTTCCCCCTTGCAGCCGTTGTATGGTTTGATCCAGGCTAAGCTGGAGCTCATCACTCACGCATATTTCTGTGAGCGGGATTTCTCCAAGACGAAAATACTTCAGGTATTGACTGACATTTTATCCCCAGAGATCCTTTATCCAGACAGACACACAGACAGACAAAAGGCCTGTCCTCATCAGCTCGAGATTGGCAAATAACCCACTATCTCTGATTTGGGAAATAATCCCAAAGTTACAAAGTGCGTCTTCATCAGCTCGCGATTTGACCTTGAAACTTGAAACTCAAGCTTGAGATATTTTGCTCAGCGTTCGCGCATAGTGCGAGTCTTCGGGATGGTGAAAACGCGCCAGACAAATAGCGGGATATTTTGCAAACTAGCTTAAGATATCTTCGGATGATTATCTCAACCAAGTATCCCACTAATTGTAACGTCGAGCTGATAAAGACGCAAATTAACTAGATAATTTGCAATCGGGATAGTTCAAATAGCGGGATATTTGGCAAAATTTTGAGCTGATGATGACAGGCCTGGAGAGTCAGACACAAACATCCTTAGAAATAGTCATCCCTAGTGGTTTTGCTTCCTTAGTTTTGAAGGAATTAAACCAAATTTCATTCCATTTTAAAGGGTGCCGGTGGAAATTTTCAATTGAAACAAAGGGTTTGAATTATGCATACATTTTTTCCTTCTAATATACTTTTAAAAGAAGGTTCATCCAAGCTGATTATTAGTATTGCCCCCATCCAGCTGGGTTGCGACTGTTGGTTTTGCAAACAGCATTTTGCAGGGGAGTCTCCCCCAAAATGCATTCTGTTCTCTGTGTCTGTCTGGATAAAGGAATCCAGAATAATAGTGTATTATTACAATTTAAAAAATCACTTAGCTTAAAGGTGAGTTGAAATGATTGAGATCATAGAATGAATCATCTTGATCCTAATTACGAAGACCAATTAAACCCTGATCTTCCCTCTCCTTTTCTTATCTCGTCTTCATCACCAAATCTGGTAGTACCATATTCATTGTCATAAGGCCTGTCTCATACCTGCCAACCCTTCCGAATAATCCAGAATATTCTGTTTTTCTGGATTTTTAGGACCCCAAAATCCGGAATATTCCGGATTTTCAAAATTTTCTTAAGCCAAATTAAGCTTGTTTTATCATATGCCGCGATGTGAGAGTTCACGTATTGCGTGCGTTGAAGGGCTGCATGATTGAGCAGCGAGTTTGTATTTGCTTTTTTGCACAGATTTACCGCGTATTGCCAGTTACACTGCCGCTGCATGTGCGAACGCCTGTTAAGGGTACAGATTTCTTATTTTCGAAGACATACCGTCCTAAAAATTCTTAATTCTCATTTTCAAATGTTGGCAGGTATGCTGTTTTCATCAGGTCGAGAAATTTTAACTATTCCGATCGCGAATTTACAGCTAATTTGCGTCATCATCAGCCTGCAGTTGCAATTAGCGGGATATTTGGGCGAGAAATATCTCGAGAAATCTTGGTCTTGTTTCCAAAATAGCCTGCACTTTGGGAAATAAAAGGTGGGCTACTTTGGGCTCGTCCAAGCTAGTTTGTAATAAGCGTATCCGTCTGGTGAAGACGCAATTTCGAGCTTCGGTATAATATCCCAAATCTGAAAATGGCGGGTTATTTGGCAAACTCGAGCTGATGAAGACAGGCCTAATGTTGATCTATCCTCCTGGGAGCCACCCAGGTCAAATCCAGGGACCCGTTTCACAAAGCCTTTTTTCAATAACAAATGACAAAAATCATTGACAAATCTGCTGATAACCAATCAGAAGCAAGGATTTCAGTAGCTTATCACAAAAAGTGTCTCCTTTGTTACTAATGACAAGTTTTGTGAAATGGGGCCCAGACTTGACTTTCAGTGATATGACTGGGTAGTCTGCCAATTTCCCTCCCCCATTTTATTAAGAGGTTGACGCAAGACTACTCTATCATCTCCTTCAGTGGTGATTTATTTATCTGTGACCTATTTGAAGGAGCCTACTCAAGTAGGTCACCTGACAATCACACTTGACCTATGAACAGAGTGGATGCATGTACATGTACATGTATGTATTAGCCTAGCACTTCAATAACCCTAAACCTTAAGAATGAAGGAGAAGAACAATGAAGAAGGGAATGAAGATGAATAAAAGAAGGAGGAGGAGAAGAAGAAGAAGAACGTATTGATAAAACTGCACCAAAAATATTTAAGACAAAATTTCACAATGGCACAACTTTAATAGTTTGTTGAAAGTTTTTGGAAAGTTTAAAGAAGATTGCTCCACCATTCATAACCACATCACAATGACTCCTCACTTTAAAGCCCCACTGCACTACTTGTATCTACTTGCGCCCTCTACATTGCAAACAATGCCTAATCGGTAACCATTGGTCCCCCATGGTCCCCTTTTTCTGATGTTAATTGAGAGCTGATATGATTAGATAACCACATGTCAGTGACCATGCAGGGAGGTATAATCCCTCCTGGCCAAACTAGTGCAGATATAATACAAAAAATATATACAAAAAATAATAGTAAGCTTGGAGTGAGAATTTAGTTTATTTTGTAATAATTATAAGTGTAATGTATTACATGGCCTTGTCCGTAGGCAGCTGTGCATACATCTATTGAGGGTAGGGTCTATTGACCATGTCGGGTGAGGTGCCTGCCCCTGAATCATGGTTATAAATAATGCAAGATAACCCCAATTAAACTGGTTTCCAAGGAAACAGAGGGTTCAAACTCGAAGGAGGGTTCATTTCATCTGTTTGCAGCCAGAAGGGTCTAATACAGCCTTAATATTTTTCTGGCTTGGAACAGACAATTTTATCTTGACAATGTCCTAAGTTTACAAAGTATTTGAGTGACAAAGAGAAATTTTGGGAGACAAGTTTGAAATCATATAACTTTATTCCATGATACCGGTATCTACAAATAAATCAACAAAATTCATGAACCCATTTTGAATTTCAAGTTTGAAGACAAGATTATCTTTGTCGAATTTTGTCGCAAGTATTAGTTATAATAGGATATAAAATTTGGGTTGTATACTTTGTCTTTTGAACTTAAAGAGAGTTTGACCATTTGCAAATGGGGCCATCCCAGCTAGTAGACCAACAAAACGTGAGACATGAGCAAATATTGAAAAGAAGAAACTTCCAGAAAGTTCAAGGGACCGATGTCGCTGGCCTTGTGGGCTATTCGTTTCATGGGCAAATTCAAATGTCAGAAAGAGGCTACTGTACAAGTACCGACACAATCAAAGCTTTTTGTTTGAGATATAAGGAACTTAACCTCGCTGTGAAATTTATGGACATCATATGAAAGTAAAACTGGATTTTCTGAATGAGTATTAAATTAGGATACTTGTGCAGCAATTAATTATAAATGAAACATGAGTGGACTTTCTTAATTAGAAGACATTTAAAGACCATAAATATGTGGTCAAAAACCGTCAAATGCAAGCTTCCCTGCACTCACAAGAAACAATGGTAATTCAAATCTCTTTTATATCGGTGATCAATTTTTAAATCATGCTAATTGCTCTCAATGTGAAAGGCCCTTGTGAATAATTTATTTGTGTCAACGTTGCTCTCTGTAGGCTACATTTAACCTATAGACTGCTGAATATTCTCATTCCTATATGCTTTGGTTAGGAGGTACCCAGTTGCCATTGACAACGGGGTAATAGTCAAATAACTAAACAGGAAATGAAGTCAGACTTTCTACATATTAGTTGTATTTTTTTGTAACGCATGAAACGTAATACCTTTAAAAGATATTCCACATCACAGGATGTTTCTACAGCCCATTCCAACTACATGAAGCTATCATCATGAAAACTTAATTACCTTGTCAAAACTTAAAGAATTACTTTGTCATAAATGTCTTTATTTTGTCATAATTTATTTATTGATAATGTGCATGTGACTAACCTAGACCTACATGTATCTGTATAGCTCTCATTAATTTTAAGTACCACTTATTACTGTTTTGTATCAAGTATCACTTTCCGTTCAAAAAGCTTATAGACTCTTCCATATTTTGTTTTCCTGTACCGGTAATCAGTATTTCTTGCTACTTGTCTACTGGATGTGTTCCGTACTGTCACTAGACAAAAGTACAAATGTGGATAATGTTTTGTAGGTTCACAGATATTTGATTAATTCAATAAATACATTTTTTTAAGGTATGAAGTTCAAAAGTACTTTTTAATCAAGTTCAAGTTCAAGTTTATTTTCCACATGTGGTTCATAAAAAACAAATATACATACATGTTCAGACATATATTTACAAAAATGCAAAGTAACACAAAATTAACAAACAATAATATTAAGAGAAAAAATGGCGATAAAATTTAATGTCTATAAACACGGAACAACTAAATACCAGCATGTCAAGGCTAATCACCAGTATACATGTAGATATTTTGGATATTTTATATATAAAAAAAAAACATTAAAAAACACGAAAAAAAAAAAATATCATAGTCATAAAAGTGACATACAGTGCATGACAAAGCAAAATCAAGTTGGCAAATTAAATTAATAAATCAGTGATGGAGTCAAACATACTTTTCAACGACCACCTGTATAAAAAGACCACCTGTCTACAAAGACTAAATTTACAATAAATAATGTTGTAGTAGAGTGAAGATTCTTGTGAAGTAGGAATGGAAAACAGTGCTACATAAACAACAATCAATTTTTCCTCATGATAACTTTCTACTGTAAAAAATCTTATAAAGCTGCTTGTTTTTGTTTTTTGTACAGGAGTTCTATGAGAATCTCAACAACTGTATACCAAGGACGATACCTGAAGATTCTCAAGTCTTTCTCGGTCTATCGTTGAGGGATCTGGTCACAACTTTCAAACACAAGGTATTATGTTTAATTTGATATCAGCTCTACAATAATAGTTAGAGAATTGTCATTTATTTTGTTAATCATCCATTTTTAGAAATAAATAACAAAGAATGATATAATAATATTCACATTCGTATAGCGCTTAATGCTACCCATCTAAGCGTTTAACATTGTGATGATTATAACCCAGGTCATTGAATTCAATTGCTAATCCGCACATGATAGTGCACGCTCTCCGCTCCCTGGGGAGTATTCCGGCCAGGTTCCATTTTTACAAACGTACACATGCCAATCCAACCACCAGGTATTGATTTAACACCAGGATGGAGAGTGGCAAACAAGTTTAAACAGTATAAGTAGGATGCTTTTGAGAAAATCCCATGGCAGATACTGTTGCTATAGAAGACAATTATATTATCATTATTATGTTTTACAGAATTGGAAATTTTTCATTTGACAATAACCATTTCATAAATTTTATATATATTTTTTGAACGTGTTCATGAAGGGGCGAAAATATCCTCTTTTTCAAATAAATTTCTTTCCTATGCCGTATTATTTTCCTTCAGGTGATCCAAAGAAGCAGGAGATGGTGTGATTTGTTCCGTAAACCTCACAATGATCTAACTTTAAAGCTTATCTGCCATAGTTTACAGGAGGGATTAGAGCGCTCTGCAAGGTCACTGGACAGGTGGTTACCTCATTAACTCAGCTCTCAGTTAACATAAGAAAAAGAGGATCATGGGGGACCAGTGGTCACCGATTAGGCTTTGGTTGTTATATAGAGGGCGCAAGTAGCTACAAGTAGTGCAGTGGGCCTTTAACTCCTCTCTTGTTCCCTTAATAGATCTTGGTGTTGTTTAAGCTAATGATGTTAGAGAGAAGAATCCTGTTCTACACGTCGCCTGTCCATAAACTCTGCAATACACTTCTGGCTATTGTCTCTTTATTCCCAGGTAAAAGACTATTTAATATCGTTTTTTCTTTTCTTTTAAGGTAAGATACATTGTTTCCACTGGTTTGCACTTCAATAGAGTTTATGGCTAGGATTTGAATGTTTAAATTTTTTTTTGACCAATTCAAGCACTAGTAATAATTCAGTCACACCGCCAATTTTTTTTTTTTTTTTGCCATAGAGGTTATGTAATTATTATTTTTTTTTTTATTTATTTTTTTTTTTTTTGGGGGGAGGGGGGGGGGTTGTTGTTCGTCTTGTTGGTGTGACTGAGTATTACCCGTACCAAAAGGATATTCAGAACTATTGGAACTGTTTAAATGCAGATTGATGAATGATAAGCTTTAGAGGTAATCTTAAATGTTATCTTAACCATTGTGTATGGCATCATTCAGTGGTTGATGTGTATTATGAGTGAGCTAGCAAAAGACTTGAATTGTTTATGCAAACAGTTAGTGGCAATGAATTATTATCCTCCATTAAAATGGGACCAAGCAACAACTGCCACTGGATGTTTTAGTTGATACTGACAGAGACTATCTAGGATTAGAACCTGCAATTATTCATATGCATCTTTCTCATGATTTCATATTGACTATATTGATACCTTGCGACTCAAGTGCTATTAAACTACAATCGTATCATCTTACCTGTGTGTGACAGTTTTGACTCATCTGGCATTTTTATTTATTTGTTATTCAACAAGGAATGATCGAGCGCGGTCTTGAGAAATCAGCATGTCCGAAGCACTACAACCCTCGCATCTCCACCATCGAGCTCACGGATTACGGTATCAATACAGAGGAGTACCTTGATGTGAAGATGTCTCACGTGCCTAATTACAGTCATCAAAAGAGCACGGAGAGCAGTCCTGAGAAGAGCAGCGATAGCGGCGAGAAGTGCTTGAGGATACCTCTGGGAAACCCCAACACAAACTCAAACGAGGATGAAGGTATGGGCACACACGGTTCCTCAAAGACGGAAGGAAGACCCAGTGGCGGCATCCCAAGGACAAATCCATTCGATAAGGAAAACATTCCCGGTGGGGTGATTCAACGCGACGGTGAAAGCAGGAAAACCAGTCGGTCCTCGTCTCAAGGGTCGAGCGGTGGCGGATCGAAGAAGAAGATCGCGAAGGACGTGTCGCCCGAGGAAGAGCTCATAGATCTCATCGACCAGGAGCTCTATGGAGACTTCTTTGAAGGTGGCACAAAGAGGAGCAGCGACGGCAGGGATGATTTGCTTTCAGAGGAAAGGGATAAAGTCGGTGACTCCTTAGAAGCCAGGAAAGAGAGTAATGCCTCTGAGTATACCAAAGAAGACAGTGATGTCGATCTACAGACTCAGGACCGTCTTCATCAGCACTCCGCTAGTATTCAGTCCGGTGACAGCGGCATTAGCAGCTGTCAGAGGTCCTCTACGGTCAGCAGTGGACGGTCACAGGGGTTCGAAGACGGTGTTGGGGAGATGAAGATGAACAGATATAGTGGAGTGGAGGACTTTGTGGTTCTTCCAAACATGCCACAACAAGAGCCGATGGACCTTGATCGCTTTGGCTTTCCACTCGCAATATTTGGAAAGGTTAGAATATTGTTTTACATATGATTGTTCTAAAATATGTTGACTATTGTATCATTCCTACTGCCCTGCATGGTACAAGGTAGAGTATCAGTTATGATTATGTACATGTGCTGATGCTGTCTTATTGGGGACAAATCTTGGTTTAATTCAACAAATCGAGGAAACAATGGAACTCAGGTAACACGTTTGTTTAAGTTCTGTAGAAAGGAAATTAATCGTCAATAACTGTATAGTCAACCAGTAACCCATGTTCAGGTACTAGGAAGAGACATATTTCCATGTACAATTTAAGGTGTAGTGTTTTTCATGTTTCAAAGCTATTCCTGAACTGAGGGGGGGGGGGGAACTGTGAATAGAGAAAGGCAAAGTAGAATAATAGAGAATAACACTGAGAGCCAAGCTTTGTGCCTGAAACTTTGCCTGAAACTGCGTTTCCAAGTAGTTTGAAGCCCCTCTGCACTAGTTTGGCATGGAGGAATTAGACCTCAAGTCACTGTCATGTTGTTATCTCATCAAATCAGCTCTCAATTAACATAAGAAAAAGGGCATCATGGGGATCAACGAGCAATGCTTAGGCATTATTGGCTGTATAGAGGGCGCAAATAGCTATAAGTAGTGCAGTGGGGTTTAAGATAAATTCATGCACAGTTCAACCATTTGAGGTTAATTAGACATTTTCTGTCTGTATGATCTTTTGCAGGGCTCCTTATGTCACCCCTACATATCCCTTCAGCAACACGACATGCTACAGGATGTCAACGTGAGGTCATTCGTCATTGGAGCAACAAACGCTCTCTTCAAGCATCATAAACATCTCATGGATGTAATCGTTGAAGTAAGTAGGAATAATAATAATAATAATAATAATATTTCCCTTTTATATAGCGCTTAATACAAATGTCTCTAAGCGTTTCACAAATATACAATCACCCTGGTCATTGGATTCAGTGCTTGCCGCACACACTGTGTGCACAATTTCCACTCCCTGGGGAGCATTCCAGCCAGGCGTTACTTGGCGCTCAAACACTGTTTGTCCAACAATGACGGTCCTACCGGGAACCCATTTAACACCTGGGTGGAGAGTAAGCAAGTGTAGGTTAATATCTTGCCAAAGGATATTAGTGCTGTGTCGGGATTTGAACCCTCGACCTTTGCACCTCCAGTCAAGCGCCTGAAACCACTTGACCACAGATCTCTCACATGTGCTATCCTATCTTCTGCCTTGTCCACCATTTCAATTTCAAATGGTTTGCAAGGCTCTTATTCCCACTGGCCTGGAACTGGACCGGAAGCCCAAAACAGAAGGTCTCCAGGACCAGGCCTTTCCCGAACTCCCACCACTACTACCACTAGACTAGCCTGGATATTTAAGAACAGTGATAAGTTTGACCGTAAGAAGAAAGCTGCTCCTTGACATCTATGTAGAGGAATGATCAGTTTTGTACATTAGTTTTTGTCACTTCATTATTGTTTCAACGTTTTGATTATAAAAAAGAAAAGTTCATCCCTTTGTACCTGTGTTACAAAGTTGGGTCATTGTCTTTCTTTTTTTCCTTTACACTTAGGTTGAAGAGGGTAAAGTGACCATCTTAGACCCTGAGTTGAAGAAGCAGGTAGCACTAAGCACAGCTGATCTGAGGTTTGCTGACTTCTTAATCAAACATGTGACAGACAGCAGTGATGTATACCTAGATGGAACAGGTAAATCTAGTCAAACCGGCTTTAGCGCCACTTGTATAGAAAGACTACCTGTCTACAAAGACCATATTTTGAAGCTAAACTCAGATAATTTCAATCTATGAATGCGCCTGTGAATAGAAAATGATAATGATAATAATAATAATATTTAGCTTTTATATAGCGCTTATCACAAATGTCTCTAAGCGCTTTACAAATACATATAGATGATTATATTATGATGCTTTTCATGTGATTTTTTTAATGTTCATCAATCAATGAATCTTGATGATTGAGATTTGTTTCAACAATATGAATATCTTACTATTAAAAATACAAGGTGAAATAGTTTCAGAATACAACCCCTGGGCCTTGTCTTGTAAAGAGTTGAAATTAATCGCAACTTAATTTGCGATTGATATCAATTGCAACAATGTACATTTAGAGTTAGAAGACTGCAAACTTGCGATTGATTGGAGGACTTGTGATTGATGTGGATCAATCGCAACTCTCTATAAGTTGGGGCCCTGGTATTGTGTTAAAGCGGGACTGCACTACTTGTAGCTACTTGCGCCCTCTATACAGCCAACAATGCCTCAGCGGTACCTGTTGATCCCCCATGGTCCCCTTTTTCTTATGTTAATTGAAAGCTGATTTGATGAGATAACCACCTGCCAGTGACCACGCAGGGAGGTCTAATCCCTCCTGGCCAAACTAGTGCAGATAGGCTTTAAGACCTCTATATCCCAACTGGTCCACCTTTCTTTATTCTTTCTTTTGTTAGGATGGGAAGGAAGTGATGAGTGGATCAGAGCTCAGTTCAAGCTATACCTCCTCTCCCTCGTCTCAACATGCACGAGTATCGGTAAGTACATTGTAGAATCGATTGCTCTCATTAATCAGTAGTGCCTTCCTGTGGCTGAAGGGCCTAAGTGATAAATGGCTTACATCTTAAAGCTCTGAGAGAAGCTGGGCTGCAGTCTTTACAAAATGACTGTGTGTTATACCAAATATCAAATAATGTCCTTAAAAAAAAAGCACAGAAAGCATAAATACTCATAGAGTATTACAAAATAGGAGGAGGCGCTATAGCTCAGTTGGTTGAGCAGTGATCTCTTAATCCGGTGACCCGGGTTCGGAACCAAAAATTATAAAACTCAGAATGCTGATACAGTATAACATGCATACAAATGAAAAAAGGATCTCAGTGAAATCATCATATAAGTATCAGTGTTGGGGGGAGATTTTTTTTCCCACTTTAATTAAGTTAGCAACCAAAAGTTTGTTTTTGCGAAATGGAATAATATTTTTTGCTTTTTCCAGGAAACAATTCCGGCTTGCTGGCTTGTTTGAACTGGTAAGAACTCAACTAATTATTTGTGATTGCATTCTGTATTTTTCTGTTTATCCCTGGCATTACATTTACATACAGGTACCTACACAGTGACTGAAATAGGAGATTTTAATGAGAGCTTCGTGCAAGCATGGAAAACAACTCATAACTTCAGGATGTGGAATAGTAAAGTCCATCCAGGAATCGATCAGATACATACCGGGTGAGATCTTGTTACTCTAATAATAATGATACTTTGAGGGGTCAGTGACACACAGATATAACTCCATATTTTGCCAAAATGAGTACTTGGTATCAAAATGTTCAGAAAAATGTGGGCCTTCCAGGAAACACAAAAACTTGACTCCACCCAACACCCCATTGAAGTCAATGGCTAGTGAAACATAGACTTAACTCCTTAAGGCCCAAGTGCTCAGTGACAGATAAACCACTTTTTCTCAAAATGGAGTTACGTCTTTGTGTCACTGACCCCTCGAAATATGAGATTTGTAAGGCACCAAATCCACTTGAAATCAAATGCTCAAGTTGCATTTGTGAAACAAAGAAATACAAAGTGGGGAAGAAAAAAAAACTAAACAGGAGATCACTATAAGTATCTGCATGCTTTTACGTGATCTCCTGTATGTGATCTCAAGAAGAAAAAAAAGGCATCTTCATTATACACAAAGGAATAGAAGTAAGATGATCATCCAAAAATAACAGAACAGTTAATGATATGCTAAATTGAAAAGACACGTTATAAAGGTTATCTGTACTAGAGTACAGGAGGGATTAGACCACCCTGCAAGGTAACTGGACAGGTGGTAATCTCATCAACTCAGCTCTCAATTAACATTTATAAGAAAAAAGAGGATCATGGGGGACCAATGGTCACCGATTAGGCATTTTTTTCTAAATAGAGGGAGCAAGTAGCTACAAGTAGGACAGTGTGGCTTTAAGATAATTTTTAAACACTTCAGCTGATCTGCTATTATAAATCTCACAAGTGAAAAGATTCTACATGAAAAGCCATGCATGAGCAAAAGTTCTTTCCCCCCACTTAGTATTGAGCTTTAATAGGAAGAACAAGAAGTCAGGAGTTTTGTTAGCATAAAGATCTGGACGGAATGTTATGATTTATTAAAATAATATTGTACTGTGGAACAGAGTAATGGACACGATGAAATAAAAGCACAAGAATTTTGAAAATATTGCGTTCACTCATGAGCAACCAATGGAGTGCTTTGAGATGTGATGTCATTCATAACAAAGCTTTAACTCTGTGTAAATGATTATGAGTTAATCCCCTTTCTGATGATATTACTCCAAGCGATGACCCGAAGATTCAAAGTAAGCTGAAACTCTTAATACCATCTTCCTATGAGTTTTTCATTGTTTTATAATAATACTAATGCTGTTTACCCATATGGTACTTGTCAATTTAGGCATCCTTTTCACGGACACCTCGGCGTAAGTGATATGAAGATAAGACTGTCAAGGTGAGTTTTATTTTTTTCTTTAGAGTATCTTTGAGGAACATTATATACATTCTTGTTTCCAAATGTGGTACTTTTCGAGTGAGGTTTAGGCTATGATATGTGATGAAATCATTATCATCATCATTTATTAAAGTCAGCATTTTCCCTGTTTTGAGGGGTTACAGACTTTCATGCCATAATGACACCCCCTCTCTCCAGTTTTTCTTGTCTTGAGCATCCTGGTCATTTAGGCCAACCTTACTGCTTCTTTTTCCACCATATCTTGCCATGGAATCTTGGGTCTTCTCTTAATTCTTACGCCATCCACTTTCAGATTTCCACACAATTTTCCCAGGTTCTTCATTTTCCCTTTCAAACACATGACCCATCGATCTCATCCACTCCTCTTCACCACTTCCACCACAGTTTCTTCCTGACGCAACCTATCCATGAGTTCACTTGTGTTCTTTACCACCCGGAAAAAAGAAAAACTGATGTGAGAGAAAGCTGTGGTGACATTATGTTGTCAAAGACATAATGTGTGCGAGAACAGTTCTGATGCCATGCATTGGTTGTGACATAAAGTACTAAATGATCAACGCATGTGACAATATCCAATATTTAGAGTCATTGTGCGTTATGCGATATTGTGAAATTAGCGGTTGGCCCATTGCAACATGGGTTTCCTCTCCGCGTTAGGAATGTAGCTCTCTGCAGAAGTTAAGATTTTTGCCAAAGATATGATGGAATAAAAGTTTAGAGTTCTTGAAATTTTATATGATATTATATTTGTAGTATTGTGAGGAGCAGTTTTACAGAACCTTGTCAAATCTTCCGTGCTGTGTCTGTTTTCTTTCTTTCTTCCTCTCTTCCACTTTCCCTCTTTTTCTCTCTTTTTCTTTTAACCTCTGTTACTTTCTCTCTCTCTCTCTCTCCAAATACATTAATTACTGACGTTTCTTCCCCCCTCTCTCACCTCCCTGTATCCCCCTTTCTCTCCCCTTTCCCTCTCTTTCTCTCTTCCTCTCTTATCTCCCCCTCTCTCTCTCTCTCTTTCTTTCTCTCTATCTCTCCTCTCCCGTCTCTCTGTCCTCTTCCCCCTCTTTCTCTCTCCTCCCTCTTTCTCTCTCCTCATCCCCTCTCTTCTCCCCTTTTCTCTTTCTCACTCTCCCTCCCTCCCTCCCTCCCTCTCTCTCTCTCCCTCTCCATGTCTCTGCCCCCCCCCTTTCTCACCATCTCACTGTCTGCATTTCAACCATTTTTTTACCAATAGTGTGATGCAGACGACCGACCGGGGAAAGAGACTCAACAGCGCCATCAACCGCACAGGAGTTGCCGTGATGCAAACGGGGAAGGTCGTTGGGGAGGCCCTGACGACAGCCAAAACAGCCGTATCTTCGTGGCTGTACGGGCTTGCCGGCGAATGGAAGGAGGAGGGGGGAGAGGATGAAACAAACGCCGAGGTGAAATGAAAAGACGTACCATGTACCAAAACGCCTGAGCTGAAAGTGTTGACTGATTTGGGCTGGAGGTTATATATAGAAAATATGCCCTTTACCTAAATCAACTGGTATTTCACCTAGATAACTGACTGTTCAAAAATGAAAACAACATTTGCTGTTTTGCTATTCTGTTCAATTAAAAAACACAATGACAGAATGCAACTATTTAATAAGCTTTGCTTAAAGGTACTATGTCCCTTTTGCAGCCAACCTCAAATTCTGTAGAACTTTGCAGAAATTATGAATATATCATGTTCTTGTGATGTTCAAAATTAAACTGATTGAACCTTTGCGCAGCATAAAACGTATGACCATTTGGTACAATGGTCTGAAAATCAAGACTATTACTTATTGGCTCTATAGCTCGTAAGTCGATTTGACAACTTGTAGTCATTATTTTCCCACTTGAAGACATTTTCAAGCCCCACATTTTTTAGGGAAGTTCTAAATTAGTATTATCGTTCAAATGCCGTTGGAATTTAACCTTTTCATTTTTTTGGCCTGCAAATGGGACATAGTACCTTTAAAGACATAGTTTAACAATGTTTCCAATTTTACAAATCTGAGATGCATGGCCCTACGTGTCTGTGTCTGTTCAGACAGTGTTCAGTGTCTGTGATATGGTGTGGTATTGGAGCCCTAAACAAATTGCGCTTCAAAATGATCATGAAGTGCTTAAAAAAGTAAAAATCTTTGAGTGACCGGTTTTACCATACTCTTTTTCCCCGAAATTTCGAATTCCAATCATAAAAATCAGACAAGCGATCGGCATGTAAAAGTCATGGGATTTCTGACTGACCTAAAGGTTTATAATTATGATTGCAGCATGAGCTAAATCCAGGATTTAAAACCTGAAATCATGAAACTTGTTTTTTCTTATCAGTTATCAGCACTGCTTTAAAACCTAGATAGTACTCCATTTTTTACCATGATGAATGTACAGACACTGTGAATATTCGTGAGATATTACTATGTGTATATGTTTGAAATTTGTTATACATGTTCATGTACAAAGATGTATTTAATTTCTACCTTCTGTGTTTGATTGTAGAAAAGAGTTACATTCAGAATATAGTCATGAATATTTTTGTCACATGACGATGATGTGATAGTCAAAAGTAATTTGTCTTTCAAATTTCTGAAAATATATGTCTTTAATAGTCATATAATTTGGTGTCACTACTTTTTACATTACAAATTTTTGACAGCTTATAAAGACTCCTGAGTATTGTTATGTCATTGAGAGTTATGCTGCATATTATAAAGGAAATCAGAGGTTATATATAAATGTATATAACGGTAGAGTGTTTATATACTTAAAAATTCAAATTTATAACAGTTGGTATATAAGTCATAGTTTTTATATGATACAAATACAAAGTATTTACTGTCATGAATCTGTTGAAAGTATTTTTCTCTTGTTGGACTAAGATAAAATCAACTTTCAGTTTTTTCTCCAGTAGCTTAGAATACTATAAATGGGCAACAAAGGTTTTAGCAGGCTGGACCAATAAAATGTCCACTTTCAATGCTCTATTCTTCCAGATTTTAGAACCCCTTATTATTCCAAGTATTGATATGAAGGTACCTTTTATCTCTAAATTGTAACAATGTTATCTGATACTTGTTTAACAATGTTTCCGGTTTTACAAATCTGAGATGCATGGCCCTACGTGTTATCAGTTTCTGTGATATAGTGTAATGTTGAAACCCTAAAAAGATTGGGCTTCAAAATGATCATAAAGTGCCTCTAAAAAGTAAAAAATCTTTGAGTGACCAGTTCCATACTCCTTTTTCCTGATAGACTGTAGTGTCATAAATTTGAAATTTCAAATTCCATTCAGAAATATCTTGATAATCAGACAAGCGTTTGGCTTGTAAAAGTCATGGGATTCCTGACTGACCTAAAGGTTTAAACATGTAGTTATGCTTGTAGCATGAGCTAAATCCAGGATTTTGTTTCAGAATCTGAGACAAAGATACCCAATCCCTTTAAAATAATATAGCCTGAAGAAGGAAAATTTGAAGCCCTGGAGAAGCCGGTAAGGGTTAGTTTTCAGTAATGTAGGATTGTGTTAGTGTTTTGAGCTGGTGAGCTCTTATGTATTATCAGCACTGATAACATCATAATCTCCTTCTCAGTGGGATTAATACAGTTCACCATCTGGTGTATTCTCGTACTAGTATAGGTATGATGTACATGTACAATATAATGCCATATAACAAACCTTAATATGTATACCTGTAATATTTATGTACTAAGAAGAAAAAAACTAAGTTTCTTTGTATTCTTTTTCATAAATGCAGTTCGTTTTTCTGTGCATAGTGCCAAAGTTGGATATATTAAACAGATGGTGTTTATGAATACTTTGTGTGAAAAGATATTATCAAATGCTGTTATGACTCTCGGCAGATGACTTTCTTTCCTTGGTATTCTCTCCTTGGTGTACCTTGTAGAGGTGTCTTTATAGTCGAGAGATTTGAGCACTTGATAGGAAATGCAAAGGTCCTAGGTTCCATCCCAAACACGGCAGTAATTTCCTTTAGCTAGGCTTTAATCTATATTTGCCACTCCATACCCAGGGGACCTGGTAGGATGACCAAAGTCTTTGTGAAAGTAATTGCCATATGGTAGCAATACTCCCCAGGGAGTGGAGAGGATGCAGACTGTGAATTTGATGACTGGGGTAATATTGATATCTGTAAAGTGCTCAGAGATGGTATTCTGGTTATGTGCTATATAACTACAGATTTGTTGTTAGATGTTCTGTTTGGATGTTCCATGATATAAACTACTGGGGGCGTTTCACAAAACTTGTCATCAGTGACAAATGACAGTTTTTGTTATAAGCTATTGAAATCCTTTCTTCTGATTGGTTATCAGCAGATTTGTCACTGATTTTTGTCATTTGTCATTGAAAAAAAGCTTTGTGAAACGGGCCCCTGATGAGGATTTTATGCATATTGGTCTGTTTATTAGTAAATATGAGTGTATATTTCTTCATCCTTTAATGTATACATATGTTATTGGTTATGTGAGAGAGAAAGTGACGAAACTTTCATGAGTATTCTTTTGTTTAATGTACAGTTGTGTATATGTTTTTAAAGCTTTTCTTATATTTGTACATCACCAGAGTTATTTAGTCTATTCACTACCGTGTGCAATTTTGTGTTATTAATAGACAAATCACAAATTCATATACTTCCAGAATGTAGAATGAACAAGTAGATCGTACACATCCACTTTTAACCATTTTATGCAATACTCTTTCCATTATTGTTTGAATGTTTTGCTTTATTATTTGTCTATACCCCTTAGAGTTTTTCTTTATAGAAAGGTTGGACGTGGAATTATCTCCTACGTACATGTAGTAGGCATGATCAGCTTAATTCTTTCTTTTTTCTTTCTTTTTTTTTTGGTTTTTGATATGCATGTAGCACATAGATAGATTTTTTTGTCTATACAAAGGGCTTTTTTCTATTAACACTACCTTTACATGATCTGACTCCAACTAAAAAACATGAAGAACTTGCAATGAAACAGAAAAGCAGATCTTGATGATTGGGCTAGACTCGAAAGTAGCAAGTTTGTGTGAGCCTTTTGATTGGCCAAAAAGGATAGAGAGGTCTCCAAGTTTGAGCCAATCATGCACATTGTCATATGATTGGCAGGTGAGTTGGTGTCTTTCCAAGTTTGTGTCACACCCACCATTCATGTTTCACATATTGTACTGCATGGACATTTTGATATGAGAGAATAATATGGCGATTGCATTGATTTATCATTGAATCCATTGGTCCCTTGGATAGGACGTTAAACGGGAGGCCCCATGTAGAGGAGAGTCACCACCTTTATATGTTAAGAACCCACTGCACTATTTGTATAAGAGTAGGAGGAAACCCTGGTGTAGTGGTCCACCTGTACACCTCCAATCAGTTATACAGGGAGGAGAGACCCAAGGGTTACAGCAATTCAGTTCGCTTTTCGCCTCCCAGACACAGGTAACACCTAATTAATAATAATAATAATAATATAAATTGTGATCCAGAACATTATGAGTAAAGGAGCAAAAAAGCTCTGCCTGATCTGTTCTCATGTCAGTTGCGTTGATAATCAGACAAAGCTTTCATCTTCTTTCCTTCAAATTAATGATTTATTAAGCCATGTCAAAATGTAAGATGTAGCACCTTTGTTTTTGTTTAATTAATTTATAAAAAAGAAGTGCATATCATCAAGTTGGACAGGTTCTAATAGTTTGTCTTCCTCATGTACTGTAGTTTATTAAGTGCAATAAATTATGTTATAGCTATGGTTTTCAGCAAACTATAATTGTGGAGACTTCTCTTTTGTTCAAGGCATGTAGGCCTATAGTGTTGAGAGTGTATGGTTTTTACTTGAAGTGAAAAATTATTACCCTTTTCTATAATGGTTGCTTTTGTAACTGTATTTGATGGGGAGGGGGGGGGGGGGGGAGTCGCACAGGGTATTGCAAGTTTTAACTCGACCCCATTCTATGTACGTCCTGTAAACCTTGAATCCCTTCACCCTTTTCTCTCTTTTTTATTTTTCCATTTTCCTTTTTTTTTTGCCATAAATAGGGGAGGGCACCTTTGTTCCATGTCCCCCCCCCCCCCCCCCGAAACCTTACATGCACGAGGCTTTATCAAAGTAGGGCCTACTCCTAAATTTGGAAAGTAGATCTTGTGAATTCATGAAACAAACGGTGTGAAAGCAGGAAGAGTCCAAGATGGAATTATGACCGGGCTGGGAAGAGGGTTGCACTTGTTATTCATGCCGCTTTGAGGAAAAATAGGGCGATGGAAATAGAGTGGCCATGCAATTCCAAGCAGACAGACAAACAGAGGGGGAGAGAAAAGGAGAGAGTGTGAGAAAGAAATAAACAAATGAAGCGAGAGGATCGAGATAGAGACTGAGGGGAGAGAGAGATGGAGAGAGGGTGAGAAAGAAAGAAATAATTACAGTGAGGGGGAGAGAGAGATTGATTAAGACTGACGAGAGAGAGAGGGAGAGAGAGAGAGAGAGAGAGAGAGAGAGAGGGGGGGGGGGGGGTCTATTTGACGTGACAGCTGTTCCACAAATTCTGTGCATGTTATCAAGCTTTGCCTTTCAGCTCGGTGCGTGCAGAACATCTCGCGATCGCAGGGTCGTGGACATTAGTCTGCTTTTGAAACCATAATGATTGTGGAAGAGGAATTATATCGTCAAATTTACATTGTTGATCATTTTTTAAAGTCTTTATTATTTTATTTTTCATAATTATAATTGAATTATAATGTGTACATGAGTTTAAAGTTATTTAAATTTAGTTTCACGTCAACTTGTTGCTGCAGATTAGAACTAAAGGTTTTTGAATTGAGACTTGTAATAAAATGTACCTGGCGTTTTCTAGGCTTTACTCATGACTTTGCTAGTAAATATTAATTTATTTTCATACAAAATATGACCAAAATATTGTTTTATCTGAAACGTATAATTTTCAGTAATTAATTTTCAGAAAATATGTCAATACTTGCTGCAATTTATTTATTTTTTGCTGGAAAAAAAGAATAACTTCAATCAATACTTAATATATCAATAATTCTTAGCGTTGTCACTAGACTATACAAAAACGCACATGGAAAACTACCGGCTTATTTCTAGCACGTTTCAAAACATGTCAAATTAGTCACTTGCGAATTGCATGCAGAGAACAGAGCATCACTCATCATTTTTACCACTTTTACTCGACGTTTCTACTCAACAAAGATGGCATTCAGCTTAAAAAAGGTTTTAATCAGTGACAGTGTGTCACCACGATGCGCGGAAATCTTGAGGGAAAATGGAATCGAAGTCGACAACAACACAAAACTGAGCAAAGAGGAATTATTGGCCGAAATCCCGGTGAGTTTCTGCCGGATAGCGACCCCGCGGAGACGGCGTGATAGCACTCAGCTGTTTGCGTGATCAGCTGTCTGGTGCATATATTGCATGCCTTGAGATGACATGATGAAAGGACGGACTAACTTTTTAGAGTTAGACATTGACCTTTATCTATTAATCTATATACATGTAGACTTGATTTTCTCAATATTTATTGTTTTCATAAATGATGTCATCAAATAGACTTTCTAATGTCAGTTGTGCCAAATAGACCCTATAATCAGACATTGTCTTAGAGTCAGAGACAAGCAAAAGGGCAAGGGTCAACTCAAGGGCAAGGTTGTTCTGTTCTTTCATTTTTCAGTTTCATTCAAATCATGTCTGACAAAGGCAAATTAATGATCTATTATTATTGAGCTATGTTTTTCATGTAGTAGAAGGTATGTCTGTGTAATTGGATTTATTTTATCCACGTGTATCAATCTTATCACTATCAGATAGATGTCTATGATTATTTACGTATGGCCTGGGGATCGACCTAGTTTAACGTCACCATTCGAAAGACGAGACTCGGTTTCTATTTGTAAGAGCATACAAAAACCATTTAAATGATAAAATCTGCATATTTGTTTGATCAAAATCAGCTCAGAGACGGCTGAATTATAAATAGACTCTAGATCTATAACCATATTTAGATCTAATATTATTAACCGTATCAGACATCTGAGCAGGGCAATTTTTAAGGTTTGATGGATAAGTCAACAAAATTACAATAAGTTAGTCTGCTCAGAAAAGTCAATGGGATTTTGTGTGTAATTTGGCGGGCAATATAGGTTATACAGTAAACCAATGCGCAAATATTTTAGCCCGCTCAGAAGAGTCAATGGGATTTGTGTGTAATTTGGCGGGCAATATAGGTTATATAGTAAACCAATGGACAAATATTTTAGCCCGCTCAGAAAAGTCAATGGCAAAATGCGTGTTAAACTAGTGAGCAATAATATAGTGCCAGTTGTAATTTACATCGCGCATCAGCTATTGTAATTTACATCGCGCATCGTGTATAAGAAAATGCGCACTTTGCGCGAACTCTATTGTGACGTAACAATCACACCCTAGGCAAACTGTTTGCAGTGTATCGAAAATCTGTCAAACACTGGATGAACAGTGCTAGTTTGACAATGTTTTTGCAACTTCTAATGCTAGGAAACCCTGTGTAGCCTACATAATTTAAGAGTATAAGATAGTAAGAGTTTCTTGTTTGCTCTAGATGTCTGATGTGGTTAATAATAGTAATATTGACTGCCTAATTCAGGGCAATACGACTTGTCATATATCACCCTCACCTTCGGTTCGGGCGATATATGTCGTATTGCCCAGAAGGCAGTCAATATTACTTAAATATTTGTTGGAGCCCCACAAATATTTGATAATTTTGAACCAGCCGTTGAAAAAACAAGATACCGCCTTGTTTATATGACCCAATGGCTTTGATTTTTTCTGGAGGGGGTATGTATCAATGACAATGTATTGTTTAATTTATTTTTTTTTCTATTTTTTTTCTCAAACATAATTAAAGTAATTTCTTGAAACATTCCCAGCTAAAAATATTAAACATTTCAAACAACTTTCACCACCATAACCAATATATTAATATAATATGTGTACCTCTATCCACTTGATTATTGATAAAGTATATTTCTTTGTAATGGGCGTAATTGGTCCATTAATTGTTTGGAATCCCATGTGAAGCATTAGCATGTAGATACCTGTCTTATTGAATCTGTCTGAATTTCCTTCAGAAATACGATGGTCTCATCGTCCGCTCGGCCACCAAGGTGACGGCTGATGTCATCAAAGCAGGCACCAACCTGAAGATCATTGGTAGGGCCGGCACCGGGGTCGACAACATCGACATCAAGGCCGCCACGCGTCAAGGAGTGATTGTCATGAAGTAAGATGATAATCTATTGCTGCCCTCCAGTGGCGGATCCAGGGGGCCCAGGCCCCCCCCCCCCCACCCCTGGGAAAAAACACATGTAAAAGCACGTGATTTTTTACACTTTTGGGGGGATGACCCCCTCCTGGCCCCCAAGGGGGGGGGGAATTTTTTAATTTTTGAGGCCCCACTGAGCGACTTTTCGGCCGGCATGATTTTCAAATTATTATTATTATTTCAACAACAAAAAAAAGTTGGGCCCCCTCCCCCAAAAAAAATCCTGGATCCGCGCCTGCTGCCCTCTATTCCTGGGGATTGTTTCACAAAGACGAAGATCAACTTAAGTAGGACTTGAACTATGGCAGGCTGTTCATGCCCCTAGGTCCTCTAACTATTTCTGGCATTGTATTCTCAATAGACTTGCAAATCGTGGTCTACAGAATTTAAATTTTTCATATAGAATTGAAGTAAAAAATACATCTAAAGATCATCATTTTTTTTTTTTTTTTTCTCTCTAACTGATCTGATTCAAGACAATCTAAGGGCATAACTCACATACCCTAGTATTTAATCAAAGTCTTAAATACAACTTAAGTTTACAATGTAAGTAACTTTTTTTCTTCAACAATGAACTATTGAAAATGTGAATTCTGTAGATTTGTGACGTTCTTTGAGAGACCAATGGTGAGAGCAGCTAGTGGCATAAATGGCCTGCCATAGTTCATGTCAAATTAAAGTTGATCTTAGTCTTTTTGAAACAATAATGTTTTGGAGGAATGATTACTATTTTCAACCTTTAAACAGATTAAACTACATATAATTACTAATTTTAAAGGGAAAGTACACCCTGATTTTAAATTGGTTTAATTAGTATTAAGCAGAAAAGGAAGCGAAACAGGTCAGTGAGAGTTTGAGCAAAATCTGATTAAAAGTAAGAAAGTTATGAATTTTTAAAGTCGTGATTAATCCAACACAAATTGGCAACTTTGTGACGTATCTTGTAAGATTTGCTCCCATTTCATAAATGTCTATTTTCCCTAAAGAAAATGCACCCTGAGTATAATTATTGCAAATATGTTTCTATACAACCTGTTTTTGAAACAAATCTATTCCTTCATCAATAACTGTAAGAAAAAATAAAAGTTTACTTCAAATTTTAAATTAAATTGTTTGATTAAAATTGAATAATCGATGCTGACCTTTTTTACTGCCTAAAACGTGTGAATTAAATGTTGCGATTTGATTATTTTTGTGGCATGAAACTCATAAATCTAAAGCATTTGTGGAAAATCGCTGAGATTTCTAAGTTAATAGAATTTAAATTTAGGGAATGGATTATGCATTTTAATTGTTATGTCATTGTATTGTAAGTGACTATTTCAATCAACCTTGTGTTGGTGAACTTCTGTGCGATTAAGATTAGAAAATCACAAAAGAATACAAATTAATTGGCCTTCATTTCTATTTGTTTCAGTACACCTGGTGGTAATACCCTTAGTGCTGCTGAACACACATGCGCCATGGTATGCTGTTTATCAAGGTAAGCTGTACTGTCGATATCGAGGTACTACAGTGTGAGTCCAAAAAAAATTTACACCTAGAAATTGTTAATTATTTTAAAATTCATCTATAAACAGTAAATCATACATCTTATGAAAGATTATTTTATCCAAAATCATTTATGTGTGGTATGTGCTCACACTTAGATGAACTTTGTTTAAGAGATGGCACTATTTATTGTTGATAACAAGTCAAACAAAGACAACCTACAGTAGTACTGATAAGCAGGTGTAATTACAGAGGTTAAAAGTTCATTTTATGACAACTCGCATCATAAATTTGAAGGATACTCATAAATGTGTACAGACCCTCTGTCGTCTTACATAGGGAATCAGGTATACTTTAAAAGCCTAAACACATTATGTAATGGCAAAAGATAATGCTTTAGTGGATTTCGACATCTTAAGAGGAGCAAAAAAGAAGAAAAAAGCTATGCTTTGTAGTCTTTGAAAGTGGGCATAGATTCTATCTCTCATAGAATTTATGAGGCATTTTTAATGCACTTTTGAATAACAGTGTTTTTACATGTAGTGCCAAAAAAGAAATAGAACTTAATTTTCAAGTAAAATCTTATTTCCTCAGAGTGAAATTCGTAAGAAACTTTTGATTTTAGAATGCCTGTGTGAAGTGAAATTATGAATTTCTCTTAACACATTTTGCTTTTTTTTATAAGCTCCCTGATTTCTTTTCTAGCTGCTTTCTAAAATATTTGTCACTTGTTGGAAATGAGAAAAAGTATTTAAAAAATGTAGTTTTATCTATTGTTAGATCACACATAGACAGACATGATGTAGATACAGGGCTAGATAAGAAGATGAGCCTGGGAAGTCTACATACTGTAGCCATTAAGCATATATGTTTTCTGATAATTACGTGTTTTCCATGAAGTAGTTTAATCTTGATTATTCACTTCCATTATCTTCTTTTTACAATCCCTTTTGAACAAAAGCTGTTGAGAAGTCAACAATGAGATGGGATGATTTGTGTTTAATCAGATTAAACATCATTTATGAAGGGGGAAGGGGGGAAGGGGGATAAAAGCAGTGAACTAATTGGGTCCGAAAAAATTAATTCATTGCTCTGAACAATTGAGAAAAAGTTTTGCAAAAAAAATGAATTAAATGTAAAATGAAATGATTTGAGGAAATCTCGCTGCAATTAAAAGAGAGCTTCTGTGGAAGAAAAATAGTTAACAAGTAGTGTTTCTTTAACCCTACGTTAACTGGGGGGGGTCAATTTGACCCCCCCCTGTAAAAAATTTGCGACTACTCCGAAACCGCGGCAGATGTAAAATTCCTCTCATGACTTTTTACTTTCGAGTCTTACGCATCTTTTAAAACGATTTTTTTGAAAATCGGACCTACGGTTACAAGGTCGCGTGACCTTTTGTCTTTGCATGTCAGCCCGAAAATCGCTCATTTTCGTGATTTGTGTACAAAACATATGTAAAAGTCATTTTTCCTAAAAATAGATAAAACATTGGTAATTCAGTCTTGTTTAAAGTTTAGATGTTTGTTTTGAGGTCAAAATAGTTGAATTGTAGTTATAAATGAAATAAAACCACAAAAACAATAAAATACATAAGTTAAAAAAACAATGAAATACATAAGAAATTATAAAAACAAGAGATAACATAAGGAATAACCTGGCTCTTCCAATTTTTTGTGTTGTATTATTATTCCAAATGGTCTAATAAATATATGTAGTGAAAAAGAATACTTAAATATGAATAATCTATGATTTATGGGCCGAAATGTGAATTTTATGACCTTATTTGCATAAATTACCATAAATATGCAAATGAGTGAATTTTTCAAAAATTTGAAATTACCATAGTATTCTATACACTTCACTTGACATACATGCAAATTTTCGCGGCGATCGGCGGTGAAACGGCCGAGATGTTAGGGGGGGGTCAAATTGACCCCCCCCCCAGTAAAAACCTGGTCTGAAATAGCCCAGTTAAAATAGGGTTAAAGAACTAATGTTTTTATGTGTGTTGAAACCGTAGAATTGAGGTATTGCCCTTCATTTTGTATACTGTGAACTTATCCCAGCATTGAAAATACCAATCTGGCTATTTAAAACCTGTCTGCACTAATTTGGTTAGGGGGATTAGACCTCCCTGCAAGGTCACCGACAGGTGGTTATCTCATCAAATCAGCTCTCAATTTACATTAAAAAAAAGGCATCATGGGGGATCAACGGGTCCTGCTTAAGCATTGTTTGATGTATAGAGGGCGCAAGTAGCTATAAGTAGTGCAGTGGGGCTTTAAAGGACTACTGTTTGTATGTGTGATGAAACCGTGGAATTGAGCTATTGCCCTTCATTCTGTATACTGTGAACTTATAAATCCAAGCATTGAAAATACCAATCTGGCCATTTAAAGCCCGTCTGCACTAGTTTGGCCTGGGGATTAGACCTCCCTGCAAGGTCACCGACAGATGGTTATTTCATCAAATCAGCTCAGAAAAAGGGGATCATTGGGGAACAACAGGCACTGATTAGGCATTGTTTGATATATAGAGGGCGCAAGTAGCTATAAGTAGTGCAGTGGGGCTTTAAAGAACTACTGTTTGTACTGTATGTGTGTTGAAACCGCAGAATTGAGCTATTGCCCTTCATTTTGTATGTAAATTTATCCAAGCATTGAAAATCCTGTCTTACAAAGAGTTGATATCAATCGCAACTTATTTGCAATTGATATCAATCGTTACTACATGTATGTACATAATATAAGAGATAGGAGATTGCAAACTTACGATTGATTGGACAACTAGCGATTGATTTGGATCAATCGTAACCCTTTGTAAGACAGGGGCCCTGGCTATTATTATAAAAAATGTTTCTGTCTCTTCTTCCTACAGGAGCTTGCCCCAGGCCCACGCCACCCTCAAGGCCGGCAAGTGGGATAGGAAGGCATTCATGGGATCAGAACTCTACGGCAAGACGCTCGGCATTGTGGGATTAGGAAGGATCGGACGAGAAGTTGCCCAACGTATGCAGTCCTTTGGGATGACAGTAAGTTCTTTCACCGAGTCGGCTACATTCACGATCAATCAATATTTAATTCATTTGAAATTTGAAAAGAAATCTAAAAATTATATTGTAATCAATGATCATTTTGAGTATTTCTCTTTCATATTTTTGTAAGAAGAATATGACATGTAAATGGATTTTTTGATGGTTTTATCAGTTATTATTTGTGGATTTATTTGTGTAATAGTCTATTTGATTAGTGAGTTAGTTAGTTTGTTATTTTATATTTTTTTTTACTCTTTCTCGGTATTACTGGTAGGCCTAAAAAATAAATGATGTTGTATTGCCCTTTAGGTGTCAAAACATGGGTGGGTTGGTCAGAAATCTTTTTTTTCCATCAACTTTTTTTTTCCCCTCCCTCTTTGGGCTGATATTTCTCAGTGTTGAATGCTTTGATATTTTTTTTTTTAAAGTCGATTTCAAGATTTTTGGGTCAGTCGCATACTTTGGCCTTATGGTGGTGTTTTGTTTGTTTGGGATTCTTGAGAAGATTTTTTATGAAGAACACAAACTTGTCATCGAATTAAAAATAACGCACACCTGTATCTCTCTCTTACAGACTATTGGTTTTGACCCCATCGTGCCTGCTGAGGAAGCCAAGCAGTATAACATTGAGTGGCAGACTTTGGAGCAGATGTGGCCGAGGTGTGATTACATAACAGTACACACCCCTCTCATACCACAGACCAAAGGTGAGCATAGTATGCAGGATGTGACACTAACGGGCCTCTGGGACACATGGACACCCAAAAAACTTGGTCTGGACCCCCCAAAGTGTCAGAATTTGTACATACCCTGTACCGACATAAAGGGCTTGATGAATATTTGGCCTGTCTTCATCAGCTCAAGTTTGCCAATTAACCCGCTATTTTAACTATCCCGATCGCAAATTAACCAGTCAATTTGCGTCTTCATCAGCCCGCGATGGCAGTTAGCAGGACATTTGTTCGAGAATAATCTCGAGAATTTTTGGGTCTTTTTCCAAAATATTCTGCTATTTAGGAAATTCTGGCTAATTTGCACCCGTCTGAGCTAGATTAGGATGAGCGTATTGTTCTGGTGAGGACGCAACTTTGAGCTTAGAGATAATATCCAAAGTCTGAAAATAGCGAGTTATTTGGCAAACTCAAGCTGATGAAGACAGGCCGTATAAAGACCAAAAACTCTCAATCCGGACTCCAAACACAAAGGTTAGCCTTGAGTCCTGGTATTTGGGAAAAAGAAAGATATTTATCAACAATTTAATCTTCTCTGACTTTTTGGGAGGGCCTGTATATTGTCCAAGTATACTTGTAATGCCAGGGTAGTAGATGAGGGCAAGGCTAAATTAGGTTTCATATCCCTCAAATAACAAGCCATTTCCTTTGTGTTGTCATTAAACTGACCACTAAACAGCTAACAAAAGAGAAACAAAAGAAAGAATTGAAAGATGACCTGTTACAAAACTTGTATAATATATGTTGGAACTCAATCTTACAATTTTTATTCAGTGTGTGTTCATTTATTTACCAAATTACCTGATGATGAAACAATTCAGAATTTCAATAATCCTGTCCATCTTTGAAATGCATTTTTCATTATACTAATGCAATATTAGCTACAGGTAAAAGTAATCCAAGATGCACCCCAAGCTATTTGTTACACACATGCTATCATTATATAATATTGGATTGTTGTTAGTGTGATACAAGAATATATTCCTCGAGCTATGACAATATTGGACGGGTCACGAGTCAAGGACGAGCCTAATATTGTCTTAGCGAGAGCAATATATTCTTGTATCACACGAAAACAAAGCCATGCAACATTATTATTATGATCTATATTAGTACGACTAGCGAAATGACAACATTTGACTTACCTCAATAAATATGGCTTTTGTTTTATCGATATTGATAGTTGAAGTTCCCGGATGACTGAGTAATACTAACAAAATATTGGGTCTGTCATCCGGGTACTGCGCTAAAGATATTGAATACACTGATATATTGTACCAATTGAAAGCCTTATTTGGATAATAATCATAAATATTCAATATCGTTGGTATACGACAGGTCTTCTTGGTGATGCATCGTTCAAGCTTTGCAAGCCGGGTGTGAAGGTTGTCAACGTAGCTCGTGGTGGGATCATCGACGAGGAAGGCCTTGTCAGGGCTCTTGATGCTGGGCAGTGTGGTGGTGCTGCCCTCGATGTCTTCGTACAGGTAAGTCCGATCTGGGAGATTGCGCTTTCAGTTGTGCCGCACCACCAAAGCTTTGGAATAACCTACCACTAGACATAAGAAAAGCCTCTTATTTTTAACAAGTCCGCTTAATGGGATGCATTTCAAATAAGTATAAGGTAATTTGTGTGAATTGCAGATACTGACCGTTTTATTTATTTTTTGCCATTTTTCTCTGTCAGTGTTTTGTTTTCCTTATTACATAAAGACTTAAAGGCATCGCTCAACAATGTTAAATCTGAAATGCATGGCCCTGCGTGTTATCAGTGTCTGTGATATGGTGTAATATTGAAGCCCTAAAAAAATTGCGCTTTAAAATGATCATAAAGTGCCTCAAAAAATAAAAACCTTTGAGTGACCGGTTTTACCATACTGGTTTTCCCCAATAGACTGTAGGGTAATGAAAACCATTAGGAAAACGCAAAATTTGATTTCGATTTCCACTCATAAATATCTTGATAATCAGACAGGCTTGTAAAAGTCATGGGGTTCCCGACTGACCTAAAGGTTTATGATTATCATTGCAGCACGAGCTTAATCCAGGATTTTGTTGCAGAATCAGCGGCAATGTTACCGAGTCACTTTAATATGAAATGAATTGAACGTAACATATTTGTTTGCATCTCTCACTTGTTTTTTTTACAGGAACCCCCAACGTATACCGCCCTCATCCAGCACCCTAAGGTGATCGTCACCCCTCATCTTGGCGCAAGTACCGTTGAAGCGCAGGAGAGAGTAGCCTGCGAGATCGCTGAGCAGTTCGTGGATGGCGTCAACGGAAAGTCACTGTTTGGTGCTGTAAGTACAGAAAAGGATTTTATTCAAATTGTGTTTTGGGGGCAGTTTAAAAGCAATTGAGTCAAGATGATGTCAAGGGTTCTTAGATAGTATATTAGTACATAAAAGGGTAACTACAGACTCAAATTCACATGCATGCTATGATAGGGCTTATGTCCCATCTTCCCATGAGTATATTAATTCAACCCGTTCTTAAGGCACGAGGTGAAGGAGAGTAGTATACTGTGAGTCTACTGCTGGTGGGTATTGGATGTTTGAGAAGTTGAAATTATTACTCCAATGCTATGTTGAGAGTGAGATATGCCTTGAGATAAAGAACGGTATCTACAGTCTCAAATTCTCTTGGATCCAACTTCCTAGAAGTCGATTTATTCAATCCATTCTTAAGTCACTAGTGGAAAAAGAAACTATTTTTTCCTGAAGAATAAATAAAGCTTGGGCCAAGTTCTTCAAATTCTGGTTGCAACTTATACTTTTCTCAGGATGTCCGTGAACTTGGAGACTCATGGTGGTTTTGAGAAACTGACCCCCAGATTCTTCCTACCTTTTGGTAGAGATCCTCGGTGATAAGCTGCTGGGTTGCTATGAACTGTACATGTAGATAGTTGGGGTATGGGGCTTGCAATGATTACGTTTTTTGTGGAAAAGGGCGAGTCAATAGATCCAGAGGCATGCTGGGAATGAAACTGTAAGAATACAGTGTAAGGAAAGGACGGTAAAATAGTGAGCAGAGGAGTCATCGAGGTGTGTATGTGGTAGCAGGGTGAGGTTGATGATGATGATGATAATGATGATACACAGCATTTGTATGGCGCTATATATCTGTTTAAAAAAACATTCAAAGGTGCTCCTCCAATAAAGTTAGCATTAAATGTCTGAAGGAAAATGTGAGTTTTGAGTGACGCTTTGAAGTGGTCCAGGTTGTCAATTTTGCGAATAGATGATGGGAGGGAAAGCTAAAACCAGATGATTGTTCTTGGCTGCCTTCATTTCAGGGAACAGCCAAATCAACAATGTGATAGATAGAGAGCCTGTCAAAATGTAATCGTTTTGATTTTTTCCATCTCAGATCAATGCCCAAGCTCTGTCCAATGCCCTCACACCCGAGACGAAACCGATGGTGTCCTTGGGTCAAGGGTTAGGTGTCGTGGCCGCTTCACTTGCCAAGGGACAGCTCAGTGCTGCCAGTATCCAAGTCACCACATACGGTAAGAGAGCAATAACCTTACTAAGGCTATGAAACCACTAAAATTTGTTATACTGTGCGTCCCAGAAAAAAAGAAACCAAGAATTATCATTGTTTTATAATAGCTTAATCACAATTGAAATTAATAAATGACATATATTTGTAAAGCTTAGATCCTCTTTCATTTGATGCAACTCATATGATGCATTTTTCAGGCATGAGCAATTAAGACAATTAGAAGAGAGGGTACCAAAAATTCATTTGGCGGCCGGTAAAATCACATTTCTAGAAAGTTCATTTTCTGCCCTTTCATATGACCCCTTAACCAGGAAAAATGAGCCAGGAATAACCAACTTCTGTTCGTTTAAAGTAATGCTTGCATTTCCATCATTGATTAAAACAAATTCGTTTTCTCTGGCTGCCTGCCGTAGCAACAAACAGAGTTGACAAAAGACTTAACTAATGTTTTGATAACTACATTTCTAGGTCCATCGTTGAAGAAGGCTGGATCATATCTGAAGGCTGCTGTCTCTGCTGGGATCCTCAGAGTGCAGACTGGCGGTAACAATGTCAACTTAGTCAATGCACAACCACTCCTAGCTGAGCTGGGCCTAGAGGTTAGTTTACCACTCTTCATCAATCAAACTTCAGTTCCATATATGTATACAATATGATTTTTTTTGTTAGACTTTCAAAATCGACTTGAGGGGAAATTTGGATGCCATAGTGGTATTTCTTATGGAAATCATGTTCATATTATGTGGTACAGTGAACCTGATTTAGTGACCACCTATATATCTCTTGAAAATAGTTTCTCATTGAAACATGTATGAAAGGAACCTGTACATATAGACCACCTGCCTATAAAGACCACTTTTCTTTTTACCCTTGGCTGGTGTTTATACACAGGTTTCACTGTATTTGTAATGTTGCCACATTTCAATAGATGCCACAAGTCTTTTCCAATTATCTTTGAGCGTTAAATCAGGCAAGTCTTTGCAATTGTGTATTTCATCGGTATAAATCGCATGCCTTTCTTGTTCTTTTGGATTGGCTATTAGAAATAAGGGTACACCAATTAGTTGTGATCCAGATATGCAAACTTTGCCAAACTCCATTTTCTCATTTAGAAATTCTAACCCCTTCAAATTGATCTTTGTTTTTCAATGAAATGTACTATTTTTAAAGAGCCTAGTTTAAAGCCCCTCTGCACTACTTATAGCTATTTGCGCCCTCTATATAGCAAACCATGCTTAATCAGTGCCTGCTGGTCCCCATAATCCCCCTTTTCTTATGTTAATTAAGAGCTGATTTGATGAGATAACCACCTGTCAGTGACCTTGTACACAGGTCTAATCCCCCTGGCCAAACTAGTACAGACAGGCTTTAAAAGACACTTCTTGAAACCAAATTTGTATTATTTTTGAATGACAGATTACTGTGAACAATGAGGATGCAGCCCCAGCCAATAGCAAGGCTTCTGTCGCCGTCACCATCACCGTGGGCGGCAACCCCCACAGACTGGGCGGAGCCGTGTTTGGCACCATCCCACAGCTGGTCGAGGTCGACAGCGCGACCTTTGACACAGGTTGCCCTCTATCTGGTAACTGGCTCCTGTACAGGTCACAGAACGCAGCTGCTGCTCTTGCCGCTGTTGCCAGTAAGACTTTGTTCCTTTGATTCCGTTTAATGTTGATGATTTGTAATTTGTCTTTGATATTAGCAAAATAATAAAAAATAATAATAGCTCACATTTAAAATGCGCCTAATACTTTGTTTCTAGGCACAGCACATATTATTACCCCGGTCATCGGATTCAGGCCCACCCGCAACACAATGTATGCACATTTTCCACTCCCTGGGGAGCATTCCAGCCAGTCTAATCCAATAACATTAACTTTCGTAACCTACCGAGTACCTATTTAGCAAAAAGACTTTAAAATCAATAGACATAACAAGCCAGTCACTTTCTGGACTGTTTTGGCAAGATGTATTTCAAAGATGAAATGCATTTCGCATCCATTAATCTTCCTTTGAAACACCAATACCCTTTGTAGCACTTTCTCTGTGTCTCTTCTACTTAACTGATTTTCTCTCTTTCTCTGATTTTAGGTGGACTTGGAGATAAGAACCAACTCCTTGCCTTCTCATCCAGCGCCCAGACCAACGGCGAATCATGGAGCGTTATCAAATTGGCAACACCGCAGCCCGGAGTAGAAGCGCTTGCTGGGGCTGTGTCCAGTGCTGTGACCTGTAGCATCTAAAGGGTCACCCAAGATCACTCTCGTGCCGCTGTATCCGACCTTCCTTATCTAAGTTGCGTCCAAAGAGCGCTATCAAGTTGGCAACACCTCGGTTCCACGGCTCACCTGGTGCTGCATGCAACAGTGAACGCAACACAAAGTGTGGTATTTTATTAGAAATACCCTTGCCCAGAAATATCTGTTTTAAAGGCCGGCTGTACTAGTTCAGCCAGAAGGGATTAGACCACACAGTGAGGTCACTGACAGGTGGCTATCTCATTAACTCAGCTCTCAATCAACATAAGAAAGAGAGGACCATGGGGGACCAACAGGCACCAATTGGGGAAGTTTTCTATATAGAGGGAGCAAGTAGCTACCAGTAGGACAGTGTGGCTTTAAGCTGCATCCAGTAGCATCATCAAACTGGCAATACCTTCTTAAAGCCCCCACTGCATTAGGTATAGCTACTTGCGCCCTCTATAGAGCAAACAATGCCTTATCGTTAACTATTGGCCCCCCCCCCCATGACCCCATTTTTTTCTTATGTTACTTGAGAGCTTTTTTAAGAGATAACCACCTGTCAGTGACCCCGCAGGGAGGTCTAATCCCTCCTGGCCAAACTAGTGCAGTGGGGCTTTAAGTGAAAACTTTAGCTGGTGCTGTAGGCATTGCTGCAACAATTAGTATGCAGATTGTTATTTTTCATTCCCTATTTTCTAGTTTCAGTTAAGATTTGTTCTTTTCCTGTTTGCGCAATGCTATTCCACTACCTTGACCCCGTACCACCTTGAGCATTTCCTTAGTAGGGAATTTTCTTAAGGGACAAAAGGGCTGAATATCGGTAAGCATTTTCTTTTTGAATAGGTAAGAGGGATAGTTATTCTTTTACTGTTGACAGGGTAAGTTATTATTTTCCTGAAAAGACTTTACATGAGTTGTAGATGCTACATCATGCTGCAGAACGGAAGCGTTTTGAAAATGTGTTGCCAATTTGATAAGTTTAATGCTCATTTTCCTTTGATGAATTGTATTTAAGTGTGCATTCCATACCGCATGGGAATGGGACTCAAATTATGCAGTGATGATGGATGAATATATCTTTTTTAAATGGCAGTATTCAGAAATGTAATGAAATCTAATTTCGATTATTTTTATGAACATGTACCAATGAAATAATAAACGTCCGCACTCCTGTTTTTGTTAAAACCCATCGTAAAAAAAATAAACGTTTGTGTACTATTGATTGGACAATGTAAACCTTTCCAATAATATTTTTGTTATGTTTGGTTTGTTTAAATTTTTCTTGAAAGATCATTATCTGATTTATTCCAATAAATCAAACAAATCACTTCATATCATGTTTTTTTTTTTTTAATTTTCTTCATCATATCTGTGATTTAAAGCAGCATTAACTTGAATCCAATACAGGCATCAATGCCCTTTGTTAATTGTAGCAAGGCATTACTGTACATAATTATGCCACTCTCCATCCAGGTGTTAATTGGTGAATGATGTATAGAGTTGATGTGCACTTGCTTTACAAATGATTACTGTTTATCTTTTGTTTTTGTAGAAAAGATTTATTGTGTGAATCCATGCACATTCTTGATGCTTGTAATAAGCGAGTTCGTAAATAGCTCTGGACCGCATGACCCCAAAATATCCACAGATCTTAGACACGATGGATACTTCCCACGTGTGCATTTTAGAATAATCACTGCCAAAGTGATTGAGGTGCTTCATGAATACCTTTTGTTTGCCTCTTGAGAAGAATACTTCCACCTGTGTATCAGATAAATGTACCGTCGGTACATAAATGAATACTAATTACACAACTTTCATGAGCATGATACAAGTACTTGTCTCAATGGTGTTACAATTTTGGTCCAAATGACCTTTATCTGCCCGTGCGCAAATCCTAATTACGAACTCGCTTATTGCAGCTATTTGTATGTAACACATCAACCCATGAGAAATTGTAAATCTGATTGTGATTTCGCACACTTGGGAGTGGAATTATGAAGCCTTTTTTTTAAAGGGGGGGGGGCAGCATAACTATTCCATGATTTAAATTTGCATTTTGTTCTTATTGATTTGCATGACCTGTACCCTTGTTATCATATTAAGAAATGTGGGGGTGTTTCACAAAGACTAAGATCGACTTTAAGTTGGATTTAACTATGGCAGGCCGTTCATGCCACTGTTTGCTATCACCATTTACCGGCATTGGTCTCTCAAGGGACGTACAAATCATGGTCACACAAATCATGGTCACAAATTTACAGAATTTACTTTGTTTGATAATTCATTATTGAAGAAAAAAATATTATCTAAAGATTTTAATGCTGAGAGCTACCAGTGGCATGAATGGCCTGCTAAAGTTAAGTCCAACTTAAAGTCGATCTTAGTCTTTGTGAAACACCCCCCTGGTTTCTTGCAAATGTCAGGTCTAATCATCCAAGAAGATTGGTGATTGAGTAAGTCATAAATCGTGCCATATTTTATGTTTACTTTTTGTGTTTGCTTCGTGCTACTTAAACCAAAGGGAAGAAAATAAATTGGAATGCTGTTGTATCACCAGTTACAGTTTACTGGTAATTAGATATTGCACTCCATCTATGTTTATTTTTGTTAAAGAATAATGACAATGATCATGAATGGAGTTGGGATTGCCTGATGTACTTGGCTTTATAAGGTCTAATAATATATGATGTGATGTTTCCCCATTGACTTTCCATGCTTGAAATGGAGAGGGTATGATTTCCTTTGTATCTCACCGTTGATTCTTCTCGGGTAGTTTGAGCAGTCCTGCTGTACATATGAAATTTTGTCCTATTTTCCAAAATGACACATTCTTTTATAGAATAGGAACATATTCCGAATAATGGATATATGATCCTTCATTTTAGATCATGGCACTTTTTACAGTATTGAGCTATTGATAGAGAAAAAAAAAATGGTTATATGTACACTGGCATGCCAAGCCCTGCTATAGTCTTTGTTACTTTAACTAGTAGAGTAGAGTTAAATTTCTTGTTTCAGCAACATTACATTTCCAATTCAAGGAAATAGATACCAAGTACTATTGTATGTTTGTAAGTGAACATCTGTATGGAGTACATGAAGTACATGTAATATTGGGAAGGACTGTAAAGAATTTCGACTCTAGAGAAGAAATATGCTAATTTAAAAGTGCACATTTGGTTACCTTGGTTACGTCAATGAATAATGATGACCGTACTTTCTTTCAGGAAAACATATCCATCGATTATCCCGACTGGCTTTTGCAGTTATGTACAAATGACCTTTTATTTGCCTGTGAGCAAATAGTACAGTATCTCTGAACTGAGCCTTGTTCATGGGAAGTTTTTCAAATTATCCCTTGGTAGAACATTCCCACATTTTACCCCAAAATTGCAGCTAGGTTTCAATGCCAAGACATGTTCCAGTTTTCTGTATTGAAAAAAAAATGTTACAAAATATTCATATTTAAATATAGTTTGGCTCAAAGCTCATTATATAAAACTCTCTGCGGTTCATGTTTGATTCTTGTTTACTCAACAATGTATTCAATAAATGTGTTTGAAGATTAGATGGATACCATACACCAACACAAACAGGTACATGTAGTTAAATTGCTAGACAAAGCCAGTAAGACAAATCCCAAAACATTGAGAATTTTGTGAAAAAGGGAAATGATCAAATTAAATGATGCCGTATCTAAATGTACAGACAAAGATGTAGGTGGAAGGAGAGAGGTGGATATTAGACAAAGAGACTGAGAAAACAGAGGAAAATCTTGAGATATGTGTGAATGTGAATACAAATGTAAAAGAAAATAAGAGGAAAAGACAATTTACGAGAGAAAGAGACTGGGGGGGGGGGGGGTGTCATCACATTGTGGGTGTGCTTTTCAATCCCAAATTTGATGAAGACGAAGCAAGCAAAAGTACTTGTAACTTTGGTTTTGAGAGATTTTTTTCTCTCTAAAAAAAAATGTGTGCGCATATCCGCACACTTCGTTGTTGCATTTAAAGGTCATTTGTTTGTTGAATTAGGAGGAGAATGAAAACGAGGAGATGGAAAAGGAAGAGAAATGAAAGACATCATAATCTATTTATACTCCGTTTCTTTAATTGGTAGTGGGCATTCTAAAGATATACAGACTAAGATCCCTCTATAATTTGTGTAACGTAATTAGCAAATGGCTCTTGTGATAATTACTAAAACTGAACCAATATGCGGCAACGTAGGCAACAGAACTGGTGGACGCATTGAAGAAGATGATGTAAGGGGTATACAAACTGAACCGTCCACCGGGAATAATACAATAAACAAATACTCGAGCTTTGCATTTTTAGCAGAGATTCTTCACTGGATAACATTATCAAAAAATACTTCATTTTTAGCAAGAGGGATATTTTTTTCTTCTTTTGTGCATGTATAATGTGAGGGTGTGTGTGCGCGTATATGCGTGTGTTTGTGTGCGTATGTTTATGTGGAGGGGGGGGGGGGTGATCATGGGCGGAAATCGCTCTTAAAATGTGAAGCGAACCCATTAGAAAACAAAATATTCTGACATGGAACAACCCCCCCCCCCCAAAAAAACAACAACAACAACAACAACAACAACAACAACAACAACAAAACAAAACACGAATGGAATTTTGTAACGATATATTCAAGTGTAGACCTGCAAAACGTGATGGGGAATCCCGTGGGTTTGGGTGGAGGGCACAGCGGACGTGTCGCACACTTCTGCAGGAGATGACGTAGCTACGAAATGTCCCACACGACATTTTCATTGTCATTTTAGCTCATGACAAAAAAAAATCACTGAAACTGAACTTCATTTCCTTGAAGCTGCAACAGACATGCGATGACGTGATTTTGTTTTTTCTCGCTTGCTCGCTGTTTTTATAGTTTTAAAGAACGACCTAACCCATTGTCGTGACCTTTTTTCCTGTGGGGGGGGGGGCCGAGAGGGTAGAGAGAGAGAGGGGGGCAGGGGAGAGGTTGCTTGTCAGAATATTTTTAAGGTACAGTGGTGGGTCCCCTTCACTTTTTAAATAGTGATTTCTGCCCATGAGCACCCGCCCACCCCCGAAAAAAAGATTGTGGTGACAAACTGCCCCTCATTATGACGTGTGAATTGTGCTTCGCCATGTACCGACTCCTTATCGTTCCCGCTATGTCTTTGTCATGCTACACTATTATAGTATTAATGACTGCTTTGAGAGAAATAGTTGTTTTTATATGCTCAAGGGAAGGTTGTGCTATTGCCCGAGGCGTGCCGAGGGCAATAGCCCAATTGTAACCTTCCAGAGAGCGTATAAAAACAACTATTTCTCGAATATTAAAGCAGTCATTAATACTTTTATATGCCGAAAAAAAAAAGAGTCAACTTATGAAACCATCTTGGCCTTTATCTAGTTTGTCTGCATGGTTGTATCTATTAGTAGACTAAAACATTTTTTTTTTGTTTTTTGTCGAAGATGGGATTCGATTTCTTGCGTACCAACGATGATGTGACCAAAATCACCGCCCTAGACCGCTCGGCCATCGCGCACTAATACCTAATCCAGCAGTTTACTCTTATTTATACATTAAAATGGATTGAAAACGGCTTCGCATGCTGGATGCTTCGCGGCAGCTCCATTAAACGGGCCCTTCTTTTACTTTTGCAATGCATTGGCACGAACTGAGATCAAGATCTATCGGCAGGTGTTGTTTTTGGAAGTTTATTTTCGTCTTCATGTCAACAATGCAAGATAAAATTGTCGGTAAGATCGATCGAGATTCAATTTTATTGAAATTACCGACCAATTCATCGCACACGTACGGTATCCTCGATCGCTCAGACCATTTTTTAACATGTGAACCTATGGGTATTTCACCAAGACTGAACTATTTTCCCAGTAACCATGGTAACTGGGATTTTAGAACTATTTTTTGGAACTATTACATGGGTTTGGAATTTTACCGGGAATTTTACAGGAATAGTTGAAGTTTATGAATGCAATTTCGACCAATCAGATGGCTGGATTTCTTAAGTGAGGTGTATAATTATTATTATAATCGAACTACACTGCATGGCTTCCAGTTACCATCACAGAATTCAATACGGATAGGCCTACTTATTAAAACTTGTCCACCACATTTCCTTGATACATCCCCTTACTCTTTTAGCAACAGAGAACATCATATCGAGGGATCAGTGACTTAAAGACGTAACTCCATATTTTGCCAAAATGAGTATTTGATATCAATATGTTCAATAAAATGTTGGCTGTCCAGGAAACACAATGACTTAACTCCACCCAACACCATATTGAAGTCAATGGCTAGTGAAAATAGACTTAACTTCCAAGGCCCAAGTGCTCAGTGACACATAAACCACTTTTTCTCAAAATGGCCAAAATGGAGTTACGCTTTTGTGTCCCTGACCCCTCGATAATCACTTCGATCAGTTCCTTCCCTCCTCATTCCCAAACCCGAAAACAAGTTAAGCTGGCTATAAATCTTTTCTCACAGATTAGACAAACTAATGTTTGATAAAGTTTGACAAAGGATAGAAAAGCAATGCCTTTTAAAAAGTTGAAATGGTACTTTTGAAATGTTAGAATCGTACTCATTATGATTATGGCGAGTGTCATATCGGCAATTCCATCATTAATATGTGACATCAAACTGTATTCTCCTTTCGTGATGATTAAACATCCCTTAATTGTGATTTCCATTTAAATGATGAAGTATATATGCTTCTCCAAGACGCATCGAAATACATGTGAGTCTTCATTCCTTGAGAGTTTAGAAATAAGGCTTACTGTGAGTAACTTGATGATAGAACATCAAGGGAACGCATGGCATATTGTACCGAACAACCAAATCGAAGTTGACCCCCCCCCCAAAAAAAAAATAAAATAAAAAAAATAAAATAAAATAAAAAAAAATAAAAATAAATAAATAAATAAATAAATAAATAAATATATTTATTTTTTTAAATAAAAAAATTAATAAATAAATCCCCCCAAAAAAGTATGTTTGTATCCATTTTCCCCTCTGAAATTGTCTAATCCCACCCAAGCAAACTTCTCCTGAGCCCGATGAAGGGTAATTAAGTTCCTTCTTTAATATACTGACTAAATCAAACTAATTAATTAGATGTCATATTTCCAGGCCCGTAGCCAGAATTTGATGTTTTGGGGGGCACATACATATAATTGATCGACGTCCTGGGGAGGGGTCTAAAAAAGTTCAACCGATCTTGGAATTTCGTGGGGGGCACGTGCCCCCCCCCCCCCCCCCCCCCCGTGGCTACGTGCCTGCATATTTCAAAGTGACGTATGGCGGGTGCATTTATTATTATTATTGTACCTATTACTTAGAGAGAGCGGGATAAGAGCCTGAGAGAGGAGGGGTGGGAGTAAGAAAGAGATCGAGAGGGGGTTGTTGAGGGAGCAAGCAAAATACTCGTGGGGGATGATAAGCCTGCAAGAATTTGAAATTTTGCTTAATTATTGTAGGAACACAATATAATAAATAGTATACAAGAAAGACTTTTCATTTCACATTACAATAAGTTTGCATTCTAGTGACGCCGTTGGTAAATCATGCCTAATTTTGCAAGGTCGCAATTTTACGTTTAATAGTTTGGAACTTGCATTTTAATCACACAGGCATATGTAAGTCCAAAGTCAAACGATAATTTCACGGAGAGCACCTAAAATGTTCGTATACAAAATACATGTAGCATGAAATCGATATGAGGTCACTTCTAAAGATTTTACCTCACCGTAGACTACCATTGGTTTAACTTCCATACTTGTAATAAAAATGGCGCAGGATATCGGACCCGAAGTGGTAATTTCACCTTCTCGTACTGTGTTTCAGGTGCACAAAGGCGTCACCCTTCCAAACCATGTGCTGCCAGAGGTGATAGAAGATCTTCAGTCCTTCAAGTTTCGACCTGATGACATCATCATAGTCACATCTCCTAAATCGGGTAAGAACAGCTCCATATTCGCCATTTTGTCTGGCGGGTCGGGGATTCATGAACTATAAAAGTCATGGAAATTCATTGCAAATAATGTGTACTCCTCTCCCTATAAGACGATGTCATCAAGTCGATAGCTAGTTTTTGGGTCGACACCGTCTGATTTTCAAAGATTAAGATTAAGAGTTTGCAGAGGGCTGTTACTCCTCTGACAGACACTGAAATAGCATATAATTTAATTTAAGTCAACTATTGCATTTTTCACCTCCTATAGGCACGGGTGGCCAACCCGCGGCCCGCGAGCTCTTCTGGTGCGGCCCGCGGAGCAGTGAAAAAATACTTCATAAATGAAATGCAGCCACATATAGCAGCGATGAAGTAGGGTAAAACATTTACACGCAGCTATCTCTAATATTTCCATAATTTGATTTCATCTTTCACAACGCATTGACTCGTTACTTGGTGATACACTGACCCCTCAAATTCCCTCTCATTACATTATATTAACGACATTAATACCCGCATTAATATCACTCGCCGTGTTAATTTCAGTTTCTAATTTCCGCACGCAACTGTTGTGATACACTGACTCCTCAAATTTCCTCTCATTATATTATATTAATGACATTAATACCCGCATTAATATCACTCGCCGTGTAAATTTCATTTTGTAATTTCCGCACGCAGTAACAACTGTTGTGAATCGAGAAATAATGTTTGAAATGCCATACTTGTTTTCAAACTTACAACTCTTTTCTCCCGCCGTACAATTTTCTCATGAATCTTAATCGTAAACTTTATAGTCAGTCCCCTTCCCTCTACACCGCGTTCAATTAGATGTACAGTGTACAAGTAATACATTTAGGATATTCTTTCTGCTGTGTCCTTGATTTTGATTGAAATAACAACCAACATGGCAACGACCTCGAGACCTGCGAAGAAAAGGAGAGTTTCTGATGAAGGCAGAAACTTTAAATCAGATTGGTCTCTAAAGTATTTCTTCATAGAAGAGAAAGGTGGACCACTTTACCTCATTTTCACCAGAGTATGTAATGGAGGTTAACAACATAATAGAAAAGTGCAAGCCACAGAAATCACACTAAATATAAGCCTGATTTGTTTTTCTCACTGATCTTGTTGTTTGCTTGTTTGTTTTTGCAGAATTTCAGGTGTGTACACGTATTGCATGAGTGTGTGTGTGGGGGAGGGGGTAGACTATGCCAATCGTTAGCTGTTGCCCGCGAGCTTTAAAAGGTTGGCCATCCGTGTCCTATAGGGTCTTTCAGAAACAAGATGAAAAAAAGGAGAGTATACAACCTCCCCAAATGGCCGCACCCAAGCGCGTACGATATAGCGTCGATAGTAATTTTTTTTTAATTCATATATATATATATATATATGTGGAGCCCCACAGAATACCCCCCCCCCTATTTTTTTGTATATCTTTGACTATGTATGTATGACACAAGTATATTTCTAGCCCCCATATAGTCCCTCCTCTTAGTTAGGTACCCCCTCCTGCGAGAGTGGCCTCACCCACAACCAACCTAAACACACCAGCTGGGATACCAGGAGTGGCTTCTCACTTTGTTTTGCCATGCATCCTAGTCAACACCTTTCTTATTTTGTCTTCCTTTAATAGGTAAGAAAGAATCTTATATTATTCAATTGTGTTATATTCTTGTTCTTCATAATATGTGTATTTCTAAACTATTATAACTTCACTATTCACATATCTTGTATTACTGTGTAAAAAGAGATATTGATGATCTTTGCCAATGACTTGTTGGATTATATGACATGTGGACTATGAGAGGAAATATAAGAAATGCCATGTGGGAAGAGATGCCATGTGGGGAGAGATAATGTCATTGATGAACATAGTAATCACTTGTAGAAATGATAGGAAACTATTACTGTGTGTATGTGAGGTTGATGATTATGTTGTTTGACTTAGACAACATTCTAAGTAAGTTTTGAGAAGAGAATATACTTTATTACTGTCAGTATATTTGTCTTTTGCTCGATATTCATGTGTATATATATATTCTTAGCCAAGGACATGTGCCATTTACTATGCATTATGCCAAAGCACATTGTTATATATTCTAGTTCGAGTTAGATACAGTTTGAATAGCGAAATGAGTTGTTCAAGTCCAGATTATCTTTAACTTACAGTATTATGGTATGAGTGAGTGTGGACGCACCATGTGTATAATATTAGTGTGTTATTAGGATATGGCAGTGCGTTCAATGTGAACACAACTTCTTATCAGAGTTCTTAATCCCCTCTCCCCCCAAGCTTGACCATCCACTGCAATGCATTACATGCACACAGTGTATATAGAGTATATGCTATACCCAAATGCTATGTTGAGAAGTGTTAGAGATAGAATGTGTTTGTTTTTGACCCATGCTGGAAAATGGTATTTTAGGCGGGAATGAAAGTTTGGTAGAGTCAGCAAAATGAGAAGACAAAGGATTTGAGTTGGGGAATACACTTGTTGAGAAACACATGGTCAAATTGTCTAATAGTTAGCTAGTGATGGATGGGTTGATGAAATATTGTAGTTGAAGACTTGCATAACCACTGTCTGGAATTCATTGTATTATATTGTTAGGAATGATAATTCAGGTTAAATGTTATTGGGAATTACTCTCTTTCTCTCTCTCTCTCTCTCTATATATATATATATCTCTCTCTCCCCCCCCTCTCTCTCTCTCTCTCTCCCCCCCTCTCTCTCTTTATAGTCTCTCCCTCTCTTTCTCTCTCTCTCTCTCTGTATGGTTCACCCTTTCTCTTTCACTCTCACTTTGCTTTGTATATAACCATGAAATGAATATACATGTATTTAGTCAAACTATTGGTTGTTGTTTAGAATTAGAATATGAACTGTATGTGAAGATGAGATTATACAGTAAGAGGAATTCGTAATATTGGTTGTAAGTTTGTTAGAGCTATTAGTACAGACTGCAGACTAAGACTATTTGCCAGTTCTGTGAATATTGTAAGGAGTTTAGGATATAAGTTGTTGAAGATGTATCTTTTCAAGCTCAGTAGTCTCGCTGAAAAAGATAGTATTAGATCAAAGTGATGCAGATGACTATTGGAAAATACATGAGCTATAGTTAAGGAAGAGTTATAATGTGAAGTCCTGAGACGAGAAGTAACTTGTGAATTTAGGGATTAGTGAAGGCTGAGAGTAGAATTACATTCTAAGGGTCTATGTGCACAGTGGATCCTCAGTCTTGGAGCGTAAAGAGTAGAAAGCTTATTAGGCAATAGTATAGGGATGATTATGCCAACATTCTTGTATTAGGTCTATATATGTGATTTCTTGAAAGAGACGCTAAGTGAAGAGTTATATGATTAGAAGCTAAAGTAGATTGACTGATACCGCAATGTTATAGACATTTGATAAGGGTTAAGTTATTTATTAGTAGCCAAGTTATGATTATGAGATCGATGAAGAGTTGCACTTTTACATAAAGCATGGAAGTAAGGATAGTTTCGTTTAGAGATAGTAAAGTAATGAAACTAACCAGATGATGTTCTTAGTGATATAGTAAGAGAACACTGAGAGCTAATGAATTCAATGTATGCGAACAGGTAGATTTATTTGTGTTTAATACTTGAAGAGTATTGTTATGCCATTTGATCGTATATATGTTATTGTAAGAAAAGATTGTTATTGTAGAAGATTAAGTAATAAAGACTTTGTTTTGCCATGCATCCTAGTCAACACCTTTCTTATTTTGTCTTCCTTTAATAGGTATGCCCCCTCCCTCGGGGTGCGGGCGCTACATATACGTTCAAACTTTGCTCTTAATTACGTAAGAAATATTGAAGCTGGTAATTTGAATATACCTTAGAACCCAAATTCATTGAGGGCAAACTATCTAGTGACGATTGGTCCCCATTTGGGATGGAATTTATAAACTATTTAATGACATGGACAAAGGTCTGATGCGATTGCAATATATCTCAGCTTTATCACAACGCACCTTCTTGTCAGCCGTTATCAACCTATACTTTGCCCTTTATGTTCAGTTCCATTGTTTATTCAGAATAGTTACTGTGTTTACGTGTCTTCAGGATTACTAACAACGAATGTAGTGTGCGATGATTCCTGCGCACGTGTTTGACGATTATCGTTGCTGTGTTTTATAATGATTATACGTAAGTCACACCGCCAAAGTGACTCCAAACCGACCAATGTTTTTTTGGCCGTATCAGGACAATAACCGCCCGGAATAATCTCCCCGGAAAATTACCCCTGAGGACCCCCTGAGGACAGTTACCCACACACCGGAAAATTACCCCCTAGGACATTTACCCCCCCCCCCCCCCCTCCGTGAACAATTACCCCCGAGGACCATTACCCCCCCCCCCCCCCCCCCCACCACGCCACCCCGAAAGTCCCCCTCCCCTGTTCATTAAATGGAAAGGCTAACCTGCTAATAAGTTGGTTTTAATAAAAGCACAGTTTTTCGGGGGGATTGTGCTCGCAGGGAAGGGGTGGGTGATTGTCCAAGGAGGGCATTTGTAGGGGGGGGGGGGGGTATTTGTCCTCGGTGGGTGATTTTCTGAGAGGTACTTTTCCAGGTGGTAATTGTCCTTGGGGGGGGGGGGGGGTAATTGTCCCGCTGCTAATTTGCCGGGAAGGGGTGGGGTGATTGCCCAGGGGGTAATTGTCCCAGAACCGTTTTTGGCTGTTGAGGCTAATGTAAGTTTTTGTTCGGTCTGTAGTCTGGCTGGTATCGGTCTCATTCGTGTGACTGAGGTGTTAATCCTTAGTTGTTTGGTTATCTTCTTTATAACTATCCCACGTAATGTACTTACTCTTTATTAGGTAATAATCATTTATAAAACAAATCGTACTCCTTAACTGAAGTCTTCATTTCGGATTGTCAGAGCTTGCAAGAATTCATGGAAGTTTGGATAATATTAACTCGATGAATAAAAAACATACTCTTGACAGTTTCCGTGTACATTGAAACATACTTCGCATACTTTGGACCCTTAAAATCGCATGTGGGGGGGGCGTCTTTTCTTCTTTTTCTTTTTGTCCAGGGGGGTGCAAGGCCCCCTCGGCCCCCTGGATCTGCGCCTGCCTGCGAATATGAATCACTCGTGAAAATTCATGGTCTTTTTTCATCATTTTTAAAGAATAGAACGGCTCTGCTGCATACCTGAATCCCCCCGCCCAATCCATTCCTCCTCGACCACGATCATCATGACAATTTGCATTATTGATATTTTTCTTTATTGCGATATAGGCCTAAAAGTTGTTAAAGTGACAATGTCAATAACCATGATGTATTGTTTTCACATTTAACTGTAGATAGCTTTTTGAAATATATTATACACTGAGTAAATTATGTAACAATAATGACATGAAATCTTTTGAATGTTGATATGAAGACTTTAATTAAATGAGCTACATCCATGTTTGTAATTTCAGAGAAAAAAGACATTCTTAACCAGATTGTGTACAGGCGTTTAGGGAAAAGTAATATTAGAAGGTGAATTTTTTCATAATTGCTTCCAAAATAAAGGTAAACCATTTTGCTGAAAGACGAGTACTTAAGTGAACAATGTTCAGATATCAATGACTCAATTTTCATCAAAAGTGGATTTAGCTCCGTTTTAAATTGAGATCTTCATATTTCGTCTCCTACTATCACACAGGTACCCACTGGGTCAGTGAGACTACAGGACTTATCATGGCGTACGGGGTTTGGGAGAACGTTAAACGAGACACCCTGAAAAACCATCTCGAGTTTGCTCTAATCAACAAAGATGTGTTTGATGAAAGTATTCCTTTCGTTTGGTTCTATAAACAGTTGGACAAGATGCCTTCACCAAGAATCATGTTCACCCATCTTCCTCTTGAGTTCCTACCACCTGGTGTATTCGATGTCAAGGCCAAGGTCAGGTTCCAGGGCCATTGTTTGAATTTCTTTAAAAATTGTTATAACCTATTCAAATCATTGTGTTTGTTTGGCTGAGAGCGAATTTGCTAAAGATTGTGACTATTGATACTAGGGACTTTTAGATTGAGTGGACGAGATCGGCGTGAACGTCCACTGATCATGCCTGTCTATGGCCAGCCGGTTTAACATTTATTCCTGATATCAAGAATTGAATTCTTGATATCAAGAAATAGGAATAAATGTTAAACGGCTTGCCATAACCACGCATGATCAGTAGATGTTCACACCGCTCTCGTCCACTCAATCTAAAAGTCCCCATTGATAACTGGTTTTATGAAACAGGACCAAGCTTCGTTTATTTTGACCAACTTGAGTTTAAAAAAAAACTATTCAAAGTGGTCATTCTATCGCGTGACTCTGGTCCGCCTTAGCATCGCCTTTGGTCAATGAATGAACTCGAACGTGGTATACATAATTCTTAAAAGAAATCATCAAATCCCTGTCAAACAAACCAATTTAACATAAGTTTTTAGAAAGTGATCACAGTAAATGCTATAAACAGCAAATGGTGGGCGTGTGTGCGTGCGTATGTGTGGGTGCGTACGCGCGAGTGTGCGCGTGTGAGTGGTAGATTACATGCAGACTATACTATTTAAAAAATGCAACATTTTACATGACATTTTAGTACATAAAGAATACCTTTTCAGAAGGTTGTATAGGTTGTAGTGGTAGCGGTAATGGTAATGGTAGTGGTAGTGGTATAGTGGTAGTGTTAATAGCAGTAGTTGTATGGTGGTAGTAGTCTATTGTAGTAATGATACCAGTTTTAATAGTTGGTTGGTTGTAATAGTAGTAGTAGAAATAATAGTGGTGTCGGTGGTGGTGGTGTTAGTATAAGACAGTTTAAGTAGTTTACATAGTGTTAAAAGTAGTAGTAGTAGTAGGAGTAGTAGTATAATTGCAAATGGGAGTATGCTTAAGCAAATGACTGTCATAATTAACAATGAATCTTCTATGTGTGTCTCGTCCAACCAGATCATTTATTGCGCTAGGAATCCGAAGGATACTGTGACTTCTATGTTTAGATTTGTGGGACATGTCACAGAGCTACAATGCAAAAGCTTTCCAGAATTTTATGGTGAATTCTTCACTGATCAATGTAAGTGACCTGAAATAATTGTTGATCTTAATTTTTCTGTTGCTCACGAATTTTGATTTAAGAAATCCCAACCTTTTTTAGTTGGGGGATTATTTATCAAGTATTTCAGGTCAAGGTGTACCCGCATGAACTAACTAAAGAAACAAAAATGTGTATATATATATATATAAAGGACAATTTTGGAAGGGGAATCTTTGAAAGGGTGGGGGCTGTAATTCTTCATCTTATACATTCCCTTAAAATAAATGCAATGAAAAAAAAATTAACGAAGAATTCCGACTGCATTTTTGTTGTATTTTTGGCGGTCATATTCCTCGTTTATTCTAAAGAGTTTGACGTTTTGGCATGGGTAAATTGAGGATACTTCGCCCAAGGAGGCCCAATCGACATCAAAATATTGAATGTAGGCTTTATTTTATACACAAGATCTTTGTAATTATTTGTTGTTTCATTGCCAGAAGAATCGAATAACTAATTTTTCGTGTCACATTACATTTCATGTTTTACAAATCCATTTATAATTTATTCCCAAACTGGAGGGCTGTTCGGGGCATGGGACCGGCACGTTCTCTCTTACTGGAACCTGAAGAATGAAGACAATTTTCTCTTCTTAAAATACGAAGACATGAAGAAGGTAAGAAATGACAAATGCACAAGGTAGATCCAATGTTTTGTAAGTGTGTGGGTACAATCCTGGAAAAAACAGATTATTTATAAATTAAAGAACACATGGGTTTCAACAAGGGGAGAGGGCGTGGGAACCATGGCCCCGCTAAACCTGTCATGGGTTGATATGCAGGTATCAAAACGTAATGTATCGAAGAAATAATGACGGGTACCGGTATTCAAAGATTTTTAAAACTCTTTAAAAACTTGTTAAAGTTTAAAACCACAAGCCAAATATGGGATTTAAGCATGGTGAAATCCGTCTAAGACCCTAACTGACCGAATATTAATTTTACAGAAGCGTGCATTAAGAATAATTCATAATGTCTACTTTCGTTCCCACACTAACCACTTATTTTTACAAGACAAAATTCTTAAAATTAAAGACTCGTATTCTTGGTACCTCGGTATCTTTATGTTTCAGCCGATTAATAACGAGTTACCTCTCCCGATTTCCTCCATTTTTCAAAAAAATAACGAGATACATTCATACCCCACAAGACAGTCGAACCACTTCGTCACTCCTCGAATGAGAACAGCTTTCGCACAAAAGACAATTATTTACACCGGTCCAGTATATTGGAATAACATAGATCCATCTCTTAAACAAAGTATTAGTCTATGCATTTTTTTTTTAAAGTTAAAGACTAAACTTTTAGACACATATAGATGTACATGATAGAATCTCGGTTTGTTTGACTCTCGACTCAATCTCTTTCTCAATCTCCCTTTTCTAGAGCTTTTGTTTTTGTCTTCTACTATTTTCCTCCATTCATTTTTTTCTTTCTTTTCTTTTCTTTTTCTTCCTCATTTTTTCTTCTTTTTTTCCTTCTTCCTAGCTACATATTGTCTATTTATTGATCTATAAGCATACTTTGTTCATGTTTTATTGTAAAAATTGCATCTGAGGAACTAACACTTCAACAAGCTCTGCTTCAAGTAAGTTCCTCTTTTCTCGTGCTATTTCCACTATATTCATCGTTTCATTACATATTTGTTGTGATTATTTTTGTATTATGTTTTGCATGAGAAATAAAAATCAATCAATCATTAAAATAAGCAGCCATTTTAACCACAAGCTGAAACCACAATCGTCAGTCACTCGTTTGCCTGTGGCATCAAATCCAGACAAATACTTGTTGATCTGTCTCATATTGACCTATCCTACTGCTCTCCAAATCATGCAGACTCCTGGCAAGATCGTCACTCAAATTTCCGAGTTCATCGACCACCCAGTCTCAGACGACGTCCGAGACGTGATCGTCGAGAAGACTTCCATCGACAAAATCAAGAAAGAAATGAAGAGACTGGAAAAAGCGCAAGAAGAGGGTTATCTTTTCAGCAAGGCATTCGGCAGATTCAGCTACTACCAGAAAGGTCTGTACCCCCCGTGAATTATTTTTGATCCGTTATTCTGGATTTGTATATGAAACATGACGCTATCAGTATCAGTCAGAGCCGACATGTAGACAATGTCTATCAAAGAATTATAGAATGAAGGAAATTACTTTTTGATCCATTGAACTTACAAGCACTGTGCATTATCATGAAATAATCCCTAGCGCTAAGTGAACTGCAGGGCCCTCAGAGACAACAGAATTATTACTCGCGAGGGTATTAAACCTGGATGAAAAATACCAACTCATTACCATTTTCACATCATAAAGTAAATTCTCATTACGGATCAAGATAATAGGTTAATGATGATGAGTATTTGTAAAGAGCTTTATCCATTTCGCAAAATGCTCAGGGCGATCATGCTATGTTTTTGTTTTTGTCTAGGTGTAATCGGAGACTGGAAGAACTATTTCACTGTTGCACAGAGTGATGAATTTGACAAGGAAATACACAAGAGACTGGGCGAATCTGGACTTGAATTTGATTATGAATAATTCCAATTTCCTTGAGCAGTGATTTTCCTGTTTTCTATACTCTGTGTCTTTGATTAGAAAATAGATGACAAATAGTTCTATTGATCAATTACTCTTCGATCAATCAATTAGTAATCGGATGTAATCGGTGTCGATGCACCATTCGTTGTATGTTCTAAATCATTGACAACAACTGGTAAAAATGAAGAAAAGGACATCATACCCCCTTTTTATAGGAAAACATTTAAGGCTCCATTTTTTCATTCAGCTACACGATTGTGTATTTATCTTACTCGGACATTGAATCCTAAAGCGAATGAAGAAAAGCTTATGAAAGAAAGGACAACTTGGAATTTCATTTCATTTTTTTTTTTTTTTTTTTTTTTTTTTTTTTTTGCATACGATAGATGAAGCAGAAATAAGCCCATTGTCAGCTACATCATTTTGTTATGAGTAATATCTCTACATATAGCGTGTTGTTATAATTGACGATTACTATAAAATAATATGAAATTACATGGTGCATTAGATTGAAACTAATTTTCTATATATGCATCATTTGCATCATTCCATTTTGTTCCTTTGTTGCATAAATAGTTCCATTTTAAATTAGGTTTTCGCAAACAAAATCAAAGCGCAGTTTATTTTTTTCTTTTAGAATAATGAGGTTCATGCTGAAAATGTCATTTTGAATACAGGCTGAAGGTTTAAATAGTTATATTTTAATGCAATACGAGGCAGTTCTGAAGATCTTGACTTGACATTAAACGTTCGTTTGACGTGGCTTATTGATCAGTTCAAGTTTACCCAGCACAAAACGCGCAATCGATTACGTGTAAGCTTTCGATCAATACTGGACACCTGAGGCAGAAGGTCACGTGACTCAAGCGTAAATAGGGCCTGATAGATCTAATAAGAAATAAAGAGGTAGCTAGGTTAAGGGCAATTACATAAATGGAGGCAGTTGTGCTGGCTCTGACTAGTTAATTACAAACGAAAAATAGAAAATAAACCAAACAAAAGAAAACAACACAAAACAAAAAGAGCAATATCTGAAGAGTTGCTCTTTCCGTTGAACCGTGTGAAAAATGATAATGATTGAAACAAGAAATGAACAACAAAATCTTCAACATTGATAGATTTGAATACAGAAGAAAATCTTTAATGATTTTCATAACCTTATTATACATCAACTATATAGGAAACAAGAACCTATGAATAATATGAAATTAGATTTTCCGTCTTTCAGCGGTCAATGTAGCTTTTTCTTTATATGTTCTTTGAACAAGGCAGTGAATCCATCAATACATCTATTAATGTAATAATAATCGTAATCATAACATTTTATTTATTAAGCGCCCTTTTATAAGATACAAAGTGCATAAAAACCTGACTATCATCAGGTTTATTCAAGAATAATCTAATGCTAACCTTGTCGCAAGTAGAGAAAAAATGTTTGAATCCATTTTATGATCAAATTATCACCCAGTATTTCATGTTGTTAATTTGGTACTGATAGACAATTTGAGGATATCGTTCCCATGTTGTGCATGTACACAAAATTATTGTCACTGTTCTATACAAGTTCTGATTCTTATTGTGTCTGAGAAAACTTGGCATAATGACATTTAAAAACATCAATAACTGCTTTAGTAAGAGACATATTGACATACATGTAGCTGGATCGTGTTACCTCCAACAATATGACTATTCGCTAATTTCAGGCCTCTAGATTTCCCTTATGGATTTGTAAACAGTGATGAATTCGGCGTGGGAGGGATAAACGGTTTTTAGAAAGTGTTCGTGTCAAAAGCGCTAGTTTGTCAGACCGTTTCTTGGGTGTTTAAATCCCCTTCGTTCAGGCTAACATTCATGTTCGGAAGACTGGGCTTGGTGGAGCAAATCATTAAACGTGATTGCATCCGCTGTTATGGTGCGTGTGATACAAATAATGCAGGTCTTCGGTGTAATTGAGCCGAATGAAATATTTAAAGCTTGTGGTCTTAAACTATAATGAGGTCTGTAATGTGTGTTTGATTTGTCTTTAAGGCGGACAGTCAGGTATCAGACGAGAAGTAATATGCATGTAGAAGAGACAAGTAAATGATGTGAGATCACGGAAATATGGATAAAGACAGAGACATTGTAAGGGAAGGGAGATAGTTAAATAGATAGAATACTAGACAAAACCCTAAGGGCGAAAATTCGTAAAATATAAGGATAATTGTAATGATTGGGTCCTAATAAATGACACAGTCACACTTCAGATATCAGTTCAGTAGCTGCTACCCTGGCACGTTTTATTTGTGTCTGTCATCGTTACAACGTCACTGTCTCTCTATGTTGTTGTACTGTATGCGTGTATGTGTATGTGACTATGGTAAGCCAAATGGCGATACTACATTCCTCCCTTCCTTGGATGGAATCTACCACAGAAATCTTGTTAAGCATCAAAAGCAATATGAGCACGAGTAATATACTTTCCAAGATATAGAATGAACCTTTCATATCATACATATATCCATAAAACTTGTGTATTTCCACTTTTTAGTCTTATATTTTGGAAACCAGTACTTTCTTTACTTCTTTCAGACAAAAACTGAACTTTGAAATCTAACACAACTTTTCAACTGAACAAATGCCAACAAATACATTAGAGTTATATTTTTAACCCCATTAAACAAAGCAATTAATAAGTTTGGGTGAACGAGTTTATACCAAATAACATTTTACCTTCTTTTCTCAATTCACAAGGAGTGAGAAATCATTAAACCATTAAATACTCTTCAAAACAAAGAACAGTGATAAAACATAGCCCTGGCTTTACTGAAGGCTATTTATACCTCAAATTTGAGTTTTACTACATCCAACAACAAAAAACAACTTTCCTTTCGCATCAACGTTTTGTTGTTTTTGAATCACATTTACTACAACAAATGATAGACTGTTATTAAAATTATTAAAAAGTTTGATCATTTTGTTTCTCTCTTATAACCTCTTGTAGCTGTAAAAGAGTATCTACATAAAAGGCAATATATGTCTTTAAACAAAATTATTGAGTGAAAACTATTCAAAATGAACTTGGGTTATTCAGTATTGTAGATACTACTTTCATTCCTTTTCCTTTAAAAAAAAATTGTATATCTCAAACTTCCTGCTATGTACGACATTCAGACAAGAGAATGATTAAATGTCTAGCGTGATACAGGCTTGATGACAGTATATGTATGGCAGCTCACACAAATATAAATAGAACATTATATAACTGCCGGAGAGATACAGGACAAAGCAGATAAAAGAGTGGTAAATAAAGATGCATGTAAAAAGGAAACACATTACATGTCCTGTTATGAAAAGAAAATGATTCATGTATACGAAAATAAATGGTCTAAACCTGTTAGGGCACATATAAACTGACAATTACATGTACACATGGCACAGAAAATAATGTACTTTACTTTCTAGTCAGCATGGAGCAGTATTCCATAACAATGCACATGACATTGGAAAAAAAAACTGAATGCCTGTTTACTTTCCAGCTGGGTGAGAAATAAATGGTTATTTTGCAAGAGTACATAAGTAATACAGTGGAGTTACATGGATATTTCAGTTCCAATGATTTCCAACAGAAATTCAAGTGCGATATAAAACTAACATGTTCTGTTGAGTTTATATGATGTGAATAAAGAAAACTAACAAGTTAACTGCATTTTTTGTTATGCAATTTGGAAGTACGTGCACATGGATATGTTTGCGTGCAGAGAGTCAAGAAACAAAATCGCGTAAACGGATTGGGGGGTGGCGATTACGCTGGGGGTTTCGACGCGGTTGAGCCAAACGTGGTGGTTGTGGTACATCACGGGCATCGAGTGCGATGTCAAAATCGATTTCATCATCATCAGGAGCAGAGCGAGGAAGAGGTCCACAATATCGCTTGAAACGTGACGAATTACGCGTGATGTAATGGTTACCACAACGGGCAGTGATGCGGGTTCCTCTCTTTCTGATCACTGTGTATGGCTGAGGAAGATACGGGGACTGATGTTTGGGAACCAGACCATCGCGTCGAACAAGCACGGTGTCACCGTCTTTGATTTCCGTGCTACGAGTTGTGCCGCGGCTGTCAGCATAGGTTTTCATACGCTCTTTCTTGGCATGATCACGAGAGCGAAGGGAACCATCGAGAGGCTGATGATCTGAAGAAGCATGCTCTGGAAGGCGTGTGCGAACTGCTCTTCCAAAAAGTAGTGTCGCTGGCGGAACACCAGTTGTGGAATGAGGGGTAGCTCGGTAATTGCGTAAGAACTTATAGAGCTCCTGCTTCCATGATCTGTTTTCTGCGATTGCGGAACGATACGCTTTCTTCAGTGTTTTCATGAACCGTTCGACTTCGCCGTTTGCTTGTGGCCAACGAGGTGTCACGCGTCTGTGTTGGAATCCCAAATATCGTGCAAAATCCGCAAACTCTCGACCGTTAAACGGCGGACCATTGTCGGAGCGAACAACGTCGGGAACCCCAAAACTGGAAAAGATTCTATCAAGCTTTGGAATTACTTGTCTAGCGGAAGTAGAGGAAACAATTTCCACTTCTGGGAACCGCGAATAGTCATCAATGACCACTAGGAGATGCTCTCCTGTAGGAAGATCGGCAAAATCTACGCTTATCTCTGACCACGGTTTCTTGGGCAAAGGTGACATAAGCAATGGCTCTTTCGAGTGTTCGATTGTGTTTGTTTGGCAGGTTAGACAATCACGGACTGTCTTCTCGGTCATTCGGTCTATGGACGGAAACCAAACTTTCTCACGAAGAAGACTCTTTGTTTTCGTGATCCCTTGGTGTCCTTCGTGAGCTATGTCAATTATTTGCTGGCGAAGGGATTGAGGGATGACGATGCGATTACCACGGAGAAGAAAATCCCTCTCATTTGACACAGTGAGCTCATCACGAACATTGAACAGGCTTTGGAGTTCTGATTTGGTGTCGGTGGCATGTGCGAGAACATCTTTCCAGTTGTCATTTACCAACGCGTCAATGGCAACCTGGAGGACAGGATCCTGTTTTGTAGCAGCTGTGATGTCAGACAAGGTCGTTGTCTTAGGAACGGCGTGACCTGCTACAAAACTGACATGAGCTTCAGCTAGGCACTCATTATCCGAAGAGGACATCTCCGTAGATAGCGGATGACGCGACATATAGTCAGCAGGGTTATGCTTGCCTGGACGGTACTGAACGTTGAAATCATATGGCTGGAGCTTCAAAATCCATCGCTCTAATCGAAGTGGTGGCTTGGCAGTGGGGCTATTGAAGAGCGTGACCAGTGGCTTGTGATCTGTAGTCACGACGAAAGAACCACCATAGAGGTACACATGGAAATGGATAATGGCCCATGTGATAGCAAGGGCTTCGCGTTCAGTTTGGGAGTAACGTTGTTCAACCTCTGTAAGAGCCCTGCTAGCAAGAGCGACAGGAACAGTGTTGTCATGATCGTCATGTTGAACTAAGAGCGCACCAAGGCCGTGGGGGCTTGCATCAACAATGAGTTCAGTCTTGCTTGCTGGATTGAAGTATGCCATAGTACAGGACTGTGAAACACGCTGTTTGATCTGAGCGAAGGCGTCTGCTTGTGAGGTGCCCCATTCCCACTCAGAGTCGGCCTTTGTTAGGTGGCGAAGAGGCGCAGAAACGGAGGCGAGGCCTGGGATGAATCGGGCACAATAGTTTACCATACCCAAGAAGCTGCGTACTTCAGAGACGTTCTGAGGTTCAGGCATAGACTGGATGGCTTCGACCTTCTTGGGATCAGGACTGATACCTTTGGCTGAAAAGACATGGCCAAAGTATTCCACATGGTCAGTGTTGAAAACACACTTGCTCTGATTGAGTGTTAAGTTCACTTCACGGAGGCGCTTGAGGACTGCTTCCAAACGAGCATTGTGTTGAGCCTTGTTGGTGCCAAACACAAGAATATCATCGCTGATATTTAGGACACCAGGTAGGTCGTGAAGCGTTGCTTGGATTGCATGCTGGAAAATCTCTGACGCTGAGGAGACTCCAAAATTAAGACGTTTATATCTATAAAGGCCTGCATGAGTTGAGAAGACGGTGTATTGGCGAGAGTCCTCATCTAGTTCTAGCTGATGGTAGCCTGAATTGAGATCCATCTTACTGAAGGTTGTGGCACCATTCAGAGCGGAGATGAGGTCATCCACTGTTGGCATTACGTGGCGCTCACGGATGACAGCCTTATTGACATTGCGCATGTCGACGCAAATGCGTATGTCTTCACGATTTCGCTTTTGAACAACAGTAATCGGAGAGACCCAAGGTGTAGGTGTGTGGGAAACTGGTTCTATGACATCAAGTTTCTGCAGTTTGTCAAGTTCGCTCTCCACCTGTTTTCGAAGGTGAAACGGGATCCGTCGGTGCGGAACAGCAACAGGCTGCACCGACTTGTCGACATGAAGGTGACACTTGTAGTTAGCTAGCTTACCAATCCCACTGAAACGGTCTGCATATGTCTGCTCTGGTTGCAAGTTATACGTGAGAGCAATGAGGTCTAGGTCTGTGGCCGTGGTGATGTCTAAAAGCGTGTCTCCATTGTGAGAGGTAACAAAGACTTTAGCTTTCGTCGATTTTGACTTGTATCTGACAGTTGCATGGAAGGTCCCAATCACATCAAGAGGAGTAGAGCTACCATAAGCATACACTGGGATGGAAGGTGTGACGAGATGAGGCTTGGACCTAAGACGACTGAATGTTTCATTGCTCATCATCATCACCGAAGAACCAGTGTCAATCAGTGCTGAAAGGGGCTCATTATCATCAACACTAACCATCACCATTGGTTTATTGCCCTTTTTCGAGTTGATGTTAAATTGAAAGGCATAAGCGTCGCCATCAGGGTCATGAGTGGTGTCGTCTACCGTAGACTGTGCCGAAGTATGTGTAGAAGCTTGGATCGTCTTTTGCGGGGTAGGTTTAGATCGGCAATATTTGGCGAAATGGTTCATTTTCCCGCACGAATGGCACTGTTTACCTTTTGCCGGGCATGGTTTGTCCTGCTTGTGAGGAAATGCCCCACCACAGTTGCGACACTTAGTGGAGGATCTAGATGGATAATTGCGAGATCGTTGAAAACGGTTTGTATTTGTAGCTGGAGCAGGTGCTGGTTGATATTTCACAGCTTGGACTGCATCTTGAGAATTAGCTTCTATAGCAGTGGCATGTCGATCTGCTTGTTCGAAAGTTTTCGCCGACATGAGGAGTTTCTGCAAGGTTACCTCCTCCCGCAGGGCGTATCTGCGGAGTTTACTTGACGTACACCCCATGATGATTTGGGACTTGACTTCACTACTGGTGTTTGCAAACTTACAAGTTGCAGAGAGTTGTTGAAGTCTGAGATGGTATTGTTCAACGGTTTCATCTGTTGATTGTTTACATTGGCGAAAAACAAAGCGTTCATACTCGACGTTAAGAGCTGGAGAGAAATGCTTGTCAAGTGCATCTTTAGCACCTTTAAAATCTGTACCTGTCCCTGGGAGTGTATCAAAGATATCCGAAACCTCTGGACCAGCATAGTGTAACAACAATGCTCTCTTCTGAGCATCATCTGTGATCTGGAAGGCAGTGAAGAAATTCTCCATCCGCTTCATGTACTTTTCCCACCTGACACCAACATTGGTGGGATCCTCATGAACTGGAAAGCGTTCGAATTGAGGCAGATTCATGGCTAATGATACTAGGCACAAGTTCACAGAACAGCGGTAATCATGTATAATGCATATAGGCTGATACTGCACACTCACGTTCACTGCACGACATCATGTAGGAGCACTGCGTGCAGACGATACACTCGTTGCATGCGAAAAGTCTGTCAATGTAGCTAAAACTGTTAACAATAACATCCAGTCCAACTCCAAACTAGCAGTGGGTTTGAATCTAGAGGGTCTGTGAACACTACCCTCGCCATCTCGTCGCCATTGTAATGATTGGGTCCTAATAAATGACACAGTCACACTTCAGATATCAGTTCAGTAGCTGCTACCCTGGCACGTTTTATTTGTGTCTGTCATCGTTACAACGTCACTGTCTCTCTATGTTGTTGTACTGTATGCGTGTATGTGTATGTGACTATGGTAAGCCAAATGGCGATACTACAATAATTATAATGTATTGTGTTTTTGGATATTTGTATATTATTTTGTATATATTTTGCAGAACTAAGATCTTTCTTCCTAATTAGATAGAGAGAGGGAAAGAGAGAGAATGAGGGAGAGAGAGTGAGAGAGAGAGTGAGAGAGAAAGAGAGAGAGAAAGTGTGGGATAGTGAGTGTGGGTTCTGAAAGAGTGGGAATGAGAAGGGAAGAAAGACGATTGAGAGAGAGAAAGAGAGACAGACAGGGAGAGAAAGAGATATACAGGTATGGTGAGAGAGGGTGGTTTTAATAAGCAAAAATGAAGGTACGATGGCATTTAATTTCGGTGTGAATCAATGGTCTACGTTGATGTTTCGATTTTTTAGCTTTAAAAAAAAATATATATAGACGAAAGTTAAAAAAAAAGGCTTAGGCCTTTCATAATCGTTCATTGTCGGCGAAACTGCCCCCTCCTCCCCCCCCCCCCCACAAAAAAAAAAAAAAAACAGAGGCAAACATCATAATTACCAGAGCTACTTTGGTAAAGGAAAAACAAATCATACTGGAGAGTAAATATCGTTTATAAACGTCAACACGCCAAATCGGGCTCAGCTGCATACACGCTCCTTCCTACTTAGGTAGATTGTTTGTTGGCATGGTAACTATTATCGAAATCAATCTCTTGGTCGTCTGCGTGACTGGCGTGGAGTTGATTGAAAGTGTGAATAATCAAGTTTCATGTGAGGAATCCTGGCGAGTGATTACATTGTAATGATCAAGTTACCAGCCTAATCAATCTAACGTGATACACAATCTGAGAACAGATGAATTCACCTGTAACTGTCTGTTGTTTGTTTAATAGTTTATGTTCCGTGAATGGCTTTAAAATTATTCTTCACTCTCCATCATTTTGGTACATAATCGTAATAAAGAATACATGTATATAAGTAATTGATATCGAATCATGGATGTTCAATATATATTATTTTTGTAGTTGTTGTTGATCATTTGATAGTATATTGTACCATAACTGTTTATGATTCCTCGATTCCCGTAATGTGTAGCCTAATCGTAATAAAGAAACATATATATCGCAAAAACCGATCATAATAATCGGTGTCGAATACATCTTAAATTATTTCTTGGTTTTTTTGTTTACACTCTTTTTTTCTTTTTTCTTAATTATTAAGTTGTCATTTTTCGATTCTTATATTCATAGTTGTAACTTTTGATTTGTGAGATATGATTTGTTCACAGGTCATTGGCCTTTGCTACCCCCCTCTCATCCACATCATCACAGTGTACGAGTCTTTCTCATTTGTATTATTTCGTCTATTTTCTGTACTGTGTGGTTCTTACATTGTTAATTCCTGCATACAATGTATTCTTTAACAGATTTGTGAAATTATTTTTAAAATGAATTTGTAAAGTGAAAAACAGTTGGGTTCAATGTCACCCAAAACTAGGTGAAAAGTGAACGCGCATGTTCGTTTCGTAAAATTTTATACAATATTGGGGAATGTACACACAAAATCTTGGTGAAGAAGTACCCGATATTTAGTGTATTCTAGGCAACAAGTCTTACTTCTTGCCCAATATTTTGTGGATTTAAAAATGTAAAAGTCAGTCACACGTTTAGCCATCTGGGATTTAAAAGGGAAAAAAAAAATCGTATTTCATCATCGATTTAATTTTATATACGCTCTTCAAAATGGTTATAAAAACATAATTTCACTATGAATAGTTCAATAAATGAGAAATACGTACATAAATAAATGAATGAACAAATAAACGAATAAACAGATAAATTTACTCATTAATGAGCAAATAAATAAATAAACAATGTATTCAAAAAATTGTAGTAGCGGTACGTGTTTTATAGTTTCAACAGCTTAATGGGAATTATCTTTCATATAATTATTTGAAACTGAGTTGTATTTTTCTAATGGTAAGCTCGGTCCCTAGAGGTAATACGCATACCAATAATACACGCTTTTGTGGTGATAAATGTAACTAATGTTTACCGATGTTGCCAGTGTTCCTATATGTTTATCGTAATAGAAGCATTTAAACCAGGCCTTCTCAACTAGCGGCGCGCGCGCCACTCGTGGCGCTTGCGTTCAGTCGGAGTGGCGCGCGACTGTTGCAAATATATATGTATATATATTTCAGAATTAAAAATTTAAGAAGTTGCAGTCGAAGTTGAGCCCAAATTGTCTGCTTAACAAACAGGAAGAAAGGGGAATTTTCTCGTTTTTCAAAGCCATTTTATACGACTTTAAACCTGAGCTCTAGTATAAACAAAAATACGCTTACGATGTGCTACCAATTTTAATATTGCCGATCTGTAGAAACATAACGTTTTTTTTTTGTTTGATTTTCACTTAATTTTGACATTTCCCGAGGTTATTGCACCAAAATTACTACATGTAAATTTACCTCCAGTGAAATTGTACTCAGAGATTGTACTAATTTGTTCACATCAATATGAATTTATGATTAATATATTTTCGAATAAAATGGTGTTAAAAATGCCACATCTGGGCCTTTATAGAAAGCCCTGAAATCCACCAGCTCCAGGGCACCCCCATTGGTGCTTTGCCCCTGGACCCTACCAGTTTTCGGCTCGGTCGCTACGCTCCCTCGCAGCACAGTCAAACATACAGGTTGGCACTTCAACTACAAATTCTTTTCATTTTGGCACTTCTAATAAACTAGTTGAGAAGGCCTGATTTAAACAAACGTCTCGAATTATCTTTTCCATACATGTACATAAAACAAATTGCAAGGTAAACGATAGAAATAAATTTAAAGAATTTATTAAGCATTATTTTAAGCAGTGAAAAATAAATTGTCAGATCTAATTACAATATAATACAATCAATCTTGTACAGCATATAATACAACGTTCAAATTATATGAAATGTAGAACTGTGATAAAATATATTATAAGATGATGACGTGGATCATAATCAAATGATTGGTTGAAAGCGGACACGTGACCAGGCATGTATTTTGCCTAAAGCGTAATTTGGATAATGACCGGTCATTATCCAATTCTAATGACCGGTCATTATGCAAATCATGTTATAAAACATCATTTTATGAAACAAATAAAACATAATCTTATAAAGACAAATAATACACATCATTTTGTTCGGGCAATAGTAAAATTACCCACACTAGGTAGCTTCAAAAGAGTCCAAACACCCTCGGCTACCGCCTCGGGCGTGTTTACAGTCTGTTCCAAAGGTACCTTGTTTGGGTTTTTCTTGCTAATGCCCTCACTGCTGTGTATTATTTGTATACTATTGACAACTCTTTATGGATTGTGTATGGCGTAAGTTTATCTTGTGTGGAGTAACCTGCACGTTTACAAAAAGTTATGAAAATCACATGAAGATATTTTCAAATGTCATTGTTTAAAAAGTGCGGACATGGTAATGACACGTTATCCTTATATGATTTATTAAAGCAATATGATGGGGTGTTAATATTGCAATTAAGTTGATTCATTTAAAGTCTTTGCGAGTGTGTTGAATTATTGCTGAAGACGAATATGTCTTTTAAACCTTTTGATGAATTTAAAAACGAGTGATTGTTTTTGTTTATGTTCATGGATATACCAGGCGATATGATCCGCGTTCTCAATGACATATTGAGCTATTGTGGAATAATTGCACGATGCATATCGTACTGCTTTTACAAAATATCCAGCTTGTGATAGGTATTGTATCAATAGCATTGAGTCGTAATTATATGTGTACAGAAGGGTGTTAAATGTGGCCAATTTGATGTAAATCTTATATTTTTGTTTAGATATTGGTACACGTTTTAAATGTCGTACCCTTCAAAATACTGACATAAATACTGTTTGATAATATACATATCAATAGCAATCTTTTGTTATTTATTGTTATTGATTCTTTGCTTATTCACAATCATCAAAGTACAATTATAAGTATGTTTTTAGAAAAGGCCAAGCTTTATGATGACGTTTAGCCACATACGTATCTATTCTTTCTGCAGCAACCAGGCAAGTAGCCAATTTGAATTTCATGTACAGGAATAAGGATATTTTTATTTGAAAAAACAAATTCCTTGGTTTGCTAATGTAATAATATATATTTTGTTAGTCTTCAATTATGATAATGCTTATTGTTGCTATTCAAGTGGAAAGTATATAATTGTGAAATGGCCTACACATGTATTGATAAATGGTACTAGTCTTGAAAACAGAAATAATTAAATATTATATTAAGTCTCAATAATCTCTGATTGACTTAGCCCTCGGCAGGGCCTAGGGAGCATGAGGAATATTTGCGTGTGTCTAAAGATGTGGCAGTATATTTTGTCAGAGAGAGAAATTGACCATATACAACATCTCGTTTCAACATTCAACCATGTAACGTCGTAACCTGTTGATTATTAAAGACTACCTACTATAGTATACGCAGTAATGATTTTTTTTTTCCATGTTGCCGGAAGTTAGTCTAATTTTCTCAGACATCAAATTGGATCGTGGGGTGAACAGAATAAAATAATGTGAAATTGTAGGCGCATCTCACTATTATCACCCGTTTTATTTCGTA